TCAGACGCTGTAGGATACATTAGAAAGCGCCTTCGCTTTGAAATCCTTAGAACAACAGTGATTTCTCTCCGTGGAGACAGAGGTGCGAGAAAAAACATTGTTGATATAAACAGTCTAGATCTTAACTTGGAGCCACAAGGCCAAGGGTAATTTTTGATTGTTAAGGGAAATTTTTGAATTCTTAAAGGGTTGATTTTATATAGGGTCATTGCTATATTATGTGTATATTGTTTGAATAATTTTACATTAAAAAAAAAAAAAAGTGTCAAACAGTATATATACAATAAAGTAATTCAAGTGTTGCAATTGGCAGAGCACAATACAGAGGTAACGGAAATTTTCCACTGTTACCAATATTAGAATCATCAAAAACCAATACAATAAAACATCTTGATCAATAAATGCCTAGCAGCACCAGACAGCAGCCGTGTACCTTTTTCGACTCCGTGGAGTCCCTGATGGACTTTTGTTTACTTTTGTAATCGAAAAAATTGTTAAAACCTTCCAGGGTGACAAGGCTAGTGACATATCAATAGCTGTTCTTAAGAAATGTTGCACTACAATCTCTAAACACCTAGCTGGTTTCCTAAACTCATTCATGAAGCTGGGTCTATTTCCAAATATTCTAAAAATAGGTAAGGTCACCCCCGTATTTAAGAAAGGAGACCCACAGCTGTTTGATAACTACAGGCCTATATCCATTCTACCTATCTTTGGTAAGATATTTGAAAAAGTAATTTACTGCCGACTATATAGCTTCTTTACTTCACATATGGTCATATACGATAAACAGTTTGGATTCAGATCCAACCACTCAACGGCACATGCCATCAATTACTCCATTGACCACATTCTTAAAAACCTAGAAAGTAAGAATCATGTAATTGGCATATTCATTGACTTAAGCAAAGCGTTTGACACAATCGACCACAGAAAATTACTTGTCAAACTTGAACACTATGGCATAAGAGGGCCCTGTCTTGACCTAATTGAAAGCTATTTGTGTAACCGACAGCAGTATGTTGATTTCCAAAATACACACTCTGATCACTGCAAAATTGAATATGGGGTACCACAGGGATCAGTTCTAGGCCCTCTCCTCTTCTTACTCTACATTAATGACATTACCAACTCTAGCAAACTTGGACACTTCATACTGTTTGCAGATGACACGAACATATTTGTTGCTGGAAAAACTGAACAAGAAGCCTATTTGAATGCTAATAAAGTACTTGAATCTGTAAATGACTATATGGAATCTAACTTGCTGCACATTAACCAAAGCAAATCGGTCTACATGTTATTCAGACCTGGCCGGTACTCGTCCTGTGCACGTGCTCGTGAATATGGCTCTGAGAACTCACTCACGTTATCAGGCAACACGCTTACACGAGTAGATAAAGTGAGATTCCTTGGTGTTATCATAGACCATGAACTATCCTGGGAACCCCAACTAGATAACATAAAAAGTAAACTAACTACAAGTATAGCTATAATTAAACGTATTATGAAGTTTATTCCAGAAACAGAGTACCATAAGCTGTATGACTCCTTATTCAAGTCTCATATGAGCTACTGTATCAGTAGCTGGGGTGGTGTCACACCTTATAGACTATCTAAACTGTTCTCCATCCAAAAAAGATGTGTACAACTTCTATTTGGAAGCAAACCAAGCTTTGACCGGGCAGAGTATTATGAAACATGTGCACGTGCAAGACCATACAGTGAACACATCGCAAAAAGGAGCTTTGCTTTGGAAAACACTAAGCCAATATTCAATACCGAGAAAATCATGTCAATCCACAACCTGTACACCCAACATATATCCACTGAACTGTTTAAAATCTTGAAACTGCATCAACCTATCTCTCTGACAAGATTATTCCAAACAAGTTCCAGAGCATGTAGCCAAACTATGCGGGTCCCCCGACACAAACTTGAAATTTCTAAACACAATTTTGTCTTCAAAGGTACGACTATATGGAACAGTTTGGTTGATAAAATATTCGACAAATGCACTCCTAATGAAAACAATGTCATGGTCCCTGGCTCTAGTAAATTTTCCGACCTTTCCTCCCCCATCTCAATTATCAAGAGCCGTATCAAAAAGCTCTTACTTGAAACCCAGCAATTGACAACACCTGGGCGTGAAATTGAGTGGCTCCCCCTAAATAGCTGGGGCATTGAACCAGCTTAGTCAATCAGCATCCCATCCCTTGCATACAACTAATTACAAAAGCGCTAATTATACCTGTTTCAAAAGCATCCTGTCTGGAAGTTCCCTGACTGCCGTGTGAATCTTTGGATCTATTTTTGGATCTATTTTTATATTGATATGATTTTTATATACCTATATATTCCTCGCATAATTTCCATGTCCGCCTGAACAAACCTGGCACCATCAAATCTTACTCTAGAAACCCCAGAACTCATCAAGCCTAGTCTGAATTCAAAACTAGTTGACCAGCTACGTACAGTTTCCTGGACAGCTGGAACCTTTTGGGCCATGCACAAGCCAATAGCATGCAGGGACAAAAGGATTTCGCGATTATTTTGGCCAAAAATCGCGGTACCGCGAAATTTAACAGGCTATACATTAAACTATACATAAAATTTGTCGCGGAGAATGGGAAATTTCGCGATTTCGTACATGCCGCGAAATCCTTTTGTCCCTGATAGCATGTATGGTCCTGCAGTGGGGTCTCCTTGTCCTTGGATCTGTGTTTTGATCCGTCTTTTCTTAAAATTTTCCATTTGTGTCACTTAGAATCACCTTTTAAAATGTTAATCGACACCACTGGTCCTAGTTAAATTTAGCCATGGCACGACTACTCGAACGTAACAGTTAAATAGGTGTGACATACTATTATATTCTTATAATTATATCATATGAATTGATTGCACTGCTAATAAATAAAATACTTTGTTTTACTAAAAAAATACTTTGTTTTACTTTGTTAATAATCGGACCAACCTTTCTTTCTCGAAACATGTATCCTATTGTATTTCATTATAGTATTAAGATGTGAAGATATACTAGATATTACAACGAAATAGAGGTATACCAAATTGGCCCTTGATATGAACTATAACCGTGTTGATGGTTTTAAATTTTGTATGTTGTAAGCACTTTAGTTTGTGAAGCGTTTACTCCTCCCCCTCAGCAAGACAGCTAGATTATAGATTAATGATAATAATTGTCAAATGTCGTTATATATTATATAACAGTTATAAATGTTCAATAGTTGTAGAGCGACTTCAAGAGTAGTGGTCCACAGGGGTCCGAAAAAGCCGTACAGGCACTTGGGTCCTTATCCTTGTCACTAATCTCAATTGGATTCGGTTTACACAAAGCATGAACATTTAGACGTACACATTGACACGATATTTATTAGAAAGCAAAAAGTATAAAATAATACGTGCGTGCGCGGCTTGAGCCGCGCCGCGTAAGAACGGATGCGTGCAGGGGCTGGAGTACGCTTGTATGTAAATTAATGAAATGTTGCATTGTAAATATTTAGAATTGACGATATATTTTGATCTAAAAGTAAATTTTACAAAGCTGGCTTTGGATTTAGGTAAGATTATAATTTATTAAAAAAAAACAAAAAACACGGCTAATTTTAAATTTATTTCTATTTGTCGTATAATCATAAACAATTTAATCATGTTTTTAAGAATGCGCGGCTTTGGCGGCCAGTTATTGACTTATACATTAAATTGAATTTTAAATAGAAATGTGAATATATTAAAATTTAAAACTTTCAAAACGGAGGCTTATAAATATTATTATATTATGATTGTAAAATAAAGGATAAAATTTTAAATTTGTTTCACTAAAAATTTGTTTCACTAATATTATATAATATTAAATATCAACAATCAGATATATATACACATCTACTCCATCATAGGGGCAGGGATGAGGTTATAAGAGACTTCTGATAGTGGTGTCTCATATTTGCTGTCCATTTTTTTTTTTTCCTCTGTTCCCTCGAAGAGCTATGAGTGTGGTTCTTAACATTCAGTTGCTAAAAGAATGAGAATTTTATTTTGACATTGCAATGCATTGCAATATCAAAATAAAATTGGAATCCAGATTACAGCATTGCATGGAAGTTGGGGGATCATCTTGGAGCTGGAGAGCGTCCAGAGGCGGTTTACCCGTCTGATTGACGAGGTTGGTACTCTTCCATACAGTCGTCGACTGGAAATCCTCAATTTAACAACGCTGGCAGAGCGGCGAATACGTGGGGACCTCATTGAATCTTTTAAAATGATAAGTGGTTTGGCCAATTACGGAGCTGGTTTGTTCAGTATGAGCAGATCTGGTTTTAATGTGGTATCAAACAGTAGATGCAGTAAAAGTAGCAGTAAAATGAAGAAAGTCCACAGTTCTTTTCTTCCGGAGAGGGTGAGACCTTATTGGAACAAACTCCCCTCGGATGTCAAGAATTGTGGGACTGTGTTAAGTTTTAAAATAAGATTAGAAGCTTTCAAAAAAGAGACTATTTTAAACGGATCCGTAAATGATATTCATTTTTGGTATGTTTCGGACGAAGTATTAGGGAAGATTGAGGGATTAAATTATGCTACTAATAAAGAGAAGCACAATGAATATCTTGTGTGTAATCCTCATGTTGCTAAGAAACGCTTTATTAACTTATATAGTAGTGGAAAGTATGTAAATTAGATTCATTTTATCTTGGTTGTTTAGGCCAATAGATTTAAGATATTTTTAAAACTTTAGTAGATATATTTTTGATGATGTGTGATGATGTTTGTGTCATTATATTTTGATTTGATTTATTTATTTCCAAATATCTAAGTCCTGACTTCTGCATTATTGAATTTACATGGATTCGAATATATTATAATGCTGTTATGATAAATTGAATTATATATTTCTGTTTGGATTCATTAATCAAAGTCTGATTGTTACTGTTTATTTTTTCTCAGTTTGTAACTTTAGTAAACCTAAATTTTCGTTTATATCCATTAGGATGACACTAGAAACTGCTGAAGCTTTGGAAGACTTGACAATGTCTACAGATGGCACTGCATATATTGTAACTACCATCGCACTGCTGGGTGGTGTGCTTGCCTTCTATTACTTCTACATCTACAACAATCCAGAGGAGGTATACACTATACTCAATTCTAATAATTATAAGCTTTTTCGCTTCATTTTACAATTCTTTTAAACCTAAACGTGAATTTCATACAGTCTTATATGTCATTTAACAAATTGTCAAAATCATTGTTCTTAAGCAGGAAGAAGAGCAAGAGCCAGAGGAAGAGAAGTACACTCCACTTGAAGCCCAGGACTTCACTTTAGAAGAACTGCGCCCTTATGATGGTACCGATGGGAAACCGGTGTGTATTTCTGTTAACCATATTGTCTATGATGTGACCAAAGGAAAGAACTTCTATGGGCAAGGTGAGGTGTTGATCAACTATGCTTAATAATCATTTTATAACATTTCAGCATCTTTAATCTATAATTGCAGTGAATTTTTCAATCTGTGTAATTAGAATACGTTTACAAAGACATGCAACATGCACATATTTTTTATCAAAATATTTTAAATTGACTGACTATATTGCATTTTATTTGTGAGTCGAGTTCTGTTAATAGGTTTTCAGTATTTTACAGTCAACAGTTTAAACGTTAATTATTATCAGTTATCTACATTTAACAGTTATTAATTACAGGCACGTAGCCAGGATTTTGGGGGGGGGGGGCCCTCGACAAGCCGATGGGTCCAGGGGCGGAGCCCCTTGACGCAGGCCCCCGGAAAATTTTTGAGAAATAGGGTGTTTTAGACGACATTTGGCATTAAAAAAATTTGTGGGACAGCAATAAACTGGGACTGAAAAGAATCAAGTACTCACGTAAATTTGGTAACTTCACAACAGCAATCTGCATTCTCCAATCAGAATTTACGACTTACTCAGGCCTCATCGTCTTTAGATTTTGACATTTCCTATGGTCTAAGCCCCCCTTCGAGACTAGGGGGCTTATTTTTTTTCTGGGGTTCAATTTTTTCCGGCTACGTACCTGATTAATTATAGGATAACCATTAACCAGATATCAAATTTCAACGTGTGTTGTACAATTTCAAGACAATGCATTTGATACAAACATTTGTATTTTGTTCAAAATTAATCTAAAAATTAAACTACTCATCCCATCACCAGGTGGACCATATGCAATGTTAGCTGGTAAAGACGGCTCCAGAGCACTGGCTAAGATGTCGTTAGATGCGTCTGATGTTAAGGATGAGTGGGATGACCTGGAGGACCTGACTCCATTTCAGAGAGATTCTCTACTTGAGTGGGAGATGAAGTTTCAGACTCGATATACTGAGGTTTGTGTGATTATAATGATTTGCTGTGCAGTGCTTCTGAATAGTTCATTAGTTCCCAAATAATTTACTGTATGTTTTATAACAACGTTTAAATAATGGTACTATTCAAGTTAGGGGAACTTCTTTTATTGAGTGAGGTTTTGCTCACTCACTTCCTTTTACAATCTTGTAACCTAATTTCAACAAACAGCGACCCGTTTTACTTAACACACAATATCTTGTTTCAGCTGGGAAAGCTACTTAAGGCCACAGGGGGGGGTCGAGGCCTCAAAAAATGCAAAAAAACATTATGCTTTGAATCAATATATATTTTTGTGGTGGATACTTTGCCACCACTCATTTGTCTGTAGCTATTTTACTTTTTTTTATAAATGAGGTTAACCAATTCTCATTTAACCTCATTTTTTTGATAAATCGATAATGGAGGGCAGAAATATTGATGCCATTACAACTGAAAACTACGATAAGCTTTGTTTTTATTGTTTTTGTGTTATTTCAGCAGTTAAACTTTGAAAAATATACAAATAAAGGCAAAATTCTTAAAAATCACATAACATAAAAAACAGTTTTTTGCCTCTCCTGAAAACCTCGAATTTTTGACTTCAAAATCTATCTTCTCCTAGAGTTTTTATCCATTTCACCTCAAATTTGGAACTTATGTTCCTGACATAAATTTAAAAGTTTGTTATGTAACGATTGTTGTAATTTTGCTCCTAACTCTTTTTATGAGGTTAACCATTTTAAATTTTGTAACCCGCACTCATGGTTAACCTCATATCTCAGCTTTGGAACAAAATATCATAAATCGTTACATAACAAAAACTCAAAATACCTTGAAGAACATTGTTGCCAAGTTACAAGGTTCTAAGTCATAAACTGAAAAAGAAGATAGATTTTGAACACGATTTCATTTAAAGTTTTCATTTACAATAGAATTACAGGTAAACCTCAAAATTCAACGCGCGATATCTTCAAATAGGAAACTTTGTTTTCGGTAAGGACAAAAGCATTTGAAAATTTAGATCGAGCTCTACAACATATCTCAAAATCTCAAAATCGACCTCGGACCCCCCCCTGTGGCCTTAACACACAATATCTTGTTTCAGCTGGGAAAGCTACTTAACACACAATATCTTGTTTCAGCTGGGAAAGCTACTTAACACACAATATCTTGTTTCAGCTGGGAAAGCTACTTAAGGGGAGATACACCAAAACCGTTTTTGCTCCGAACATCGATTTTATTTTATATTATTTTTAAATAGACAAAAAGAATAAGATTGTACACCTTCAAAAAATTTTAAAAATATTCCCTCATCGAGAAAAAAAATATTTTTCTTTTTCGAAAATTTTTAAAATTTGGAGAAGTCTGTCACTGTAATACCGATAGTTCGGCCATTTAAAAAGTTTTTTGGCTGATTTTTTTACTGAACATTACTTACACTCCGTACTAGAAGCCATTGAAAGGATTATATAATTAAACAATAAATGACCAAGTTACAGACCGAACAAGGTGAAAAAAGAAAAATTGGGATTTTTGCCTACCACCAAAGTTGTACATTTCACCACCCGCCTAGGTCATCAGATATCGCTTTAAAAATTCTTGTGAGTGTAGTTGATGATCATGGCAAGCTTTTTGGAACCGGATTTCTCTCAATTTTGAGTTTTAAGCTATGCAATGTGGCCTCAAACGAATTTGTAAAATTCATCGTATAAAAGAGCAAAAAAGGCAGATTTAAGGCTTAAAATGCCTATAACTCAAAAAGTATCAGTTTTTTTGAAATAATTTTTACAGGATCGTAATCAGCTTGGTAAGACGAATCTTTTAGTACCAAATAGGTGCTTTTAGAAGAAAAATTGTCTTAAATAATTTTCTAGCTCGAACACAAGGGTCCCCCCTTGTATAAATTTTGTACAAATTGTACACATTTTTTTACAAATTTTGTGGCTTTGAATATTATAAATGTCGTACTAAAAGATTCGTCTTACCAAGCTGATTACGATCCTGTAAAAATTATTTCAAAAAAACTGATACTTTTTAAGTTATAGGCATTTTAAGCCTTAAATCTGCCTTTTTTGCCCTTTTTTACGATGAATTTTACTTAGTCGTTTGAGGCCACATTGCATAGCTTAAAACTCAAAATTGAGAGAAATCCGGTTCCAAAAAGCTTGCCATGATCATCAACTACACTCACAAGAATTTTTAAGCGATATCTGATGACCTAGGCGGGTGGTGAAATGTACAACTTTGGTGGTAGGCAAAAATCCCAATTTTTCTTTTTTCACCTTGTTCGGTCTGTAACTTGGTCATTTATTGTTTAATTATATAATCCTTTCAATGGCTTCTAGTACGGAGTGTAAGTAATGTTCAGTAAAAAAATCAGCCAAAAAACTTTTTAAATGGCCGAACTATCGGTATTACAGTGACAGACTTCTCCAAATTTTAAAAATTTTCGAAAAAGAAAAATATTTTTTTTCTCGATGAGGGAATATTTTTAAAATTTTTTGAAGGTGTACAATCTTATTCTTTTTGTCTATTTAAAAATAATATAAAATAAAATCGATGTTCGGAGCAAAAACGGTTTTGGTGTATCTCCCCTTAACACACAATATCTTGTTTCAGCTGGGAAAGCTACTTAACACACAATATCTTGTTTCAGCTGGGAAAGATACTTAACACACAATATCTTGTTTCAGCTTGGAAAGCTACTTAACACACAATATCTTGTTTCAGCTGGGAAAGATACTTAACACACAATATCTCTGTTTCAGCTGGGAAAGATACTTAACACACAATATCTTGTTTCAGCTGGGAAAGCTACTTAACACACAATATCTTGTTTCAGCTGGGAAAAGCTACTTAACACACAATATCTTGTTTCAGCTGGGAAAGCTACTTAACACACAATATCTTGTTTCAGCTGGGAAAGCTACTTAACACACAATATCTTGTTTCAGCTGGGAAAGCTACTTAACACACAATATCTTGTTTCAGCTGGGAAAGCTACTTAACACACAATATCTTGTTTCAGCTGGGAAAGCTACTTAACACACAATATCTCTGTTTCAGCTGGGAAAGTTACTTAACACACAATATCTTGTTTCAGCTGGGAAAGCTACTTAACACACAATATCTTGTTTCAGCTGGGAAAGCTACTTAACACACAATATCTTGTTTCAGCTGGGAAAGCTACTTAACACACAATATCTTGTTTCAGCTGGGAAAGTTACTTAACACACAATATCTTGTTTCAGCTGGGAAAGCTACTTAACACACAATATCTTGTTTCAGCTGGGAAAGCTACTTAACACACGATATCTTGTTTCAGCTGGGAAAGCTACTTAACACACAATATCTTGTTTCAGCTGGGAAAGCTACTTAACACACAATATCTTGTTTCAGCTGGGAAAGCTACTTAACACACGATATCTTGTTTCAGCTGGGAAAGCTACTTAACACACAATATCTTGTTTCAGCTGGGAAAGTTACTTAACACACAATATCTTGTTTCAGCTGGGAAAGCTACTTAACACACAATATCTTGTTTCAGCTGGGAAAGCTACTTAACACACGATATCTTGTTTCAGCTGGGAAAGCTACTTAACACACAATATCTTGTTTCAGCTGGGAAAGTTACTTAACACACAATATCTTGTTTCAGCTGGGAAAGCTACTTAACACACGATATCTTGTTTCAGCTGGGAAAGCTACTTAACACACAATATCTTGTTTCAGCTGGGAAAGCTACTTAACACACAATATCTTGTTTCAGCTGGGAAAGCTACTTAAGACCAGAGAAGGTTCAGAAGAGTAGCCATATCAACTTCACCTGTGTCTCGTGTAATTTGCAGTAAGAGTAATTTATGTGTTATTATGTCCTAATGATCATATTTTTGAAACAATATGCAATAATGACTTATAAAGTTTCGTGGTTCTACAAATATACATAATAAAAGTTAAGATCATTTGAATGTATGCACTCTCGGTGATGATTATTTGTGTGATTTTCATTTAGTTATTAGGTTATGTTTTAATGTTTGATAGTTCAACTTATATCTCAAATAGTGTCTTATAAATAGTTTGATTCTTTAAAAACATATTATTAGGGCGGGGGGGGGGGGGGGGGAGCCTAGGGGCCATATTATTCTATTGAAAGCAATTCTGCATTTTAAAGGTAATTATCAACATAATGTCTGGGAGATCATGATCGATATCTAGCAGGGGTGTAGGTAGCGGGGGGGGGGGGGGCTGATATCTAGCAGGGGTGTAGGTAGCGGGGGGGGGCTGATATCTAGTCCATTATGGTAATTAGCGGGGGGGGGGGGGCTAATTGTTTTGGCAAGTTTTATACCCAGATTGCATTGGCGAATTATACCAGATAGAATAGTCGTGCAAATTACGATAAGTTTTTCTGCGAAACCTTAATAGCATTACTGATGTGATAGTTAACGAAGGTTTGGTTGATTTAGTGATTGGCTAAGATCATGCATTAGGTTTTAAATGTTTTGAAAGAATAATTTTGTATGGATTAATATTCTTGGGTTGATTTACAGTTTTTTCTAAAAGAAGACTACTAGCAATTATAGAATTGCCACGATTGCTGGTCCGAATAACCAGTAGTTATTAAGTTAATTTATTGTTGGGCGTTGATTTTAGCAAACTAAGTGTTCTGCGTTCAGCTAAGTTACGGTGTTTGCTCTTACATTTTGTTGAGCTTACATAACAAATATTTGTTGACTTCACAAAGTTTTGATGTCTGAAGATTACCATCTTATAATGTTCTTTTTAATTTAACATTTTACCACGGCTTTTGTTTTATTTAATCTGTAACAGATCTAAAATTTTAGCTGGACAACTCTGTTCTTCTATTTTTCAAAATCTTTTATTTACTACTTCTAAAGTTACCAGCCTTTTTCGGAATTTCAGAAATGAGAAAGTTCAGGAAATAGGTACCAATGCCCAAGCAGTTTCTTGGATGTAATCTTATAAATTTATAAGATTATAATATATCATGATTTCCACACTGTCTCATGGAAGAGGAGACAATGAACCACTTCATTGGTCAGTGCCCGAAGTGGTCTTTCCAAAGAGGAGGATTAGGGACTACGGGTGGAAGATGAATAATTGATATTCCAACAGCATCTTGTTCCCTGCATTGTGCTGATTCCGGGAAGCATTTTGTTTACGCTCTCATCATTCTGTAGGATGAGATATCGTTCATTTAAAATTGGGTAATTGTAGGCCTGTCAAGGATTTCAGCCTAATTAAGAGCTGATCAATTGCAGCTAGTTGTGCCATATAAGGGATAACTGAGGTCACGTGACATTCAGTCCTATCACGTGACCGCTAATCCTATCACGTGACCTTGATTCGTAAAGCCTCGGGCACGTGATCACATTCGTAACGTGTCGTATGCCGACTAGGAGATTTTGTGACGTCACCAGAGCTGAAGCTACTTGATCAGGCCTTATATGGAATAATATCGTGTATCGGGTGTAATTGGACCCAATTAGAGCAGCTGAGCGCTCAATTATAGCAGCATCTGCATCTGGTACCACCTTCTGAAACCCAGCAGACAGCTGGCCCAGAGAATCGAAATTAGAAGGATTTTTTATTGATGGAAATCGAAGCGGAAACCTTGTAACCCTATGTTTTCGATGACGCCGAACAAGATTAAACAGGTTATAATTGTCCTACTCTCGTGTAAATTGCTCTAAAACGTGATTGAAATTGTAATCATGCTATCAATTGTAATACAGTTTTTACATTAAGCTGAGCGGCGTAACGGCTGGCATTCCTGGGCCTGGGCCGCACTCATCCCAGATTGTCATTCCGCCGCAGCTTCAATTTTTCTGAATATTACAGCCTGGGGTCCCAGGTAACGACTGGAACCACTATATCTGCCTAATCTCAGTTATTGTCAATAACAAAGCCTGTGATCCGCACATCAGTCATCGAATGGGCTTGAATTGAACGACGTGTTATTACTATAAAAAATATCATAGTATCGGGTAAATTTTTTCAAAATGCACTTGAATGTCATCAATTTGATTAAGTTATCATAAGTTGAATAGCTGGCGCATTTACAGTGCTACGTTTTCAATTATTCTACGAACACTTGGAATTAAAATCTATTTATATATATATTGCATTGTTTAATACTTATAATCAAGATTGCTAAGTTCAGTGTGTGGACGAAGTATAGCGATGGAATCACTAACATATTTATGACTGTTTGATATTTCTTTGCTGCAGTCTGCATATCATCCAGAGAAAGCTAATTTTAAAGAAGTAGTCTCGAAATTTTCGGGAATAAACTCAATATTGTGAAACATCATACAAAATATTATATAACGAGTGTTCTCTTTTAATAAATCATTTCATTAGTTTTTTGAACTTCCTCTGTTTTCCTGGATTTTGTTGCCTCTCCTCAGAGACAACAATGTGGTGTCCTGCTTTCATGTCTTTGTTAGCACACTTCAGCTTTGATTCTGTCATCAGTGCCACCGCTCTTTCGACTGCTTGCTGGTGGCAGGGATATTTCGTCACCAAAGGTGATTCTATGAACCTGTCGAATTGATCAGGATCAGAGGGATGCACCCTTACTACCGATGGAATAGTGACTGCAGCCCACTTATAAATATACATACAGTACAACTACAGATTGTTCATGAAACATTGGTCATTGGTTTGGTTTCAAACATCTGTAGATTAATTTATGAAAGATCGATCGGCTATATTTCTCTTATTTTCCCCCAGCAGAAAATATATGTTAGAAACCGGACTGATGTATCGTGAACAGCCTGTGCTGTAGGGTAAATACCTAAAAAACACTAGCACTCACTTGACAATATTGCAAGGCTGAAAGAAGTCCGTTTGCCTGTACATTTCGATGGTACTGTAATGACTTAATATCAAACTTGAAACCTCGGCCAGCATTAAATCGACATGAGTCGCATGGTTTTCCTTGTGGCTCAAAAGAAAACGAAGGATGTCCTTGTTTGACGGAGGACTGTGACATGGAAGGCTGTCACACGTTCCATCAATAAAATCGGACAACTTCATTGCAATATTGAGAAAACTATTTGAGAAATGATCACTATTCATATAGCGGTGTTACATTGATTTTAGTTACGTTGCAATTTTACTCGACTCTTATCAGTTCACTTCTTATCAGCGCGATCGCAGTAAGTTTTACTGTGTGCAACAGTTACATAACTGTAACTGTATAATACACATAACATTAACTCTGTAATGCACTTCAAACTGCAGTATAAAGAGTACGCACTTCGCACAAATGACAAGAAGGTAATCTAGTAATACGATTTTTGGTATTAATATCTTTAATATTAATAACACGGCTTGTTCGATTCAAGCCCGTTCAATGTGGTCAATACCTGATGTGCGGATCACAGGCTTCGTTATTTACAATAGCTGAGATTAGGCAGATATAGCGGTTCCAGTCGTTACCTGGGGACCCCAGGCTGTAATATCCAGATAAATTGAAGCTGCGGCGGAATGACAATCTGGGATGAGTGCGGCCCAGGAATGCCAGCCGTTACGCCGCTCAGCTTAATGTAAAAACTGTATTACAATTGATAGCATCATTACAATTTCAATCACGTTTTAGAGCAATTTACACGAGAGTAGGACAATTATAACCTGTTTAATCTTGTTCGGCGTCATCGAAAACATAGGGTTACAAGGTTTCCGCTTCGATTTCCATCAATAAAAAATCCTTCTAATTTCGATTCTCTGGGCCAGCTGTCTGCTGGGTTTCAGAAGGTGGTACCAGATGCTGCTATAATTGAGCGCTCAGCTGCTCTAATTGGGTCCAATTACACCCGATACACGATATTATTCCATATAAGGCCTGATCAAGTAGCTTCAGCTCTGGTGACGTCACAAAATCTCCTAGTCGGCATACGACACGTTACGAATGTGATCACGTGCCCGAGGCTTTACGAATCAAGGTCACGTGATAGGATTAGCGGTCACGTGATAGGACTGAATGTCACGTGACCTCAGTTATCCCTTATATGGCACAACTAGCTGCAATTGATCAGCTCTTAATTAGGCTGAAATCCTTGACAGGCCTATAATTACCCAATTTTAAATGAACGATATCTCATCCTACAGAATGATGAGAGCGTAAACAAAATGCTTCCCGGAATCAGCACAATGCAGGGAACAAGATGCTGTTGGAATATCAATTATTCATCTTCCACCTGTAGTCCCTAGAGGAGGATACTTTGACTCCTTCTACCTTAGTGTGACAGACATAATGGACAAGTTCTCACTACCAAAGATCATCGGCTTCATACAAGCAACAAAACGATTCACTAAATGTGGAAAAACAAAGTGTAACTTTTTTCTCCACAAAGAAATATTTTACCGGGGTAAGCACAGGGCTCCAATGCTCTATCTTTCAGTGGTCATGCTCTATCTTATAATGATAATGACCACAGCCCCCTTCGAAGAAGAAGAATATATTATCATTATAAGATTTAAGAGAATGCAAGTTGTTCAAATGTTTAACATAATTTTGTGATAATTAGTTGATGGCCCGGACGGAGACACTATGGCTGGCTAGATAACTAATAATGAATGGTCAGGGACCAAATACTCAACCAGGTCAGTTTTATATAATATAATATGCAAAAAATGTTTGTCATCAAGATTCAGACGAATAGATTAACTAGTTTTAATATTTAATCTCATGCTTATACGAATTAATTTAAATTAACCTTTAAGTCTTATACACGAGTCAAGTTATCAAACCAGGTCACAATATTGTAGTATTCGATTTTAATTTATAACTGTAGATTACAGTCTGCCTGTTACCATCTCCTCAGCTCAATCCCTGGAATCTTGAAAAGCTCTTCTAAAAACGTACCTTTTTAAACTGTCCCTAGATGAACTTGAAAAACTTTATCGATAACTATTTTGGACATATTTGGTATTCGACTCTGCATAATATATTTAAGTACCATTTTCTGGCTTTAGTATTGACGATATTTTTCAAGCATAAGTTACCTTCTTAACTCAGTATTCATGATATTTTCTGGGATGACTAGTTCAAACACTGCTGAGTATAAGTTTTATCTTAAAAGCGGTGTTATTAAATTTCAATTTATTATTATTATTACATTTCATGTTTTTTAAGAGTTAATACTGTTATTTACATCGTCTAACTTACAAGTTCAAGTTACAACTAAAATATAAATTTCAGGGTTTCCTGATAGGCCCAGACAACAGAGGCCCAAGTTCAACTTCAATAGCAGAGATGTGAAGAGAGAGATAACCCCAGACTTCATGGCCTCTCAGTTGGCCTCCTTTGGGAGCTCAGCCAAATTAAAGTCGTTGCCAGGCCAACCACCATCAAATCCTTCAAAGCAGCAGCAGCAGCAGATGGGACCTGGCTTTGGTCAGGGTTTTGGTCCTGGATTTCCTCAGATGAATCAAGGTTTTAGGCAGCAGGCAATGCCTCAAAATATGGGATTTCAAGGACAAGCATTCATGCAGCCCCAAATGCAATATAATATGCAAAGTATGCCTGGACAATTTAGCACTGGGCCCAATAACGCATCATTTAGTATGACCGGCCCTCAGCCATCATCTTTTGGCATGACTTCTCAGCCACAACCGACACCTTTTGGTATGACCTCCCAGCCACAGCCGACACCTTTTGGCATGCCTGCACAAGCTCAGCCCACACCTTTTGGCATGCCTGCACAAGCTCAGCCCACACCTTTTGGCATGCCTGCACAAGCTCAGCCCACACCTTTTGGCATGCCTGCCCAACCAAAACAAACTTTCAACTCTCCTTCACCACACCAAGGGTCGGGTGATATGTTTAACTCTTTCAACCAGGCTACAGTTTCTACTAAACCATCTACAGCCAGTGGCTTCGACCCTTTTTCCAATCTCCGCTCCACAAAACAAGAAAGTAGCTCCAGCGACCCCTTCAAATCAACCTCCACATTACCGGCCCAACCAGCCGCTAGCCAAGAATTTGATGCATTTGGTGCTAAGCCCTTCGCTGCAAACATTGGACCATCTACTCAAAGTGCTTCTCTTGTCCCCCAACCAGACACGTATTCTGGTTTTGACAGTTTGTCTGGGCTCTCATCTCATAGCTCTTCATCTATCCTTTCCTCTAAAACCCCCAAGCCTCCAGCTGCATCGGTAGCACCAACCGTCGGAGATTTTTCAGTATTTAGTAGCATGTCTACCAGTCAACCCACTCCCGCTTCATTAGCGTCATCAGGGTTTGACAGTATGTTTGGTTCACAGCAAAAACCGTCAGTTCAAAAACCGTCAGGGATTGAAAGTTCTTTTCCAACTTCAGCTCCTGTATCCTCTGCTGTCAAGTCTCTGTCACAGTTTGAAAGTTCATTCAATCCACCCTTGGCTGCTCCGAAATCAGAAATTGCTTTTGACAGCGTCTTTTCACCGACTCACCGACTGCAATTCCTCCAAAGTCTGACATTTCGTTTGACAAGTGCATTTCCGTCTACCAAACCCGCGTTATCTGCTTCAACATCAGCCTTTGGTGATGCCTTCACTTCTCCAGCTCCCTCAAGTCAGAACTTTGGATTTGAGAGTTCATTTGAACCTGCACCTTTATCTGCAGCGTCAATAAGTTCTGTGTTTGCTCCGATAGCTAGCCCAATTAATGCATTCGACGATAATTTTGCTGCCATTTCGAGCAAGGGAGCAAGTGTTAAACCATCAACTGTTCCTGACAGTTTCGGACAGATGCCGTTTAGTGCGGCAGCACCTAGTATGGACATGTTCAGCACATCTAGCAGTTCTGCAGATATCTTTACTGGTGGAATAAAGTTCCCAGAGCCGTCTCAGCCTTCAACTGTAGCCAAGCCACAGCCACCTCCTTCAGTAGATCTGTTCAGTGCAGCCCTAGCAAAGCAACCCATCCCCACTCAGCCTGGTGGAGTTGATTTGTTCAGCAGTAAGCCTTCTGTCAGTTCTGTTAGTTCTGTTGATAAATACAGTGTGTTCAGTGCTCTGAACACTGGTTTTAATGAACCTTCCTCAGACTTCTCCCCATTTCCACCAGAACCTATCTACTCTCAACCTCAACCTCCAGCAAAACCAGAGGCTCCCCTGCAGACTTTCCAGGGAACCGACATGTTTGACGACGCATTTGATCCGTTTGGCGAGAAGAAACCTCAGCCTGCAGCTGCTGTGTCACAACCGAACTTTGATCAGTTTGATGTGTTTTCTCAACTTTCTACTGCTAAACCTCCGGAGGTGATGGCTCAAGAAAATAGTGGTTCTGGTTCTATTGTGAGGCAGAGACCTTCTTCCAAAACGGTAAGTTGGCAGTGGTATGTACTTCTCAGAAAAAATGCGATATTTTCATCGTTTATGACAATCATTATTTGTTACGATATTTCGTAGACATCAAAAAAACATCAGGTTACTGTACCTTTAAAAGTAATTGTATTTAATAACTGCCCCTTCCCAGCCGGCCATGATGGTAGTTCTCCCTCCTCCCGCTAAAGCAGCGGACAGAAAGAAACCTCCAAAACCTGCCCCACCTTCAAAACCTGCCCCACCCTTCATATCAAAACAGCCTGACTTATTCTCACCATCAACTGCTGGAGCCGCTACTGGCTTTCCTGAATCTGCTGCTGTATTCGATCCATTCTTCAACAGCTCAGGTGAGTAACTACATGTTAGTTGTGTAATACTACAGGGGGGGGGGGGGGGTCAAAAGGCCCGTCAAAAGTCAGTACCCATACGTTGGCATTATTAGCTCAGTCACTGAGTGCCCAATTGAAATAATTCTTTCTGGTATGACTTACTACCACCACTGGTTCGGGTTTTCGCATTTATTTGATAATTTAGATAGATAATAGTCGGATTGAGCAAAATTTTATTGAATTGTGTTTGCCCATTTAAATTACTAATCATTGATTACCCAATCAATTTTGCTAACGAGATAAACAAATTGCTTGATAACTTCGTCATTTTAAATCCGTTTCAAACTATCTTTTAGATTATATTCCGGATTAAATGACCTATTGCAATATGTTACAACGGAGTCTCTAAAATGTTCACAAACACGAGTATAAGCAATTCAAAGTTGATTTGGTGTAGCCCCCCCCAAATAGAAATCCTCGAACAAGTAGGTACAGTATACCATCTGCAAAGCAAAACACGGCGGTGGTATAAGAGGGCCTATAAGACCCAACCTATGGGTAGTGACTTTTGCCCCCCCCCCCCTCGCCCCCCCCCCCCCCCCCCCTGTAGTATGAAACATGTTAGTTACTGCATGTTACATACAGGTTAAAGCACAAGGAGCAATAATTAGGGTTTCAAGATGAATTTAAAGCATTTTCTGAGATTTAAATATATTCTTCAATGATTAAAGCTGTATTCTGTTGTTAGGACGGGTTGAGACTGATGGGGCTGCCTTTGGAAAGCCAGGTCCTTTACATGTTGTAATTTCAAGCATTTATTTTATCTTCAGCATACTCATAGTGGATATTTTGTTCATCAAATTTGTTTATCATCCGATCTGCATTTTATTAATTAAATGAATATTTTCGATTGTAAAGTTTAATCTGTAGTAAATAAGTGTCATGAGATGTTTTCGTGAAAGAAATCAAATTTCAGCTCGACTCGTAGCTTCAGTCAATCAACGAACAAGACAGGTATGTAGATGTTATTAGTAGCAGGTATGTAGAGGTATGTAGATGTTATTAGTAGCAGGTATGTAGAGGTATGTAGATGTTATTAGTAGCAGGTATGTAGAGGTATGTAGATGTTATTAGTAGAGGTATGTAGATGTTATTAGTAGCAGGTATGTAGAGGTATGTAGATGTGTGCAGGATATTTTGTTTTGATGTAAAACAATAATGTGGTAGTGAAAGTTTTGTGCGGATTTAAAAGACTAAACTTTAGGAATTTTAATCACGTTTTTTATTAGTAGAATGTAGTTCGTGACCTATGTTTGCAGGTTATCTTATAGAATAGAGGGGAGAGGGGGGTTAAGTTAAACTGTAGATGCGGATTCTGGTGGAGAGGTGTATTTTTGACACGTGACATAAACCAATCAGCTTCCACTAGCAACCAATCAAACCCCAGAATCACTATCACGTTTCAAAAATATGCCTTACCTCCCCACCAGAATCCACATCTATTGTTCCCAGAAAATTAAATGTACTAGAGGGCCGGCCGTTTATGTCATATTTGGTTTTAGGATCAAGCAGGGCCGAGCCAGGTTATTTGTCAATTCCTCAAAATTAATTGTGATTATTATTTAACAACCAGTTTAATACCCAATACCCTACAATAACAACTATTGTAGTTCTACTAGTGTAACTACAGGATGGCCCAGAAGTAACTGCCCACACGCAATCAGTAATCTCATCAGGGGCTATTCGCTAGCGAGCAACAATGAGCCTCATTAGGCGGTAACGAGCATGTTGGTGAATGACGATCTGATCACTTTGAAGAATACTGATAGTGACGTTCCTTAAAACCGTCCTTAAAACCGTTCCTTAAAACCGAAGAAATTCGCGTTATCGCGCTTCGGTTGCTGTCCTATAAGCAGTGTCCAACCAATCATGGCATTGATTGAGTGACGAAATCACTGATTAAGTGCTGGATCACGTATCTGCAAGATCTTAAAAGGGTCATAACTCGGTTAAATTGTGAACAACCAACTTGAAATTTTGGGAAAGCACTTCAATTATCAAACCAAGTGTGTCTAGAAACTTTGAAGTTCCTAGCCGAAAGCGTTCTCACTTTATGGTGACAATAGTGAAAAAGAGGGAGTGGCGTGCCACACCCACTGCAATTAATTAAATTTGACGAAATTTTCAGGAAATCTAAGTTTGACCCATATCCATTATCTCTGAAATTTCTGTGCAATTCTAAGAAGAATTACGTGAGTTATTAAAGGGTTGCGTGTGGGCAGTTACTTCTGGGCCATCCTGTAGACTTATAACTGTATAATTGATACTCTGCAGGTTTCAGCACAGCCAGCCCCCAGAAGAGCTAAACGGAGAGCACCGCCTCCCCCAACCAAACAATCAGTGGGTCCTTTATTTAGTAATTAGTACTTCTTGTACAGTTTTACCTAATAAATAGGGGGGGGTGTCACGTCCGTCTATGTCCGCTTGTCTCATAGAATCCAAAAAGGACAGGACATAGGCGGACATAGGCGGACATAGACGGACATAGGCGGACATAGGCGGACATAGACGGACATAGGCGGACATAGGCGGACATTAATGGACACCTAAATTGCTAAATAAAATGTTCAATTTTTGCTGTTTAAATAGGGGATCATGTTTTTTGTCCGTTCGGTACCCTATATTTTCAAAACGGACAAAAAATAGAGCGGACAAAAACGGACAAAAATGGAAATAACATTTAGATGCTTCCTCCTCCTACTCTTCCTCCTCCTCCCCCTGGGTCTTCCTGATCTTCCTCAGTCCTCTTCCTCCTCCCCTCCTCAGTCCTCCTCCTACTCCTCCTCCTCGTCCTCAGTCCTCCTCATCAGTCCTCAACAGTCCTCCTCCTCCCCAGTCCTCCTCCTCCTCCTGAGTCCTCCTCCTGGGTCCTCCTCCTCCTCTTCATCCTCCTCCTCTTCCTCCTCAGTCCTCAGTTCTCCTCAGTCCTCCTCCTCATCCTTCTCCTCAGTCCTCCATCCTCCTCCTCAGTCCTCCCCCAGTCCCCCGCCCCCTCCTCCTCTTCAGTCCTCCTCCTCCTCCTTCTCAGTCCTCCTCCTCCTCCTCCTCCTCTTCCATCTCAGTCATCCTCCTCAGCCATCCTCCTCAGTCCTCCTCAGTCCTCCTCCTCCGTCCTCCTCCTCCTCCTGGGTCCTCCTCCTCCTTTTCATCCTCCTCCTCTTCCTCCTCGGTCCTCAGTCCTCCTCCTCCTGGGTCCTCCTCCTCATCCTTCTCATCAGTCCTCCTCCTCCCCAGTCCTCTCCCAGTCCCCCTCCTTCTCCTCCTCCTATTCAGTCCTCCTCCTCCTCCTCCTCAGTTCTCCTCAGTCCTCCTTCTCATTTCTCCTAAGTCCTCCTCCTGAGTCCTCCTCCTCTTCCTTCTGAGTCCTCCTCCTGAGTCCTCCTCCTCCTCCCTCTCAGTCATCCTCCTCAGTCATCCTCCTCAGCCATCCTCCTCAGTACTCCTCAGTCCTCCTCCTTCTCAGTCATCGTCAGTCCTCCTCCTCAGTCCTTCTCCTCCTCCTGGGTCCTCCTCCTCCTCCTCCTCTTGGGTCCTCCTGGGTCTTCCTGATCCTCCCCAGTCCTCTTCCTCCTCCCCTCCTCAGTCCTCCTCCTACTCTTCCTCCTCGTCCTCAGTCCTCCTCATCAATCCTCAACAGTTCTCCTCCTTCCCAGTCCTCCTCCTCCTCCTGGGGCCTTTTCCTGGGTCCTCCTCCTGGGTCCTCCTCCTCCTGGGTCCTCCTCCTCCTGGGTCCTCCTTCTCCTCCTCAGTCCTTCTCCTCCTCCTCCTCAGTCCTCTTCCTCCTCTTCCTCCTCCCTCTCAGTCATCCTCCTCAGCCATCCTCCTCAGCCATTCTCCTCAGTCCTCCTCCTTCTCAGTCCTCCTCCTGAGTCCTCCTCCTGAGTCATCATCCTCAGTTCTCCTCCTCCTCCTCCTAGGTCCTCCTTCTGGGTCCTCCTCCTCCTCCTCCTCCTGGGTCTTCCTGATCCTTCTCCTCCCTCTCAGTCATCCTCCTCAGTCATCCTCCTCAGTCATCCTCCTCAGCCATCCTCCTCAGCCATCCTTCTCAGCCATCCTCCTCAGTACTCTTCAGTACTCTTCAGTACTCTTCAGTACTCTTCAGTCCTCAAAATGTTTGTCCGCTAATGTCCACCAATGTCCGCTAATGTCCACCAATGTCCATCCAAGTCCGCCAATGTCCGTCCGGGTCCGCCAATGTCCGTCCGAGTCCGCCAATGTCCGTCCGAGTCCGCCAATGTCCGTCCGTGTCCGCCAATGTCCCAAAAAACACGTCCGTTGTCTCATAGAATCCAAAAAGGACAGGACATAGGCGGACATAGACGGACATGACACCCCCCCTAAATAATTGATAGATATTCTCAAAAGCTGAAAACGTTTTTGTTGTGGTTTATTCCTATCTTTAAATAATTATTTACAAGAGATTAATTCCTAAATTCCACTGAATTTCGTATGTTGTTTTAGTCAAAGTTCTGTTTAGCTATTTATATTTTCACGGTTTATTTATTTTCCCAGAGCGGTGGACCTACGTTTTATGCTGGAGACAAGAACAAAGCAGTTATTTCGTTGTTGGACTTAGACTTCAATGCCCCTGCAGTCGTAAGTTCAGGGGCACCACCCCCACAGCCACTACTCATACTGCCTACTGCTGATATTATGAGTAAGGGGGCGCCACCCTCTCGTCCTCCTCCTCCTAAATCAGGTTTTTATTTTTTAACACTTCTTTCTTTAGTAGCATCTTTTATTGTTTATACCTGCTCTATGCTCTCAATGTTCTGTGGTTTCTTTAGGTGCAAAAATAACAAGAATTTCGCCGCGGTAACACCACGCACGATTAAATTTCCCTACTGCCTACAATGTAATTGTTCTACTTTAGTGTATCCCAGAGTGGTGTTTGGCGCACGTGATAATCATTAATCGTTTATATTATATTAAGCATGCAGAACTTGAAAAATCCTGCGCGCATCTGAGGTGTCGCCGTCGATCTGTATGTGGTTTGGTTGTAGATCATTTCAGTTTTGCGCGGTTTTGTTTCGTGTTAACGATGCGTATCATGTCACGTCATATTATTGCATCATTTGCCAACTTTATTGACTAATAAAATATTCTGTATCATCTTAGTTATTATTTGTATCTAAGTCTAACATAAACTAATACATTTTGATGCTTATTCGACACATCTACAGCACCATCGACTATCGAGCCTTTGATTTGACATAGGATTCTTTAAAAACATAGTATCGCAATCTTGATCTTAGTTGCTTCTTGGATGTAAATGTAAAGTAACATCTGTTCTCAACTATGCATTCGCTTTTTACCATTCAGTGTCGATCAACTGTTAAATAATCAGCCACGAGTTTATCAGCTGATATCATAATTTCTTTTATACACATAATTATAGGGGAGTGGTCTATATTGCGAAGGGGCAGACTTTTGTCATCACCGTAGGACCGTCGGGCCACCTCATATATCCAAACCCGATTACATATTCCCTACGATCTTTTTGCCTGCGGCAAGAGTAGGGAAAAACTGAAAAAGATTCAAAACGCCTGGCCAGTCTATCTAAATAGTAAATCTACCAGATGGTAAAAGGGCTTCACTTTCCAAAACACAATTGATTACAAATTCTACTTCCTCAATTTTCGCTTATCTACAGGCGATGATGTAGTTGCACTGCAGCCCACTTTTGATGGACTAGCACCACCATTACCACCAAGACCTGGTCCTGGACACATACTTTACCATCACGTACTGAAAGCTGGCCCTTATTGTGTTGCCCTGTTTGAGTTTGAGGCTGAGAGCAGTGACGAACTAAACTTCAAGGTTAGCCGGTTATTACATTTGATCTTACACTCTTACTGTTTGATTTAATCCTGTCTTTTTACTGCGACCTGGATTGATTCCTTTTGTGCACTCCTAAGACAAACAGTCGTGGATTTTTCAGGCAGGCGATGGCATAAAATTGGACAGTGACCTCTCTGATGAATGGTTCGCTGGTAGTATCGGTAACAGACGTGGCATTTTCCCGAAGAATTGTGTCGAAGTGAAAATTCCTCTGCCTGCGCGGTGAGTAGAATTTGATTTGATATCACTGTAAATAAATTTGGTAACATCTGTGGATGTGCAGAGATTACAGTCGGAAAATCACGTCCAATCATTGCTATAAACCGATATTATGTGATTACATTAGCGGCAAACGCGATCGCCTTTTTAATTTGTTCTGATTAAAGCCGCGCTTTCAGACCAATTATAACGCGCACTCATCTAGAAGCCAGTGCGCGCTACTCGTATTTTATCCACCCACACAAATAAAATTTGTTACCCGTCCACTTCCTTATATTATTACGAAATGTGTCATTTGCCCGTAATGATCTAACACAATACGTAAATTAACACGCCCGATGGTTGAAAAAATCCTACACAATGTCTCTTGACACTGTTAACGATAACCAATATATATCGTTGCCGCTGAATCACATGATATATTCTCAGATCAGATACACCTGCCGCCATCCCCTCCCCAGCTAGGACCCTTTCCCCAGCCTCCTCTCCGTCTCCAATACCAGATGCTATAGACACTGCTGCTGATGCAGGTCCTAAAGAAGACTCGGCTCCTAAAAAAGATCTGTTCAACGCTTGGGGTGATTCTCGCACACCATCCCCACCTCCTATACCATCTGAACCTGGTAAATCCCCACCTCATATACCATCTGAACCTGGTAAATCCCCACCTCCTATACATCTAAACCTGGTAAATCCCCACCTCCTATACCATCTGAACCTGGTAAATCCCCACCTCATATACCATCTGAACCTGGTAAATCCCCACCTCCTATACCATCTGAACCTGGTAAATCCCCACCTCATATACCATCTGAACCTGGTAAATCCCCACCTCATATACCATCTGAACCTGGTAAATCCCCACCTCATATACCATCTGAACCTGGTAAATCCCCACCTCATATACCATCTGAACCTGGTAAATCCCCACCTCATATACCATCTGAACCTGGTAAATCCCCACCTCATATACCATCTGAACCTGGTAAATCCCCACCTCATATACCATCTGAACCTGGTAAATTCCCACCTCATATACCATCTGAACCTGGTAAATCCCCACCTCATATCACATCTGAACCTGGTAAATCCCCACCTCCTATACCATCTGAACCTGGTAAATCCCCACCTCCTATACCATCTGAACCTGGTAAATCCCCACCTCATATACCATCTAAACCTGGTAAATCCCCACCTCATACCATCTGAACCTGGTAAATCCCCACCTCCTTTACCATCTGAACCTGGTAAATCCCCACCTCATATACTGAAATGACTTGCTCTTACCTTTGTAATAAGAGTGAGCTAAAGCTCCATGCTAAGATAAGTAACATCGTTAGTAACAATCATAACACTCCTCATATCTCAGATTCCACGTTATCTTCCAATGTATGTTACTAGACGTCTTTCCAAATGATACTTATTTGAATCGTTATCTATCTGCGTATCCTTTACATCCTTCCCAATCAATAAGCTGGATATTGACATTGGGGTAAAAGTCCAACGTGATAAAATATTATTATTCATGTAAATAATGTCCCTCATGATAATAATAGTGTCCGTTCATCACGTTATAACAAGATTCTTATCGTCAATAAAATATTATTAATCATGTAAATAACGTCCCTCATGATTATAATAATGTCTGTTCATCACGTTATAACAAGATTCTCATTGTCAATAATATATTATTAATCATGTAAATAATGTCCCTCATGATAATAATAATGTCCGTTCCTCGCGTTATAACAAAATGACGGTCATGAATTGACTGTCATGTATAATATAATATCGTTATGTATCATATTAATCCAATAGTCATGATAAATAGTATAACATATTTGTATCATTTCTATCATGTCCCAAATGTCCTATTACCCTCTGAAATACCCCAAATTCCATCAATCCTCATCTGCGTCTGGTTGTCCGCTGGCCTCTGCATCTTCGTACCGCTTCTTCTTCCCGTCCGCCTGCAGTAACCTCACTGGATTCCTAGTCCTCCCGGATCTCCGAACGGTTAGCGCCGCATCAGGTGGAGCTACCGGGGACTGTTCCATGACCTCCGGAACACCGTCGTTCACTTGAGGGTGTAGTTCATCTCGCTGGGGTTGTGTCATCGTAGGGCTGTCCGGCTCCGGAGCCACCTCACTGCTCACTACTCTCTTGTGCGTTTTCAAGTAGTTGAACCGTCTATCTTTACGCGTGCCTCTACTGTCCTTATCCACTGGCTCCATCGTGTAAGTATATCCGTCACCCTTGATCACTGTTACCCTGTACGGCTCCGAGTAGCGGGGGGATGTCTTCCCGCCTTTATTGCTCCTTGCTTCGTCCGTGAGCCTATAACGCACCAAGTCGCCTACTTCGTACGGGGTTTTGCAGGGTCCTTCTTTCTCTGCTGATTCCACTCTCTCCTCTTGATATTCGACCAGGTTTGTTCGTGCTTGCTCAGTCAACAGTCTGCATTCTTCGTCCCTCTCCTCCAATACAGTTGTTCCAGGCTTCTTCACCTTATCCCTCTCCTGAGCAATCATGTCGTCTGGTCGGTTAAAATCCCTGCCAAACAAAAGCCTAGCTGGAGTAAAACCTGTTGTAGCGTTGATCGAGTTGTTGTGGCTCCCTTGTACCAGGTATAAGGCCTCCGGCCACTTCTCCCCATCGTTCTCGCAAAGGCATCTGATCTGGTTCATTAACTGGTTCTGCCTCTCTACTTGCCCCTGGCTCTGGGGGTGTCCCGGTGAACCCAACTTGTGTCTGATACCCACTCTTTTACACAGTTCCTCGAACACCTCTGCAATAAAATGTGGACCTCTATCCGATCTCATCTTTTCCGGGATCCCGAAAAGACTTATCCATCTTTCGACCACTGCATCTGCTGCCGTTTTTGCTCTTGCATCAATGGTCGGTACAAAGATTATGAATCGACTAAACACATCTTGCATTTGGAGGACGTACCTGTATGGATGCTCCCTCGCTGTCTGGAATGGACCAAGAAAATCAAGCATCATCTCCTCCAGAGGTTTTCCGGGTATACTCGTCTTGGACACTGGCGCCTTGTTCGGGTTGTTGACGTGTTTGTTCAGACCACACTCTTCACATGCCTGAACGTATTGTTCTATGTCTTGCCTCATGTTCGGCCACCAAAAGTTATCTCGTGCCCTCTTCCAGGTGCGTGTGTTCCCCATATGAGCCGCTGTAGCACTCCTATGAACAAGATTCATAATTTTGTCCCTGTACGTCTTAGGAACTATTATCCTGTTCTTTTCCACTGTTCCGAAGGGGTTGCTTTCCCGCTTCTTTCCCCCGTTGAACCGTAATCTTAATATCCCCTCTGAGTCGACGAAAATCCTGTCCCTATGCTTCCACATCGCTTTGACTTCCTCATCGTTGCTCCCGCTGGGCTTCCTCCACGATTCTGATTCGCTATTCCCGGGGTTCAGATCTGTTCCTTTCAAAACCGCCTTACGCATCGTTTGTACTGCTGCGTCATTGCTCTGCTCGCTCAGGATCTGTTCTCGACTGACAGTTATCGCCTCCTCGCCTCCAGCGGTCATCACGACAAACACTTCGCTACGGTCTTTCACAGCTACATTTCCGTCACATTTGACCCGTGAAAGGTAATCAGCTATTCTCATCTCTGGGCTTTTCCCTTTCTTATGAGTGACTTTCATGTCAAACTGCTGAATCAGGTCTAACCAACGTCCCCTTCTCCCCGTCTCATTCTCCGGTTCAAGTGAACGAAGCCAACTCAGTGCTTGGTGGTCCGTAATAAGGTTGAACTGCTTGCCTAGATACACTCTGAACTTCACTACCGCCTTAACCATCGCCAACAACTCCTTCTCGGTAGCTGAGTATCCCTGTTCTGCTTTGGATAACGCGTGGTGGTAGAATGCCACAGGCTTCAGGGTATCCGGTGCTTCCATGCACCTCTGTGCCAGCATGGCTCCCGCTGCCATTTGACTACAGTCTGTTACTAAGGTGAATGGCTTATCCATGTCGGGCAAACTCAACGACACTGCGTCCGCAATCAATTTCTTTATTGTTGAAAATGATTCATTCATTTCCTCCGTCCACTTTAGCCGGGCATACGGCTGGTCCGTGATCGCATTATACAATGGCCTGGCAATCTGTGACAATCCTGGTAGCCACCTTTGCACGTAGCCAAACGCACCTAAAGCCCTTCTAAGCTCTCGTACATTATGAGGGCGCTCTATGCTCCTCAGTTGCTGCACTCTCTGTTCGTTTATCTTCACCATGCCTTCTTTGATGGTGCATCCCAAGTAACTGACTTCCCTGACTCCAAACTGGCACTTCTTCGATGCCAAGGCCAGGCCTGCATCCTTCACCTTTTCCAGCACCTTCTTGAGCCGTTTCATGAATACCTCCCAAGTTTCCCCCCAGACTAGGATGTCGTCCAAATAGCACAGTGCATCGACGAAGTTTGAACTCCCCAAGATCACTGACATCATCCTTTGGAACGAATATCCCGCACCTTTCAAACCAAACGGGGTTCTTCCTGCAAACTCATAATGCCCCCATGGTACTACAAATGCCGTTGTCTCCGAATCTTCCTTTCGTAGTGGTAACTGGTGGTATCCCGACTTTGCATCAAGGACTGCAAAGTACTTAGCCTTCCCCAGCCTGTCCAAAAGATCGTCAATGAGCGGTATTGGATGTAAAGTCGCTGTATTTGACTTCTCATTGGTTATCCGATAATCAATCGCCATCCTCAGGCTCCCGTCTTTCTTGCGTGCACACACTATGGGTGATGCCCATTGGCTGTTAGATTCCCTGACTACTCCTTGTTTGAGTAGCTCATCGACGTGTTCCCGGACTTCATCGGCTAACTCTTTTGACAACCTCCTCGGCTTGCTCACTACTGGTGAGCTGTCCTCTTTCAGCCTTATGGTGTGTTCCACACCCACTCTAACAATAGGCAGCTCTCCTCCCTTATAGAACACACCTTCATATCTGTTTAGAAGTCCTATTAATTGACCCCTCTTGCTCGGCTCCAGCTCACTGCACACCAACTCGCTCAATTCCGTTGCTTTGCCTTTCTTTGTATCCCTGGTGAACGCTTTACCCGCATTGTGGTTTGATACCCATACGGTCCCGAGTTCAACTGTAGCAATGGGATCCCCTTCTGCCAGGGTCACTTCTTCCTCTCCTAGATTTGCTACCCTGATCTGTACCTTACCGCTCTTTGTTCCCTGAACAATCCCGTAAGGTGTGCTTACTAGCTTATCGTCAAACGTTATTGGTTGAACCATATATTCCTTACCCATCTCCATGTTGGGGATGTAACATGTCACTAACGCCTCACTCCTGGTAGGGATCTTACGTTCGGCATCCACTACCACTTCAACTGAGTTCTCCTCCTCAATGGTCCCTGCGACGCTGCTCCTGCCTGCGGCTGGGTGGCATAGCAACTCTATCTCTTCACTGTTACCATTGATAGTCATCACACTCTTGTTGAAGTCAAATGATATGTTGGCTATCCTAGACCAGAAATCTATCCCCAATATCATCGAGCAGATCATCTTCTCAACCACAATGAATCGCTGGTGGGCAAAAGTCAGTCCACCCACAGAGACAGTTCTTCGTATCTCTCCCGTGACAGGTATTCTTTCGCCGGATACTCCTCTCCCACATAACGCCGATTTCTCCATTGTGGCCTTCTCCTGTTCTGTAAGTAAGTCCTCACATATTAATGACCACTGGGCCCCTGTATCGAACAGTGCAGTTTCCTCAACTCCATTCTCCCACTTAATCCTAATATATGGTGTCGAGTTCAGACCCTCTGAAGCGATCCCCTTCATCTGTTGTAACTGCTTCCGCCGTCCTTTACCACCCTTCTCAGGAGTAATGACCCGAAACTGGGCTCTGGCACATGCCCAAGGTTTCACGTCATGCTCCTCCCCTTCTCTGCTGCTAGGTTGCTCTCCAGTATTCTCCCCGCCCCCATCACTCTGCCCGTCTATAGGGGGCTCTACCGAAAATCCGTACCCCTTCCTCTTCCAGCCTTGTCACCTCTTCTTGCCGGTCTCCACGTAGGGTCCTCCTTCTTTCGCACTGCGCAGTGAAACCATCCCCCTCGGTGTTTCTTTTTACAGTAGAAGCATTCAAGGAATTCTAGTGGTAGCCCGTCTGATGATTCACCACTTCCTCTCGAACTGCTGCTCCTGTTTGACCGGCCTGACTCGCCGGACGATTGCTTCCTCCTGTCTCCAGCATGTGACGATGACTTTTGCTCCCACGCGCTAACCGAATATTCTTGTGCTGCGTTGATGCTGCCGGTCTCCTTACCCATGGCTTTTACTGCGTCGTCCGTCTTCTTTGCTATATCCGCTACCTTCAGGAGGTCCTCCAGGGGTTTCGCCTCTTGCCGTGATTTCATCCAGCCACCCTCTAGCAGCTTCCGCTTGATCCTCTCGTCCCCCAATCCACTAACAAACTTCCATGCTACCCTTCTGTCGAGGTCTAATTGGCTATCTCCGTCGTATGCCTCTTTCACCGTCATTTGCAGTCGGGTCATGTAGTCGCTGATTGTCTCCCTGGGCTCCTGGATACTCTTCTCAAACCCAAGAATGTTCAGTTCGATTGCCTGTACATTCGTGAATTTATCCTTCAACTTACTTACAAGTAATTCGTCGTTACTTGTCCACGGATTCAGCATGGAGCTCGCAAAACTCACGTAATCAAATGCTTCCCCTTGCAGACAAAGCGTCAGCTTCCCAGCCCTGTAGGATGGGGAGTCCCACCCTCTCAGTCGTGCCCGCATGTTCAGCTCTTTGACCACTTTATATCTCTCGATGAACCTTCTCATTGAAACTGCAGAGTAGTCCCCGTCGTGTCCGAAAGATAGGTCTATCCTCTCTTCCTTTCCCATCGCGTCGTACGGCGTCCCCAGTACTTCTTCCTCTACTGGCTCCTGTTTCACCTTGGTGCTTCCTTGGGCCATTTCTCCGCCATAACTGCCCGTCAGCATTGTACAGGCTAGTACTGTTTCTGCGCAACTCTTCTGAAAGTACTCCGCCTCGACATTGTCATTCGCCAAGTCCTCTTGGGCCAATGTCATCCGCTGGAGCAACTCTACTGCTTCCTTGTTCATTTCCTCCCACTTCGCTTTATTCTCCTGGATCCGCTCCTGAACATTGCCAGCATTCTTCTTGATCTCCCGGTTCTCTACTTCCAGGGCTGCGATCTTTTCCGACATTTCCTTGTTGTTCTTCATCAACAAAGCCAAGCTGGCCTGGACCTCTTTCATCTGTTCATCCATAGCGTCGTTCGTATTCACTTCAGTCACCAATGAAATGACTTGCTCTTACCTTTGTAATAAGAGTGAGCTAAAGCTCCATGCTAAGATAAGTAACATCGTTAGTAACAATCATAACAATACCATCTGAACCTGGTAAATCCCCACCTCATATACCATCTGAACCTGGTAAATCCCCACCTATACCATCTGAACCTGGTAAATCCCCACCTCCTATACCATCTGAACCTAGTAAATTCCTCGTTGAACAGTTTTGAGGTGACAGGTTTCTGAATTATCGTTCGGAATTGATCAACTATCCAATTAAATAAGTTAATCAGATTACTGTTACTTTTATTAAATTGTATAAATAATTATTAATCATAATAGTACACCGCTACAAGAGATTGAAACACTATAACTCTATAACCTGCAGAACCGACCAGTACTCCCACCCCAGAACCTTCTCCAGCACCAGTTCCAGCACCAGTTCCAGAGCCTACACCTCCAGAGCTAACTCCTATTGGCACCTGCATTGCTATCTACTCCTTCGAGGCTCAGGAATCTGACGAGCTTTCTATCATCGAGGGGGGCACTGTCGAAGTTGTAGGTAAGTCTCATACTTTAGGTACAATTAACAACTGTGTTACGTATCACATACTAGCAGTGTCATCAAAGATGAAAATCCACAATATTAATCTTGAGCCTATTTGAAGATTATTTAGTTTCATCCCCAGAGTTTGTAGACGATGATTGGATCAAGGGAAGAGTTGGTGACCAAGTTGGTATTTTCCCCCGATCATATGCCTCGTTTGGAGACGAAGAAGTAGAAGAAGAAGCGTTGGAAGAGATATTGGAGGAAGATACACATTCAATGGGCGTTTTCTATGACTTTGAAGCAGGAGCTGACGATGAGTTGAGTTTGACGGCGGGTGATATGGTTAAAGTTATTAGTACTGTTGGAGTGGAGTGGATTAAAGGTAGGTTTTGGTAAAATATCAGCTTTTTTAAACATATCAGCTGTGTTTGGGTTGCTGTTGGTCTGTTTGTTTGTTTGTTTGTTTGTTTGTTTGTTTATAGAACCCGTCCCAATCTCGTATCGGAAACTGACGAAACTCAATTTTTAGTGTGAATACCGGTGGTACCTGCAAGAGTGTTCATTAAGCATTTGGAGTTCTGTAAAACCGCATTTACAATCGTGCTAGAGTATTTTTATTATTTACAATCGATATCAGATCGGTATCCTTGCATGCTTCCAAAATTGTCAATCTCCAACTTTCTGCACAATGTACTGGAATGGTTTAAAAGAGGAAAAGAAAAAAAGTATATACATATAGATAAAAAACAATATTAAAAAATAAAAAAATAAAATTCGGGGAAACATAGTATGTAACGTCGATACCAAACCAATTATTGAGCGATGGTGACTGAGTTGTTGATTCCTGGGTTGCAGAGTCCTCCTGTTTCCTCATTCTTTGAATTAGTTTGTGTTCTTCTTCAGTTCTGTCCATATGTTATGATCAAAGTTTTGGAGTGTCATGTTGTCCTCAAATTATTTGGTCTAGAAATAGCGAACTATTTTTGGCGGACAATTTATCTTCTAATAGATATTCCAAGTTTCACTGTCATAGTCAGTGCTCATAAGTCAGTAGTGGATTACAAAGTGAATATTTAATGTTTGTTAACTGTTTTTTCGCCAGGGAGATTTGGAGGCAAAGAAGGAATATTTCCCGCTTGTTTTGTTCCAGCTATTCCTGACCACTGGAATATTCCCGAAGACTCTGAAACTTTCACTGAAAACTTTGGTGAGCCAAACTACACCTTAAGTTTGTTCTCAGAGTTTAAAAACACGAATGACGAAAATTATATCCATTTTAGATTATTTGCTTGTGTTTCACTGTCATGAAGATGTAACTAGGTGAGACCGACCTAATACTTATAGGTGTGACCAGTGCAGGGGTGGGGGGGGGGGTATACTTACCTGTAGTTTGCAAGTAGAGCCGCGCACTGGTAACGACTATTAGCTCGGTCTCACCTAGTCACATCTTCGTGACAGTAACAATTTCATCTCAGAGACTACCGAGGAGAGTAGTAGCAGTAGCAGTAGCAGTAGCAGTGACGATCACAAGGACACAATGTCAGAGATAAGCGATTCAAGAAGTTACTCTGCAGAACCCAGCTCTGATTTGGGCAGAGTCGAGGTAATACTTATAATTTCTTTTTACAGAGCGTGAGCGGTAACTAAGTAACTTTCAAACATTTTCAGCTTTACCAGCGAACAAAACCAAAACGGAGATTTTACAATAATCGATCATGAAACATTCTGGTTTTTAGATATAATATACTGGTTTTTAGATATAATTGTAGTTACTATTCGCAGATTATAGCTGACTTTAAAGCAGAGAATGATTTCGAAATGAGTGTAAACACGGGAGACATAGTGAAAATAACAGCGCGACTAAACGACCTGTGGTTAGAGGGGGAGTGCCACGGTAATAACGGTATTCTACCAGTTAACTTTGTGAAGTGGCTCGATACTACACCTGAGCCTGATATTATCGGAAATCCAGGTTAGTAACAAATATTCTACTGATATTATGAACAAAGAAAATTTTTTCTATTTTTTCATTTCCATCAGAATTAGAAAGTGTTCATCTTTGGCTGAAAGTTGAATGAGTTAAATGATTACTGGAAGGTTGGATACAATTTAACATTTGTTTTATTGTATTTGTATACCTTACAAGACATATTTATGGCGGCCTAATTTGCGACGACCGAAATTTTGGCGGTCCGAAAATATGGCGAAATTGAACAAAAACCGTCAAATTTCGGACGTCACAGAAAATAAGGGTATTTTTCATCATTTTTTGTGACAGTAAGCAGTAAGGAAATTTCTGAAATTCGGTAAAATCTTGTAGGTTTACAACCTACCAGGACGAGTTGGACTCGTCGACGGTCCAATATATGGAACAGATATTTTACGAGTATCACCCGTTAAGTAAAATCATGTTCAAACTTAGTCTGTATTAAGACTGTAAGACTTTCATGTTAGCACATACATGTATTTTAATGCAAATTTAAACTGTATTGCTTGACATTCAATTCGTCATTGGTGTGGTGATAATTTGTCCCAAGATGCCAGAATTTATTTATTTATTTTGCTTGATATTACTTTTTAGAAACAAAATAAAGCAGTGAAGGCACAGTCATTGAAATAAGCTAAAAGATAATGCGACGGATTCTATTACGACGACCGAAATTTTGGCGGTCCGAAAATATGGCGAAATTTTCGGAAAACCGCCACATTTCGTACGTTATAAATATGTCTTATAAGGTATTTAAAAAATATCTCTCAATTCTATTCCCTCCACCAGCTGCGACTGATAGACTGGTTCTAGAGCGTCAGGACACTATAAAACCCATCGAAGAGCCTAAAGAAACAGAAGTTACTCCAGCACCACTTGGTATAGGGTTCAGCGAGTGCAATCCCTTCGCTCAAGAGTTTGGCATCGGAGCTACACCCCCGACTCAAGAGTTTGGCATCGGGGCTCCACCCCCGACTCAAGAGTTTGGCATCAGGGCTACACCCCCGACTCAAGAGTTTGGCATCAGGGCTACACCCCCGACTCAAGAGTTTGGCATCGGGGCTATACCCCTGACTCAAGAGTTTGGCATCAGGGCTACACCCCCGACTCAAGAGTTTGGCATCGGGGCCACACCCCCGACTCAAGAGAGCTTGACTGGCGATCTACCGCCTCCCCCCACTCAAGAGGATTTGGATCAAACTTTAGTCCATGCTGATAACCCTTTTACTGCGGACCTGTTTGGGGATAATGTTGGGGTTGTAGAGACACCTTCCCCTTCTACTCCTACTACTGAACCGTCCGTTAAATCAGGTAACTTACAGTTTAACATTAATTGAACTATTTTTACAGGGTATTAGAATATTCTTTAGAAAATAGGCTATTTTCGTTGCTGCTATACTTCTGAAATTGGTCAAATTACAATATCTTTTTGATCAATGAATGTTATTGATATAAAAGGAATGATTTCTTCATTTTGAGTAAGCGATCGACAGCAGGCTCTCTGTACTTCTTAAATATAACTTTTAAAAGGAGAAGAGGGGATTTCCAAGGGTCTCAACCGCAAAAAATCGTAATTTTGTCAATTTTAAATCATCTCCCCCACCCCAGGCAATAATAGAAGAGCGTTATACGAATTTACCTCTGTCAACGATGATGAATTAGATTTCGAACTAGGAGACATAATAAAAGTAAGTTCACTGTTTATTTAACCTTCTATTTTAAATTTTAACAGACTATCATTTTGAAGCTTAAGTCCAAATGGTGCAGATTTAATAATTTTGCTGCGACAGTCATACCACAGAAATGTTGCATTTTTGAAATGTAGAAAACTATTTTTGAAATGTAGAAAGCTATTTTACTCGCTAGTGAAACATTTCTAAACTTTTTCCTTTTTTTAGGTTACTGAATTCTTGAATGAAGATTGGCTAAGAGGAACGTGCAAAGGAAAAGAGGGACTGTTCCCAACATCATTTACCGAGGAATTTCCTCAATCTTAATGTTGATTTTATGAAAATTCTCTTGACGAGATAATAATTGTCAGTTGACAATGTAAACTTTCTTTGTGTACATCATTTGATGCAGCAGCAGCTGCAGACACCAATATCCATCCAAGCTTTTAATTTCACAATCATCGCAAATTTATAGTTTAAAATTGTTTGATTGATTCATCCCACTACTTCCCTTCTTTTATCTCAATTTCGTATTTTTACTTTAATTAATGTTTTGAGGCATTCTTATCAAGATTTTTAAATCGTTTTAGCCACATAATGACTCCAATATTACAATGCGATGGAAGTTACAGGGAGGGGGGGGGGCCTGAAGTTATAGTGATGACTAAAGGAGTGGCAACATGTTATGTGCGCGTCTTTCATTTCATGTCTTTTTGAATTGTAATTACTTTTATATACAAAGATAGAACGACTTTTAGCAATAACTCAATGCTCAAACTACGTCGATGCTCGAAAGATCTTTTGAATAATTTAATAACAATGTTTTATTTTTGTTATTTTGAAATTCATTCACGGAACTGGATAATAAGTATGGAGAGTTAACTAACCCTAACCAGTTGGTCCACTCATTTTTATATCAATGTGATTCGAGCACAGCAAATGGCTGTAGACTATAGTTTTAGATAGAGTACTGTGTACCAATCTTGTGACTTGAATTTTAAGATAACAGGACTTTGTATTTCTTTAAATGTTTACGATTGATTGGAATGTGAATTCATGGGTTTCATTTGTTGATTTCAATACACAAATTAAGGCAGCCTACAGATATTATTCCATTAAATTGGTGATTAAATTACTATTTGTAGTGACAACATAGTAGTAGTATTACTAGTTGAGATTCATGCACCTGATGTTATGTATTGAATCCCGACATCGAGATTAAAATTACCCACGCTCGATAAAAATGAGGTTTTTTTGGCCCAAAGTTAAAATTTAGAAACAAAATTGACAGGAAAACAAATTAAGTACATACAGCAGTCTTGAATAAAACAGAATCAATAGAACACGTAGATTTTAAGTGATTTAATTTAATAAAAACTATCATAAATATAATCTAGCTCACTAGCCCAACATCAAGCCCATGAATTTGTCATTGTGCTATCGCCTATCACAACATACATAGGCTGGATAGGATGTTGACTAAAATTGAACATAATTCGTAAAATAATAATTTATATAAATGTTAAACTGTAACTTATAATCTTTATATAACAAGTATGTTATTGAAGCAGTTCAGGTATAATTTATAATTACACGGTATTTATATAATTACATACAAAATAATTCTAGATTTAAATTTAATAATCTTTCAAAAAATAAACTTTTACTTCATATCCATCGAAACATAATTCTTCATCATAAACAAAATTCAAGCACAATTGGTACATAATTTGAGAAATTGCATTAAAGTAATGTTGTTTGTTGCCCAAAAAATAATTGTATCTTAATCCTTCAAGTATAGTATACTGTCCACACTTCACATATTACGTAATCAGCCGAGGGGGGGGGTGGGGGTGGGGTTTCCAAATAATTACGATAGTGTAAAACTGATTGCGGAGGGGGTTAAAAATTGTCCATAAAGTGATTACGTAATATGTGAACGATCCCTAGCAGGAATACCAGCCATACCAAGTTATCATGCTGTATAATGTATAATGTATAATGTATATGATTACGATAATAAATATATATTGTCCTCAATCTTCTTAGGCGAGCGCTTTATTCCACCTTTTGATGCTTCGAGCAAACCACTTTCCAAAACGCACCCTGAAAAAGTTGTATTTGTTTTAAAAGACAGTATACTTTCTGAAAAATATCACTGCTTATTCCTTAAACGTAAAGTTGACAATTGTTCATTGCAGCTTTGACAGAAACAACTCACATAAGTACTAAATAACACGGAATAACAAAACAATTATACGCCATCAGTTCAAAATACCTGAATAGGAATGAAGGGGGAAGTTCGGCCGAGGAGAATATCGTTGAGGAGAAGAGCGACCATGAACAGAGCACCAAAGAACACACCCTCAGCAGCTGTGAGAGGAATCTTTCCCGTGAGGATCAAAGCGTTGAAAACTCCCAGCACGAATGAGGCTTTGGTCACTCTGAAAAAGAAAAGTAATAAAGTACTGTGACAATAATATATATACACCAAACCGTAAATACCTTCCAGTCTTCCCGCGTCAGGCAGGATGATTACTCAACAAGTTTACCCAAATATGACTGAAAATAGGACTTACTCTGTGACTTGTTTCAGTTCGTTTTCCCCATCACTTTCACAAGCAGCTTCTCCTCTTATCTTCCTGTCCAAACTCATCATCAGACGAACAGCACTTCCTGCGAGAAGGGCTAAGTGTAAACAAACTGAGTGTAAAGGCTAAATGAAGAGGAATATTCAATAGAAAAGATCGGAATAAATGCAGGTTTGGTCAGAGTCCAGCTATATAGCTAGACAAGATCAGACAAGATGCGCGAACTTTTATATGAAATATTCGTTCGGCGGTCGCGCCCGACGACGTTTCCGTGAATTTTGTAGGGGATTTTTTATTCTCGACGAATACGCTTCAAACAAACTTCTGGAAAAACTCGATTGATCACATTAATGTTCAATCTAGATTGTAGTCTTGATTAATTACCGTCAACAACTCCACAAAGGATTATGATAGTGGTGTGTTGAGGAAAGTATTGGTTTCCTTCCTGACAAGAATGCATGACGAGCCTCGCGTGCCTAGCTTCACAGATGACGGCTATCGCTAACTGAAACGTAATTAAGATAAGGAAATTACTTAACACCGGGGAAGGTTCTCGACGAAAAGTGTTTTACACACGGATGAATAACCGGAAGTTTGATAAACTAACCTGGATTGGTTTAAGCTGAACAGCTTTGTAGAACAAATCTCCAGGGCAGAAGAACACTCCCCACCTGGGATTTGACTCGATAAAAATACATAGCTTGAAATTGAAATTCAGTTTGATGGATTATAAGTTACGACATAAGGTATTTTTCAAATAACGAAAAAAATGTTATTAAAAAATGTAAAGAATCTGACCAACAAAGAGCAGCAGTCAGAGAGTCCCAGGCGTTGTTAAGACACCCAACAAGAGGCAGACCCAGCAGGAGGTGAACACAGATAACATTAGCTTGTACGTAGAGGATGAGGATCACAAGGGATGCAATAGGGTGGTTTACTGCAAACTTTATGCTCCCTGGGATAGATTTAGTTCAGTCTTTAAATTGTTCAGTAAAAAAAGAGATTTTGTATGATGGTATTGCAAGAATGCAGATAATAAAACTCAGAAGAGAAGATTAAAGGATTGTGATTAAAAAGTGTGCTTCAAACCTTTGTGCTCTCGAAGAAACACAGCCATGAGAATACAATATGGAATATCAAGCCATGGCATGTCAGGCACCCACTCAAACCAATCTACCAATACACCAAACATACCTGCCCTGCCCAGTATATGACGTATTATTATTATGAAGCCAGGTTACAAACCAGGTTACAAGTCATTTTAAATGAAATTATAGTACAGTCAAATACGTCCCAAAGTAAGCCTTTGTCGAACATAATTCGCAACAAAGCGATTTCAACGGGAAATGGTCGGGAAAGGTCGCAGGAATCATTCCATAGAGTTCCCAAATTTCTGACGTCAGAAAAATCCACAATTACCAATTTTTACCACCTTTTTACCACATTGGTTTTTCGCAAATAAGTCAACTTCTGAATATCTTAGAAGATTTTAGTTTAAAGCAGTGTGTTTAGAAAACAAAGAAGAACAACTTTCTCTTAAACAACTTCTTAATAGATAAATTATTTAATTAATCAATTAAATAATTAGTAAATTTTCAGAAATTTCAAAAATACAGGGGGGCTGGGGGGGGGGGCAAAAGTCAGTACCCATACGTTGGCCTTAATAGCTCAGTCACTGAGTGCCCAATTTAAATAATTCTTTCTGGTATGATTTATTACCACCACTGGTTCGAGGAATTTGTCAAATCGAAAAATATTCGTGTTCATTTTTTCCCTACTCTTGCCGAAGGCAAAAAGATCGTAGGGAATAAGTAATCGGGTTTGGTTATATGAGGTGGCCGGATGGACCTGCGGTGACGACAAAAGTCTGCTCCTTCGCAATATAGACCACTCCCCTATAATTAAGTGTATAGGAAGTGTCTGTTATGCTGCGCGCGACGCTAGCCATGTGTTAATTAATTACAGTGAAATTCCTCCTTCGCAAAGTTATTTTCCGTAATTTTCTGGATTCATTTATTGTTGATGCGCGGCGCTGCATTGGTCAGATAAATCGTCAATTTTTACCTTGCACGAATCCCACTCATTTATAAAAAACATAGTATGTAATTATGGCCATGGTGCACTTTTTTCCAGTCACACTTTTCACTCAAATGAATTAATGCCTTGACAGATGTTACTCGTCTAAATTTCTTCGAAGTAGCGCGCCGCTTTCTTCTCGAAAGTACTACATAGTAGGGAAAATTGATCGTGCGTGGTTTAACCGCGGCGAAATTCTTGTTCTAAAAGGGCCCCCGACAGTTGAAACCAGCTTGATTCGATGTATTTTCGGACGCTGATTCAGAATCACTCCCCATGACATAGGGTTAAAATGCTCCCCGGCCTGCCGAGAAATTGGCGAAAAAACTGTTTTGAATTTGATCACGTGATATGACCGTATAAGGAAGTTGGTCGAATTTCTCGTTAGGGTTAGTATAGGGTTTTAGCATATGCTTCAGCTCTGATGATAGCAATAACTCTAATCGTCGGCTTCTTAGTTGCATTGGCTGCAATGGATGTTTGATATAATATTGTCGCCGTTGAAGAAGTTGAGTATGAGTATGAAGGTTTCTCCTGGTTGGTTTTCTGGATGAATGTAATGATTAGTTTTGTTGGTCATAATTTAGTAGATTTACTTGCTGTGATGTTCAATGTGGATATTTCGTGGGATGATCAGGTGGAAACTGAAAATTGTCTTGCAGGGTTGCTGTATCGCGATTGTTCTGATTTGCCTTTGTATCACGTTGTGACCCCCACGGTCGTTTCAGTATAGTCCTGAAGATACAGGAGGAGCCGCGATACAGGGGGAGCCACGCACTCGTGCGCGGCAGGTCATACAACGTATGACAAATTTGCCTCGTGATCCAATTTATTGTCACACGGCAGAGTACACGTGCACGTGACCCTGACAACCCTGTGCACGTGACCCCGACCACCCTGTGCACGTGACTGGTGACCCCGACCACCCTGTGCATGTGACCCCGACCACCCTGTGCACGTGACCCCGACCACCCTGTGCACGTGACTGGTGACCCCAACTACCCTGTGCACGTGACCCCGACCACCCTGTGCTTGTTGATTAGTCACATGTAAAATGTAAATACCACAGTTTCGATCCTCACGACTGTCTTCGTAGTTTGTAACTCAGGAATACCACTACTGCAGATCTTCAATCAGCTTCTTGAAAATACGTTTGCCGAGTCGGTTTTCGTGTTGATGATTTGTACATGACATTGTTTCACGATGTCAATCCTTCCCAGCTCGGCGAAGCCCAGTGGTGCATCTCGCCGATCTACGGAAGGTTGCGAGAAGATGCGCGACCCAGTAGTGCATCACGCTACAATACATGACATTACCTCTACTTTACTCACTTCTAACAGTAACACCGCTCTTTATATTACCTTACTCGGGATTATTACGACGGGTTTATTAACAACCGGTTGCGAAATTGCTCAAAACCCACCACATTTTTGCGGTCGCCATTTTACCGGTGTCCAACCTTTCAATTTTAGATTCAAAAATTTTGTCTCAGATGTAAATTTCCTTATTAGAGATAAGCAAGTTTAGAAATTTTCGCATTGCTAAAACTTGTGAAACAAGTCGAATTATCAATAATTGTTGAAAGTAGACAGAAATAATGACTCGTGGTTAATCAAACTAGATGGAAAATAATTTTTAACATTAGAAGCGTAACAACCAGATCGATATTAAGATAAAGGGAGAGCTGTTTAGTCTTCCAATAAGTTGTAATCATCTTCGTTATCTTCATCTGGATCATCCCTTTCATCATCCCCCCTTTTCTGAGCCTGGAACTCGTTATCATATGCCGCTCTTAGGAGTACCTTCATTTTGTCAGCTAAAGGTGCGACAGCTTTGAACGTTGCCTATAACTTGATTTCCAACCCACCACTTGGAATATTTTTGGTAGTCTAGCACTCTAGCAAATTCGTTGTTTTGAATTAGCATTAAATGTTTACGTGTATCAAATAACCATTATGACCCAATTTGTAGAAAATCTTCGAAAGAATGCATCGTTCACATTGTTTAGAATTATGAATAAATGACTGATGAAACTGATTCATGTTATTGACAGTTTTAATTAATTCAAGTTTTAATTTAACTGTAACTTTTACTTCGACTCCTATTTCATTATGTAGAGATAGTCAATACCTAAGAAATTAAAAATTGGCCTATTTAAATCAAATTTGACAATAAGGATATATGACAAGAATTGGGCAAAAAGGCGAATTTTTTGCAATTTTAGCCAAATGAAGTCGAAAAACCTACAGCAAGTGTCCCAATAGTCTTCTTTAGTGAACATAAGACAACGATTAAAATATGAGCACCCATACCCCTTGGGAACCCTAAAAGCTGAGACGGCGGGTTTATTAACGACTAAACGACCGGTGAAAATGTGGTTCGGGAAAAATATGGCGAAATTACCCTAAACCCACCACTTTATCCCGGTCATAATAATCCCGAGTAAGGTAGCTAGAAGTAGAGAGTTGAAGGGAATCAGAGGGACAGACGGATGGTATAAATAAATCTTAAATGGGATGTTCTGATCTGGTGATGTTGCATGTTGGCATTGTCAATCATTCCCAGAAAAACTTACTGGCTGGCGGTGTTACTAGCTAGGTGATTTAATTTAAACAGACAGCTTGAGCTCGTGCGCAACATTAAGCATGATTTGCACGCGTGGCGCATTCTAATGTTCAAGCAGCTAGCACGTGACACTTTTCTGGAGATTTGAAGATAACTCAAAATCTACGTTGTCTTAAATTTTCCCCCTGGAGGGGGGGGGGGACGTTACTTTTACAAAAAGAACATGTTGCAAAAAACCGGAAGTCGCTATCTCTTTTAATTTTGAAGTTAGGCCCTGGCCAGTAAGGTTTCCTGGGTTTAACTTAAACAGTGACAAATTTTAATTTAATTTAAATTTATCTTAGATCATAGTAACAAACTGAAGTGTAGCACAGTTTACCTGCCATACTATAAGTTATATCTTGATGCAAGCTAGTATTAGTAAGGTATCTTGATACAAGCAAACTACAGTGAAATTCTATTTTGGACTGCCTTATTTAACTTGAACAGTGACAAATTTTAATTTAATTTAAATTTATCACAGATCATAGTAACAGACTGAAGTGTAGCACAGTTTCCCTACCATACTATAAGTTATATCTTGATGCAAGCTAGTTTTAGTAAGGTATCTTGATGCAAGCAAACTATAGTGAAATTCTTTATTTGGGTACTGCCTTATTTAACTTGAACAGTGACAAATTTTAATTTAATTTAAATTTATCACAGATCATAGTAACAGACTGAAGTGTAGCACAGTTTACCTACCATACGAGACTACAGATATATCTTGATACAAGTAAGCAGACAAGGAGGAATGTTGAGCCCAAATGAAATGAGCACAGCCGTCCTTATATAGCTGCTCCACTTCCAGTTCACTAACATTCAGTTCTCTTTAAGTTTAAGTTCTTTGTTTAAGGGGGGTGGGGGGGGGGTGGGTTCACCCTGATTTTTTTGTGAAACTTGGTTTCGAGATAGCAGTTGACCAACAAACTAGGACCGTTGACCAAACTTTTGAGGGGGTCCCGGACCCCAACCGCCAAACGGTGCCCGCGGGGCAGCCACGCCCATATTTGGTCCAAATTAGGCCCAATTAAGCCAAATACCCTGAATATGCCCAAAACCCAGATTTTATGTGCTCTACTTGTAGCTAGTGGTCCCTTGAACTCATATATGAATTTTCATTGAGATTGGACAAAAAATGACTGAGTTATGAGCTAAAAAGTATGTGCCCATATTTGGGCATACGCACTAAATTTGATCGATTTTGGCCCATTAATTGGTCAAATATCAATATTTTTGAATGAAACCAACTTTATATGAAGGGTAAGCCTAAACTACACATTCTCTATGATTAATAATCATTGATTATCAGCTCAATATCTAACTGAATGTGGATTCTGTGTTCAAATAATCGCAAAAAATGAACAATATCTCAGTTCGCGATATTTGCAAAACTGACTTCGCTCAAAACAATAGGCTCAAAACAATAGGGTTTCAATATTTTTTCATGAAATTTTCAGAATTAAGGCCTAACTCAAAATTTTAATACAAAACTTAAGGTCATGAGGCGATTCTACGTTGATTCTGAAAAAATGATTATTAATCATAGAGAATGTGCAGTTTAGGCTTACCCTTCATATAAAGTTGGTTTCATTCAAAAATATTGATATTTGACCAATTTATGGACCAAAATCGATCAAATTTAGTGCGTATGCCCAAATATGGGCACATACTTTTTAGCTCATAACTCAGTCATTTTTTGTCCAATCTCAATGAAAATTCATATATGAGTTCAAGGGACCACTAGGTACAAGTAGAGCACATAAAATCTGGTTTTTGGGCATATTCAGGGTATTTGGCTTAATTGGGCCTAATTTGGACCAAATATGGGCGTGGCTGCCCCGCCGGCACCGTTTGGCGGTTGGGGTCCGGGACCCCCTCAAAAGTTCGGTCAACGGTCCTAGTTTGTTGGTCAACTGCTATCTCGAAACCAAGTTCCCCCCCCCCCCCCCCCCCCCCCTTAAGACTCTGGGACGATATTTCAACAAATGATTATATTTTCATGACTCTCAGTCTCACCCACACTGTATCCATTTAAGGCACCCGCTCCCTTCTTTGATTTACGAGAATTATCGTGAACAAAATTAGAGTCTGGTATTTTTCATAAATACTGAGGTCTTCTTCCAAACAATTTTAGATCTCTATTGGTTTTTTAGACACCTAAATATGTCGATTTCCGGGTTTTTTCCTTCTTTCCTTTTCATCTTTAACAATAGAATAGAATATTTTGATCTACCTTTTGAACGACTTCTGATACGACTGATTTCTCCTTAAAACACGGTGGTATTTGCCTTAATTTTATCACTATCAGTATCAGGGCTTTAACTTTCAGTCCTGTTCCTTTTACCAGGTTTCAGTCTTTTAAAATCTTATTTTCATTTTTATCTGATATCGATTGATATTTGTAAAAAACGTTGAACTATTTAAGTATTGTCATATTCGTATCCTATTGTTTTTATCTAAAAAAACACCAGACCCGCAGCAATGACGAAAGTATTCTGTTTTCTACTAGTGCTAGGACTGATCGCTCTGACTCAGTGTCAGCCGATCAGACGATCAGCTGAACCCCAGCAGAACGGTGATCTTAACCTATTAAACATTGGAAAACGATCAGCTGAACCCCAGCAGAACGGTGATCTTAACCTATTAAACATTGGAAAACGATCAGCTGATCCCCAGAAGAAGGGTAAGCCGAAGGGTCCGAAGGGGGAATGAACGAATAAGTACAACAGACGTTTATACTTTTTAGTAACCGAAGCTTTAAAAACCATATGTTAATGATACTTGTTTTAAAGAAATGTGTTTGTTCGTTGAATGACCATAGGTTTAAAAAGTTGCATTGAATATTGAGTTTTATTTCTATTAGCACTTTACTTTTATATCAAAAATAAAATACACTCCTATCTATGTACCTCGACAAGAGTACAGTCAACAGTGTAGCGGGCGTGCTAAATCACTCTACAGTCGATCTTCGAGATTTTTCTAAAAGGGCCCCCGACAGTTGAAACCAACTTCAATAGCTGTATTTTCGGACGCTGATTCTGAATCACCCCCCATGACATAGGGGTAAAAAACTGTCTCGATCACGTGATATGACCGTATAAGTAAATTTGTCTTATTTCTCGTTGGGGTTAGGTTCTCAGCATATTATGCTTTTGTAAAGCAGGGGAGCATTTTAACCCTATGTCATGGGGGTGATTCTGAATCAGCGTCCGAAAATACATCACGATTCAAGCTGGTTTCAACTGTCGGGGGCCCTTTTAGAACAATCTCGAAGATCGACTGTAGAGTGATTTAGCACGCTCGAGTTCAAAACAAATTCAAAATTGGGATAGTTCTTTCATTCAAATTTCTGATTGTTTCTGAATAGACTCAGTGAAGACAAATTCTAACGGAAATAAATAGCTGAATAACGTATCGAAATTTCTACGTCATACTGTCATACTCACATATTATATTTTCAAATTATTTGTTATATGTTGAAAGTATTAAATATGTTGAAAGTATTAAAATATGTTGAAAGTATTAAAATATGAGCAATGAGTATGACGTAGAAATGTCGATACGTTATTCGTTCAGCTATTTATTTTTTATTAGAATCTGTCTTCACTGAGTCTATTCAGAAACAATCAGAAATTTGAATGAAAGAACTATCAAATCATAAGCGAGCGTGCTAAAGCTAAATCACTCTACAGTCGATCTTCGAGATTTTTTTTCCCTACTCTTATCTCTTGCCGAAGGCAAAAAGATCGTAGGGAATAAGTATAGTAATCGGGTTTGGATATATGAGGTGGCCGGATGGACCTGCGGTGACGACAAAAGTCTGCTCCTTCGCAATATAGACCACTCCCCTATAATTAAGTGTATAGGAAGCGTCTGTTATGCTGCGCGCGACGCTAGCCATGTGTTAATTAATTACAGTGAAATTCCTCCTTCGCAAAGTTATTTTCCGTAATTTTCTGGATAAATCGTCAATTTTTACCTTGCACGAATCCCACTCATTTATAAAAAACATAGTATGTAATTATGGCCATGGTGCACTTTTTTCCAGTCACACTTTTCACTCAAATAAATTAATGCCAGATGTTACTCGTCTAAATTTCTTCGAAGTAGCGCGCGCCGGGCCAAAACATTAACAATGGTCAAATTAATGCCATAATGGTACAAGTACAATTTTCCCTACCATGTACTACATGGTAGGGAAAATTGATCGTGCGTGGTTTAACCGCGGCGAAATTCTTGTTTTCAAATGAAGGTTCATTTTCGCAATTATTTGATAGTTTTGGATAGTCGTAAATAGTGGTTATTCTTTAAAAATGTCGAGAATTGTACAAATCCAAAATATTGAAAGTGAAAATGTTCAAAAATTTTATAAAAATTAGTTGAACATCATACGTTTTTAAGAACACTCTTGCACATTATTTATTTATTTATTTCTATTATGTTGATGTATAGTCAAGACATGAGTGTTAGGGCTCTCATTGACAAATTTATGTTTAATCCTGTTTAATCCTGTTTAATCCTGTTTAATCCTGTTTACGTTTTACGTAATTGTGAACATTTCTCATCAGATTATATTTTTGAACTATTTGAAAATTTACTAATATTTAATTAATTAATTAATTAATTAGATTACGTATTTATTTATTAAAAAGTTGTTAAATAAAACGTTTTTCTTCTTTGTTTTCTTAACACACTGCTACACTGCTTTAAACTAGAATCTTCTAAGGTATTCAGATGTTGACTTATTTGCGAAAAACCAATGTGGTAAAAAGTGGTAACAAATGGTAATTGTGCATTTTTCTGATGTCAGAAATTTTGGGAACTCTCTGGAATGATTCCTGGGACAATAAGATTTGTGAAGATAACGATACCACAAAGTCTATGATGCGATGGTTGCATAAGATCAATAAAAAAGTGCAATCAGAGTAATAACCAAACAGCAAAAAGAAATTCAGCAAGTTAATACGAAATGAAATACCGAAATATGTGATATTCTAAAATAAGAAGTCGCATGTTTACCGAGGTTTTTACCGAATATATTAAAATAAAATTAGATAAGTTTTTAAAAACAGAGTAGTGTCAGGCACATTCCCCCCCCCCCCCCCCTGCCAGAGTAGTGTCTGTACGAAATAATTGGATTCCGCTGAAATCAGCTAAAGTTACGTTTTCAATTAACATTTATCTGTCCTGCATCACATTTGTACACCCAGTAGAACGCTTCATGTATCACATAGAACTTGTGTTATTAATTACACACGTTGTACACTGTACACACTGTTAATTACACACTTTGTACTTAAAGGGATCTCCGTGAGGTGAAATGTTGGAAACTAGGTGGACTAATTAATTAATTAATTGATAAATCTTAGTGTTTATAAATATATACTAGTGTAAACCGGGCCTACGGCCGGGACTTCACTATCGCAGTTGAAATGTAAAAGTATAAACCCGCCTATTATATTTGCAAACACGCATAACATTGTCGTAGGAAAATATGAACTCTCTCTACAGTCCAAACAGACCGCAATGAGTGCCCCCTCCCCTAGTCCCCTAATAAGCTTATAGTATTACATGACAGTGAATATCGAGGCTAACCTAATTATGATTATGTACCAACGCTGCATATGCAGTAATGGGAGAGAGAGCGAGGAGGGAGAAAAAGTGATCCATTTTATGTCACATTTGTGGTACAAAAGTGTGTGATGCTCCTTTATTGCTTTCCAAAGTTTGAGGTTTACCTGTAATTATTAAAATTCTGTGCACATAGAGATTTCGGGCCCAAGGAACACCTGTGCCAAGTCTCAGGTCCTGGGTGTGGCCAGTCTTTTCCAAAAGTTGAAGTTTACATTTTTTTGAGGTTAAGTTTAAGTTATAATTTTAATTACAGGTAAACCTCAAACTTTGGCAAGCAATATCTCAGCTCTTATCTATCACATATGTTAAAACTAGAAAATTATTTTAACCCCCCCCCCCCCCCTCTGTAATTATATGTGTAATTCTATTCAACCTGACGGCTGACAGTCCCCTTTACAATTCTGATAAAACTTGATTATGCCTAATCACCCCTCTCATATGAGAACTTATATCACTGTTAGATATTAGTGGGGAGGTGAAAATGGTTGAACACCACCATACAGCCTAGTGATATGTATACACCACCATACATGTTTAAATACTTTGACATTTCACCACACAGTAGCTGATATATGTAAAACAATAGTGTCAATGATATTAGATGGTACAATACAATCATGTCAAGATACTGCATGCACTGTGAGTTTGTGTGTATTGATAACACAATAGTACACATGTGTACCTTTCAGTTGACTAATTCAATATAATACCACACAATAAGACATGCATAATTCAATACAGTGTCTACAGTGTGTATAGTGTGTACAGTGTGTATAGTGTGTACAGTGTGTATAGTGTGTATAGTGTGTATAGTGTGTACAGTGTGTATAGTGTGTACAGTGTGTATAGTATGTATAGTGTGTACAGTGTGTATAGTGTGTACACTGTACAGTGTGTACAGTGTGTATAGTGTGTACAGTGTGTATATTGTGTACAGTGTACAGTGTGTATAGTGTGTACAGTGTGTATAGTGTGTATAGTGTCTACAGTGTGTACAGTGTGTACAGTGTGTACAGTGTGTACAGTGTGTATAGTGTGTATAGTGTACAGTGTGTATAGTGTGTATAGTATGTACAGTGTGTATAGTGTGTATAGTGTGTATAGTATGTACAGTGTGTATAGTGTGTACAGTGTGTATAGTGTGTATAGTGTCTACAGTGTGTATAGTGTGTATAGTATGTACAGTGTGTACAGTGTGTATAGTGTGTATACTGTATAGTGTGTATAGTGTGTATAGTGTGTATAGTATGTACAGTGTGTATAGTGTGTATAGTGTGTATAGTGTGTATAGTGTGTATAGTGTGTACAGTGTGTACAGTGTGTACAGTGTGTACAGTGTGTATAGTGTGTACAGTGTGTATAGTATGTACAGTGTGTATAGTGTGTATAGTGTGTATACTGTATAGTGTGTATAGTGTGTATAGTGTGTATAGTGTGTATAGTATGCACAGTGTGTATAGTGTGTATACTGTATAGTGTGTATAGTGTGTATAGTGTGTACAGTGTGTACAGTGTGTATATTGTGTATAGTGTGTACAGTGTGTATAGTGTGTACAGTGTGTACAGTGTGTATAGTATGTACAGTGTGTATAGTGTGTACAGTGTGTATAGTGTGTATAGTGTGTATAGTGTGTATACTGTATAGTGTGTACAGTGTGTATAGTGTGTATAGTGTGTACAGTGTGTACAGTGTGTACAGTGTGTATAGTGTGTACAGTGTGTATAGTATGTACAGTGTGTACAGTGTGTACGGAGCTAGGAAAGGTGTATCGACCAGCTAGATGCTGAAGTAAGAAGTAAAATTGACATTAAAGCTCATCAATTATAACTAGTCAAGTTTCAACGAATTAATACGTTGAAGTAAAATAACAGACTAAAAGTTAAAGTTTGGCACTTGACAATACACGTTACTTACCCTAACATATAATACAACTAAACAGCGGAAATGCACTTAAAGCACAGAAAATAGTAAATGTACAGCGAGATCCGCCGATCAGTCTCTTATATACAACTTTACAGAGGTATCATGTCCAGTAGAGCTGTAAATTACCGTGTCGAATTATTGCTAATTGAGTTACTTGGAGCTTGCACTCTAGGCAGTCTGTGTGGCTAGTAATTGGAAACTTTATCTTACGTAATAAATTAGTTACTAGAATTAAGGCTTAGCAAGTGAATCTCGTCTGGTTATTCTAGCGAAGAGAGGAACGCAAAGGAAAAGACAAAATGTAGTGAAGCTTAAAAACCGAGAAACTAAATCTGACATTTTAAAAATACCAAAGTTTTTAAGTTCTCGTTTTAAACCAGAAGAGGGTTTATTGTTTGATGTAAAAACAAGAAGAATAAAAGGATCCCTTACATAGTGACCACTTAACCCACTGCTCGACAGCACTGAACCGTATAGTAGCTTTACACAATAGCTCGTAAAGGTCGATATATAGCAATATATAGCAATTTAAAGGTAGATATACAATTTAAAAGGTAGATATACAGAAATATACTATAGCAATATAAAGATAGTTATAATATAGCAATAACCTTCAAGAAAGAGAATCAGCAGCTCTAATTATACAGTGTAACTGAGCACGGGCCAGGGTTTACAATATTAACTTAATCATAAGCGGGTACATTAAACTGAATATATTTTATGCTAAACTGAAGAATATTATGCTAAAGTTTATAGAATAATGCTTAATATAATTATATGATCTATTGATTTATAATAACGTTTGCAAGGTACCTACAGGTACCCAGACTGTGGCTACAGTCTAACTTGAATAATTGTTTATGAGCCGCATAGAATATGTTTAATGTTAATCATTCAATCTATATATATATTATATATATATATAACACTATAGACAACATTATTCTTTCAATTAAGTCATCATATTATCATATTTTTTGCAATATTCAAGCTGCTAAAAGAAATTATTCACATTCAACATCCCTACATACATTCCTAATAGTCAATCATTTGTTATGATAAACGTAAGTTTTTGGAGTGTGGAAATATTGAAAACTGATATTAAAGTCTCTTTCAGACATGCGGTTGATCTATGACATGTGGTTGATCTATGAGATGTGGTTGATCGCCTCGTAAGAAAAGTTCACGAACATTCCGGACTAACTCAACTTGTAGCGGATAGAAAAATTGCCAGGATTAAATTGGCCTCCGAAATAAGATGTTGCCGCCACCATTCTACCAGGGAATATATTGCAGGCTACAATAAAATCAATTGTGAAATATGAGAGGGAGACGAAATGTATTATTATACTGTAACCCCCCTAGCCTGTCCCACTGTTATTATACTAGATAATCTGCGCCCTTTTCCACTGAGCTGTCTTTTCAACTCTCCAGGGATTTGATAACAATAAAAATATGTCCTTTAACCATAGTGACCGTGTGTGTCCTGAATCTCCCCGCGCCGACTGACATCTACCTTATTTCATTTCCGGATATTGTCCAACTATCAATATCACAGTTGTGAAACTTCTCCTACTTTGCCTTAACGACTGTGTTTTATTTGTATTGTAAAGCTTTATTAACAGAAGTTTGAACACTCTGCACAACAAGTCTACAATTTACAGTTTAGATTTTAACTTATTGCTAGATACGCATACGGCATAAGTGAAAACACCAGTTTTTATTATAGGTTGAAAAGTTGAACAAAACCAAAGACAAAATTACCCTCGACACAAGAAAAAACTCAAAAGTTAACAACAGTGATTGCCGCGAAAAATTAAAAACGATTACAAACCATGATACACTGTTTGATACAATTTGTTATAATATCATGTAGTAATAAGTAATATAAAGTCAAAACTGTCATAACGTCATATAATTACAAATTCTAATAGTACGAATTTCATCCCTTGATAAGGTTAGGATCGTTCACACTTTTACCAAAAACATGTTTTCAATTTCTAACACCATAACATGGACAATCATAGTAATTAACCCAAAAATCAAGCAAAATCTCAAATACCAAATAGTTTGCTTTCTGAACTTAATTTAAATCAAATCACGCCATATTTATTTAATATCAAATAATTCCAGTTTCGTTGAGAAACTTCGGAGAAAAATTGTGGACTGTAAAATATCGCACCAACACTTGGCGACTTGGCATAATAACGCAACAAAATTCAGTTATTTAAACCGCACAATTCGAGTCTTGAAAAACACTGTAAAATGCGCCTGATAACACCACAAAATGAGGTTCATCAAACAACCCTAACATAAGCGGGAGTCCCATCTTCGTTGTGGTAGAAGAAGATGGCGCACACACTAAACAACCCTAACATAAGCTGGAGTCCCATCTTTGTTGTGGTAGATGAAGATGGCGCACACACTAAACAACCCTAACATAAGCTGGAGTCCCATCTTTGTTGTGGTAGATGAAGATGGCGCACACACTAAACAACCCTAACATAAGCGGGAGTCCCATCTTTGTTGTGGTAGATGAAGATGGCGCACACACTAAACAACCCTAACATAAGCTGGAGTCCCATCTTTGTTGTGGTAGATGAAGATGGCGCACACACTAAACAACCCTAACATAAGCTGGAGTCCCATCTTTGTTGTGGTAGATGAAGATGGCGCACACACTAAACAACCCTAACATAAGCTGGAGTCCCATCTTTGTTGTGGTAGATGAAGATGGCGCACACACTAAACAACCCTAACATAAGCTGGAGTCCCATCTTTGTTGTGGTAGATGAAGATGGCGCACACACTAAACAACCCTAACATAAGCTGGAGTCCCATCTTTGTTGTGGTAGATGAAGATGGCGCACACACTAAACAACCCTAACATAAGCTGGAGTCCCATCTTTGTTGTGGTAGATGAAGATGGCACACACTCTAAACAACCCTAACATAAGCTGGAGTCCCATCTTTGTTGTGGTAGATGAAGATGGTGCACACACTAAACAACCCTAACATAAGCTGGAGTCCCATCTTTGTTGTGGTAGATGAAGATGGCGCACACACTAAACAACCCTAACATAAGCTGGAGTCCCATCTTTGTTGTGGTAGATGAAGATGGCGCACACACTAAACAACCCTAACATAAGCGGGAGTCCCATCTTTGTTGTGGTAGATGAAGATGGCGCACACACTAAACAACCCTAACATAAGCTGGAGTCCCATCTTTGTTGTGGTAGATGAAGATGGCGCACACACTAAACAACCCTAACATAAGCTGGAGTCCCATCTTTGTTGTGGTAGATGAAGATGGCGCACACACTAAACAACCCTAACATAAGCTGGAGTCCCATCTTTGTTGTGGTAGATGAAGATGGCGCACACACTAAACAACCCTAACATAAGCTGGAGTCCCATCTTTGTTGTGGTAGATGAAGATTGCAACCCTAACATAAGCTGGAGTCCCATCTTTGTTGTGGTAGATGAAGATGGCGCACACACTAAACAACCCTAACATAAGCTGGAGTCCCATCTTTGTTGTGGTAGATGAAGATGGCGCACACACTAAACAACCCTAACATAAGCGGGAGTCCCATCTTTGTTGTGGTAGATGAAGATGGCGCACACACTAAACAACCCTAACATAAGCGGGAGTCCCATCTTTGTTGTGGTAGATGAAGATGGCGCACACACTGAGAACAAGTAAACTGACAACTGCACATGTCCACGCTACCCTACTCCCTGACGGACCCCTGAAAAGTTATATATAAAGTTATTTATAATTATTAATTATTGAAGTTATTCAGTTCGGCAAAACTCGAATGATATCGTTTATGATAACTGATGAGTCGATTGCGCAATCTAAGTAGGTATTGGAAATGTTATTATGTAATGTAACAATGTAATGTAATGTATATTCATAGTACATAGTCGCTAGAATGATCAATCATATAATTTTTGGTGAGTAGGCACCTTTAATTTTGATATCGATTTTCTCTTCAATAATTGTTGTTTAAGTGACAAAATATACAAGATTTTGGGACCGTTGGCTTGCACAAAATACTGCAGACAACTGTTATTAGTTGTTATATAAATGTATCCAGTTGTTATAGCAAGCACCCTGAGCATCTTGCACTGAAAATGCGAGCAAATCTCACAAAATTCAGAAATAAGACTTTAGTACCCAATAAGTTTAAATATGCCCTTTTTCCCTTTTTTTGGACAGCCCCGACTTTCAACAATCTCAATCTCATGATCATGATCTGATATTAAAAATAGTGAGCATAAACCATTGAAAAAGTAATTAATCATTGCAAGGTATAATGTTGAAAATACGTACGGATCTGCTTTTGGAGCAGGTTGAGGTGGTTCTGTTTTAGGGTCTGTTTTAGGTTTAGGTGGGTCTGTTTTAGGTTTAGGTGGGTCTGTTTTAGACGAATCTTTAGTACACTCATATGCTTCTGATATAATAGTGAACTTTATATTTTGAAATAACTTTTAGCTGGCACAAAATATGAAAAGATCAATCAGCAATTGCATCTGAAGATCACAGCAATCGTATTTTGATAATTTTCTGAACGAACTAAAAAACTCTATTAATGTGTACCACAAACCTTTTAAAGATTTAAAAGGTTTGATTGTTAGATTTGAGGATGCCAGGTTCACAATGTTAGCTGTAATGTCAACTTTGTCGTCAGCGAAGAGGTAAAGGGGGTGGGTATCGGAGCTTTTGCATAAGTAGAAGTCAGTCAGCCGTGTTAGAAACAATTCTTGATTCTCAGTTGTCCGAGCTAACGTAGCTGAAGAAAATGTCAGTTAAAATAGGTAGACTGACGATTGTAACAAACTTATAATGATGTTTGGCAACTGTTACCAATGAAGAGTTGGTGACTAACATCACGGTAAAGTTCACGCTCAAATCAGATGTATCGTAACAATCAAACCAAGCAAACCTTCCTTGCCAGTAAATATTTTCAAATCTTCATTCATAATGTGGATTTGATATGATTACTTCATTTCGGTATAAATTGTTTTTATAAGCTTTCCTTTGATCAAAATATAAACTTACAATCTTCAGTTACAAAGGCATCAGGTAGTAAAGAGTTTGGGTAAGATAGTTGACATTTTTCAGCATACCAATGGTCTTTTTCTTCATTCTGAAAAGTCATTGGTTCAGGTGTAACGAAAATTGTAGACGTAACGAAAATTTCAGATACTAACGCAAATTTCAGATGTATCGAAAATTGCGGCAGAATTGAAGATACTTATCTAATTAATACTTATCTAATTAATACTTTTTAAATTTAAATGCTCCCATTACCTTCCCTTAGAAAAGAGCTGGTAAATATGATGAATTTACCTTGAAGAATACAAAGTCAGCTTGAAATCCACCACCCCATTTCATAGTCATACTGGACTGTTTAGAGCTTACATCTTCACAAGCACCAGTAATAGTAACAGCATCTGCGCCTTTAGGAATAGTAGCAGGTACACATCTGTTAACTGAAATTATCGAAAACAGGTTACACTGGCAGATGGAGAGTTATACAAGTACAGATGCGAGGTAAAACTGCTTGATAGTCAACTGTCATTAATATAATATAATATAATAGTTTCATTGCTACAATATCCTTATTCTTAACAAGTATTACCTTTGCTTCACCGTTTCTCTTTTCGTAGGTTATACTGAAAGTAATATCTCCTTCTATAGAAACACAAACTTCTTCATTCTCTTTGTACTCCCAACAACCACCACACAAAACTATCAAATAGTTTAGTCACTTCAAGTAACAAAAGACTTTTTAGGATGCAAGCTAAAACAAAACGGCGATCATTCTCAAATCTCAACAGAAAAAAAATGTAGGTACTGAAGTTTTTTAGAAAACATAGATCGATGCATCAATATCATATGTTTTTAATTTACTTCAATAAAATACTTACTGATTGCATTGATTATCAACAAATAAAATGCTTCATTGTTAACTCTGTCACTTGTGGACTGCAACCTCGTTTCAGTTATTTCTCCATTTATCTAAATAAGATGGTGGGTTTTTACTATGTACCCAACACCATAGGTGCAGATTTCGTTTTGAGGTGAACTTTTAAGTTCCTGAGAAATTTTCTTAAGTTTGCTTTTTTTCCCTCCTCGGGCACATTCGTAACCTACGGGCCAGGTAAACCTAAACTACATATTGACCGTTATGTACGTCGGTATCTGTTGAGGAGCCAAATCATCTGAAAAGCCCTTAACCTATATTTTGCTCAGGCACGTAGCCAGGATTTTTCTTTGGGGGGGGGGCTGTCGGCAAGCGAAGCTGCAAGCTGTGGCAGGGGTCTGGGGGCGCGGCCCCCAGCGGGGTCCAGGTAAGGGGCGGACCACATTGGCGGGGGCTGGGGGGCGCAGCCCCCCGGAAAAATTTTGCGAAATAGGGTGTTTTAGGCTAAATTGAAAGTTTAATGAATTTACAAAAATGTATGGTTTGGCATAATCATTGCCTACAATCCTGACCTGAGTAATTTACCCCTTTGAGACTTTATTTTGGGTTGAAAATTAAGTTTATCGAGAGGAAGTGAAAAATCTCTGGTTCAAATTTGGATTTGAAGCCATGTTTAATTTTTTCTGTTGAGGTCAATTTTTTGCGCAGAAAGCGTTCGATTTTAGGGGAAAAATGTATGTTTGCTTTTAATTTTTATGGTGCCGACGGCACCTGAAATCGACGAAATCTGCAGGGGTACCCAACACCTAATTGATAATTTAGCAAATACTTAAATGTAACGAAGCACTCCTTCACTGCCCATCAGTTGTGAGCATATACTACGGATATAGTTTGTTGTAAAAGTAAAGTAAAGTAAAGTAAAGTAAAATAAAGTAAAATTTATGACATCACATCATCACACATGTCAACAAAATATCATCGCACTATATGAAAAAATATTATAAATATTTCCCCACCAACATAAATTACTGACAGACTGTCAAAGTTTCCCTGGCTCTCTCCATGGCTCTCTCCTCGGTTCACAGTTGAATCACCCAAATAATCGGAAAACCGTTATTCAGGGTCTGCTTTCTCCAAGATCAGGGTATGTTTTCCATTCTTAATCTACTTAACAACTCAATAGTTTAAGTCACCATATGCATACCTGTTGTAAATTCTTGAGAAATGGAACAACTTTTTAAGTATTTAAAATTGTTGCTTAAATCACATTTTTCTGTTTTCTTGAAAATTTGTTATTTTCTTGAAGTGGCCCTGCCAAAAAATTCTTCTTAGGGTACCCCTTCAGTGCATCTACATTGTAGTGGACTGCAAATGTAGTACTATAATATACTATCACTGCCAAAGATGAGTTTCAAAAAATGCTGGTCCAAAAATAAACCAATGTCAAAATTTGGAGCAAGAATTTCGATCACTCACTAAAATTACTTGTACACAGCTCAATACTAATTAAATTTCTAAGTGTGGAAACACATCGGAATAGTTCAAAATCTGTGAAATCTGTGTCAATAAATAATTTTGTTTCAAAGTTCAAACATAGAACATGTTTCTGGGGCAAAATTTGTATTGATCCCGTTTCTTAGGAAGAGCCAAAATTGTAAAAATAGTTGTGATATTCTGTATTAGTAAATGGTAAAGCGAATAGTTTTCTTTTGAGCAGAGAATAAAGACTGTATGGAATTTGAAGATTAGGTACCCCAAACAGCGCAATAATACAAGTGAGATTGAATTAAGCTATTGTATCATTCATTGTCATCACTCCTGGAGTAATGGATATTATATGTTTATTTCAATAAATATGATAATCAATAAATTAGAATAGAATCTAGTCTTCTTTTCAGCTCACTCTTCTGAAACCTCTTCCTCTACATTCTCAGCTATTGTATAGCATTTTTTGCGCTTTATTCGGAATGGAACTTAAAAGTTTCGTCATAACGCCAGCATTTCTAGATATTTTGGTCTTAAGCTATTTAATGTGCTGGCTCCAACTGAGTAAGAGTTTAGAGTTGAGTCAATTATGACACTTAAAAATGTTCACTTTTCACTAGTCGCTGTCCTTTTATATAATAATAATAATTCTATAATAATAATTATTATATAATAATAATAATACTTTCAACACTACTATAAAACAAATAATTTGAGGAAACGATGTAACAGAGTCGATATATTTTAATGTTGCCATGGGGTGGCAAGTCCCCATACATCGTGGTCCGGTAGTTTCATTGCGTCCTAATATATAATAATACTGATATCTGCCTTATCGGACATAATTGTCACGGACGTCGGACAAATTTTTCACGGACATAATTATTCACGCTCATGACCGCCCAAAAATTTCCAAAAAATTGTGAAAACTTTTGGTGATTTACTTTTTTTGTGAACTCTAGAATTTGACTATATTTTTCCAATTGTCCTAGTATACTAATAAACTAATATAGTAATCGACTACATTGATTGACGGTGTCAACCCATCGAGATCGTTGCTCTACTCTGCGAAGCAGAGCAACGATCGACGAAGCAAGAATACTAGTTCAAGTTGCTAGAATGCTAGTTTGTGCGGCGCGTCGAAGCGGCGCAGTTCTCCAATCGACTACACACATATCTAGGCATATGTAGGGACACACACTTGACCATTGTTAATGATCTGACCCGGCGCGCGCTACTTCGTAGCTCTTGCCATCGGGCCAACATTTCGAGAAGAAAGCGGCGCGCGCTACTTCGAAGAAATTTAGACGAGTAACATCCGTCAAGACACACACACACTAAAATTATTGGAAACGATTACCGTTTCCACCGGTCATATCACGTGATCGAGACAGTTTTTCGCCAATTAAATATCTCGTCAGGCATCAGGGGAGCATTTTAATTCTATGTCATGGGGGTGATTCGGAATCAGCGTTCGAAAAAAACATCGATTGAAGTCGGATTCAACTGTCGGGGGCCCTTTTAGAACAATCTCGAAGACTGTACAGTGATTTAGCACGCTCGAAATTTGTCATACCTTTTTGGAATGATTACTGATTAGTCAGATCAGTATCGCCTATGTGCCATATTTGATGGTGCGCGGCTTTTGGAGCAAAAGTAAGTGTAAATGTTGCGTTCACATAGCCATGTGTATACGCGTACTTCGTGACGCAAGGGAGAGGGCTCTGGTTTGTAGCGCGATGCGTTACTGGCTAGATCGGTGAGATGCGCTACTGTGCCGTGCCGAGCTGCCATGAATTGACATCGTCAATTAAGGCTCTGTTTAGAGCAAAATGTTGCGTAATTTGACGAAATTCGTTGATTTTTGTCGTATTATTCTGTAATATCTTTGGTTCCTTGAATGAGATCAGATCATTCTGAAAATTTGTGAAAACCTTCCAATAGGGCTTTTTTAATTACAACTGTCCAAAACATTTGGTGGGTATCAAAGTTGATATAGTACTAAAAATGGAGCAAAATAAGCTGCTTTTAGAAAGGAAAAATATTGGATCAAGGGAAGATTACTCAATACGCATTTGTTCCAAGAATTTTGTGCTGGCCGAAATTAGCGCTAAAAAACATTTTAACGAACGGATGTTACTCGTTTAAATTTCTTCGAAGTAGCGCGCACCGCTTTCTTCTCGAAATGTTAGGCCCGATGGCAAGTGCTACGATCAAGTAACGCGCGCCGGGCCGCGCCAGACCATTAACAATGGTCAAATTAACGGGTGATACTCGTAAAATTATAAAATATCTGTTCCATATACAATATAGAGTCCAACTCGGCGCGCGACTGGTAGGTTGTAAACCTACAATGGTCAAAAAACATCATACAGTCGGCACGCGCGGCTCACTGTCGATGGCGCATTACCTACTGTAATTTCGCTGCACGCAATCCTCTTTTATAATTACAAATTATGGGGTGGGGTTTCACCTAACCATGTGCTTTCGCGCCACTGCAATCGCAAGGGCTCTTAACGGGTGATACTCGTAAAATATTTGTTCCAACTCGGCGCGCGTCCTGGTAGGTTATAAACCTACGAAAGGGCTCTGGATAGAGCAAGGGTGGGATAGTCTTAAAAAGCTCGAGCTTTTCTGTTTTCAGGGAATACTCCTTCGTGAAGGGAATATGAGATCAGGTTACTGGGCGGCGCTCACAGTAGGTAGTGCGCCATCGACAGTGAGCCGCGCGTGCCGACTGTAGGATGGTTTTTTAGCGCTAATTTCGGCCAGCACAATTTTTTCAAACAAATAGATATTAAGTATCCTTCCCGACCTACGATTGCAACAAAAATTGGTAAGCTTACTCATAGACTTACAAGGAAAGTGTCCGAAAAGTTTAAAGCATATCCAACCATCAGACATTATGTTACAGCTAAAAGCAGCGTATTTTGCCCCATTTTGATCACTATATCAACTCCAATATCCACCAAATTTTTCGGACAGTTGTGAAAGCCCTATTGGAAGGTCGTCGCCAATTTTCAGAATGATCTCATTCAAGGAACTGAAGATATATCCAAATAATACGACAAAAATCAACGAATTTGGTCAAATTTCGCGACTTTTACAGCTAATTTTACTCCAAAAGCCGCGCACCATCAAATATGGCACCTGGGCGAAACTCACTGATCTTTCTAAAAAGGTATGACAAATTTGGTATTGTGAAAATTCTCACTGTCTCTAGAAAACAATGGTAAAAAAATTTTTAAAATCCGAGCAAGTTTATTTTTATGATGCACCCCCTACTCACAGCTCAGCCTGTCATTCCGCCGAATCTCTATTCGGTGTTTATGTACATTATACTTATAGCCTGGGTTCCCCAGGCTATAAGATGTGCTTTTGCGGGAGATATAGCGCGCGCCATTATTGATTATTATTTGAAAAATCCAATTTAAGATTCTACTTAAAGTAAACTTTCGAACAGTCGTTCTCTACCCATGAATACAAATCTGGATAGTAATTCTATTCTTTGCACTTTGCGAATTTCGACTGTGTATAGTATTTAAGTAGGCTAATCCTGACCTTATTGCGAGTAATTTACACGGTTAATAAAGTAAAAATTGCATAGTTGGAAATCAACACACGGTTAGGATTTATAAGTTATTCACATTTCACAATATCTCTTAATCATGAAACCTAAAGTTATACTTATAGTGCATAGTGAGACTTGTATAGTCATCGGCGATAGGGCAATACATTGAAACAAAAACATCTTTTAGTAGATTTTGTAAAAAAACAATCGAGAAAAAGAATGAACAACTAATGGACTCACTGATAATTAGCTACATATATTATACTCAGTAGCTTTGCCACTCATTTATTTGAGAGTGAATCGTGTAGTGGGTCTAAATTGTAAATATCATTAAGTGATGGTTTGAATAGCCCTCTGGCGTTGTTAGGGTTTCGTGTGACCGTTGACAACCCAAACGTCCTTAATCGGTCGACCAAAAGTGGAGACCAAAAAAGATTGCATCTGATGAATGTATTACATTCATTCAACTTAAAGTTGAATGAATATTTCTCTTCCGCAGTAATCTAAACTCATTAATAATTTAAGGAAAATCGTTAATTTGTATTAACTGAATTGAGATCTGGAATCGAATTTCAGTATCTTCTAAGATAAAAGCTCATTTTCCGATATGTAGCTCAATTCAAGCAACCGTTGCTACAAGAAGTTTATCTCAAAATTAGGTACAACTTGTCTAATTCAATCAATACCATTCTAAATTCTAATAAATTTCTGAAACTAAATCATAATTTCAAAATTATCAAAGGTTCTAATTTCATCTAGAAACATGTCACTGTATCTGTGTGCTACAGGTAGAAAAAAAAACAAAAAAAAACAAGAAACATCACATTCAGGTGAGGTTAAACTATGTACAATATTGGACAGAATTCCAGGTCAACTCAACTCGAAGCCTGCCCCGCAGTTAATAGCATATCTGAGTTTCTCCCGAAGCGTGGCCTTACTGCGATACACGGGTAGCTTCAACAAGTTGAAACATGTCGAGGAGGTGGGGAGGCGGCAGTTACCCGAACTGGAACCTTGTTGTAGTCCCAGGAAACTCTTGAATGAGCTCCGTAACGCTTGTCCTGAAGGTTAAGACGTTATAACTAAAGGTGTTTGGTGTACCCTGTTTTCAGGGTAACTAACAGTTGTTGTCGCGGTAAATAACAGTGGTTGTCATGGTAACTAACAGTGGTTGTCATGGTAAATAACAGTGGTTGTCATGGTAACTAACAGTGGTTGTCATGGTAAATAACAGTGGTTGTCGTGGTAAATAACAGTGGTTGTCGTGGTAAATAACAGTGGTTGTCATGGTAACTGACAGTGGTTGTCGTGGTAAATAACAGTGGTTGTCATGGTAACTAACAGTGGTTGTCATGGTAAATAACAGCAGTTGTCGTGGTAACTAACAGTGGTTGTCATGGTAACTAACAGTGGTTGTCATGGTAAATAACAGCAGTTGTCGTGGTAACTAACAGTGGTTGTCATGGTAACTTACAGTGGTTGTCATGGTAACTAACAGTGGTTGTCATGGTAACTAACAGTGGTTGTCATGGTAACTAACAGTGGTTGTCATGGTAACTAACAGTGGTTGTCATGGTAACTAACAGCAGTTGTCATGGTAACTAACAGTGGTTGTCATGGTAACTAACAGTGGTTGTCATGGTAACTAACAGTGGTTGTCATGGTAACTAACAGTGGTTGTCATGGTAACTAACAGTGGTTGTCATGGTAAATAACAGTGGTTGTCATGGTAAATAACAGTGGTTGTCATGGTAACTAACAGTGGTTGTCATGGTAACTAACAGTTGTGGTTGTCATGGTAAATAACAGTTGTGGTTGCCATGGTTACTGACCTGGTGTCATATCTGTAGCTTCCTCGCTCTCGTCCACAGCTCTAATAGAAAAAGGAGGAGACATAGAAGAGAAACCCATGAGAGGAGGTCTACTGCAACTTGTCACAAACTTTAACAGTGCTGATTTCTCTTCTTCTGTGAACTCGTTCAGTGTTATATCCCAGAACCATAGGATCACTCGATGGTTTCCGTGGTAACCGCCCAAATACCGTACATTCTTTTTCAAATCTGAGGATAACAGTAATTATTGTTTTGGTAACAGTGGTATTATATTATATATCTCTCTCGTTAATTTGTACTTCACCATCAGAGTGGAATATAAACTTGACGATATTGATGTTCATGTAAATTGTACATAACAATATGAACTTCTGAAGTGAAAATAATTTTTTCACATTGTCAAATAATTTAAGTATCCCATAGTCTCAAATAATAAATTGGAGATGAAAAAATTCAACAGCAAGAAAGAAAAACCTGTTAAATCGATAGAAGAGCAGTCGCCAGAGATTAGTTTTTGTAACTCGGGTAGTGAAAACATTCTCAACCAATCGTCATTGACAATCCCTCTGAAGCCTGAACAATCAAATATTAGATAAGTTTTATCTAATCCCAAATCTAAAAAGAACAGCCTTCGTACAAATGTTAAGTTTATCAAGAATTTCAATTTATATTTTTAGCGACGAAATAGAAATGCAACCATACAGCAACAAAAAAGCTGACCTCAAAATGTTTGATTTTTAGTACAATTCGTTTGTGATCACGAGCTTTTTTATGACCAGCTTTTTGCGGCTGTACTAAAGTCTAACATCAAATCATATAAATAACTAACCAGCGCAGAAGGCTTTAGTCTGTTTGTGTATCTGTGTATACATCTTATAGTGCGCTATCTGGTGAATATAGCTGATTCTATTGGTGCTGGTAACGGGGGTGAAGCTCCCGCCGGGCATTAGTTCCTCTGTTACTATCTTCCCGAACTCTTGCTCGTCAACCGAGAACGTTAGACCTGATGGAGGGGTTTCTAGTTAAGTCTTGATTCTTTTAGACTTATATTCAATTGCAAATGTTAACTTCAGCCCTTATTTGTGATTCTATCGCGCTATAACAAAAAACTAACCAAGATCCTGAATGTCTCCCTGGTAACTCTTGATAAACATGAGATTCTTATGAAGTTCTGAGTCTAAACTAGGCAGCTCGTCCAGGTAGCTGAACAAAGCGTTCTTGTTGTGGAGCAGTTGTCGGATGAAAAATGGAGCAAAACTAAGGTCAACAACAATACCCTCGTACACTGCTTTAGCTATGATTCTTCCTGGAAAAGGAGGGTTCAGATAGTTAGCTTTGTGCCAGAGAAAATGGTTAAGACTTTGAGTTGGCGTATAATATCTGAATACTTGAGTTTATAACAACACCAAAACCTAAATATAGTCCTATTTTTATCTGGGGATATACATTATACATTATGTGTATACATTATACAACCCACCAACATAATGGAACAAGTCAAGGTGTTCGTAGTGAACTTTGCTGAGGGGTGAGGGGTAAAGCCACTTATTCTCCTCCGTCACACTGAAGAGACCAAATGAGGGGTTCAGGGCGTGACGTATCGTCTCCTCTAGAAACTCTTTCAGAACACCGTCCTGATCTATACCTACTTCGTCTAGTCCTGTAGATAAGTGTGTTACAAGAGTCGGATAGGGGTTATTATGGGGGGAGTCCTGATCTATAACTACTTCGTCTAGTCCTGTAGATAAGTGTGTTACAAGAGTCGGATAGGGGTTATTATGGGGGGAGTCCTGATCTATAACTACTTCGTCTAGTCCTGTAGATAAGTGTGTTAGAAGAGTCGGATAGGGGTTATTATGGGGGGAGGAGGGGGTGGGGTAGAAGGGTGGGGTAGGTGGGTGTGGGGAGGGGGCGGGGGGAGGGGGGGGGTGGGGACATTGACTTGTGCTTACCAACATTATCGGAAATCAGGCAACATAAATGTTGTACATCAGTTCATTAATCTATATCTCGAAACTATAGATGTTTAAACGAGAAAGGAAGGTGACTGTAAATACCTAGCTCATTAACGAACATAATCTTGACATGGTGCGTGAGAACGTCATCAGGTATTGACTTCATGTGTTGAAAACCGTCCTCAAACAGCCGTCTCCGGTGTATTTTAATTAGGATTGTTTTACATTCCATTCCTCGTCGGTCTTCAGAGCGTTTCAGTGCTTTTTCCTGCGGTTCATTGAGCTTTAACAGCGAAATAAATGTTATTTAAGCAAAATCTGAGTTAATACTTGTATTAAACTCAGTGCTAATACTTAAATTCCTAGATTGTCGCATATTATTTCAGTTTAACACAAATTTCGAAACAGAAAAGACTTGTAATGTCACCTGTTTGATAAGCCCCTGTAAGTACTCTAGTTTTTTCTTGTTCGGTAAAACCCAAGGTATAAAGTCTGTAATCTTGTGAGCGCGACCTTTTCCTGAAAATAAAATTCAGTAAACAAACTCAATAGTACAGTACTTGGAGATCTATTTATACAGCATCTATTTCTTACAGCAAGTATGCGAAAATAAATCAGTCTAGGTGTTTAGTTTAAGCAACACCAGGCGAAGCACTTAGTCAACTATTTTTTGTTGTTGATATAGAGCAGCTTGCCACTTAGGTCCATGATAATTATAAAACATAACGCCGGACTTCTAGGCAGTGTGCTTGGTTGTGGGACACACTCAACTAGGAAAGGTTGAGAAACCTGAAAACTCCCTGAAGAACTTGATTAACTATACTCATTAATGAGAATAACCTGCTTTGAGTTCAGCAATGATGGCAGCAGGAGATGCGTCCTTGGGGGTCCAGAATTTGGTGGCGGTGTAGCGCTTACGCTCATCTCGTTCGTGTAGGAGTATCAACAAACCATGGCAGGTGGATACGCGCTCTAAAACTGCGGGACAACAGTTGATCAGTGTGTTCGTACACAACATACTCACTTATGAATTATGATCATTGAACATGAGTGTGAATAATTATGAGGTCGCTTGATTCAACGATGATCGAAAGAAATTATAATCTGTAGATTTTCAAGATTCTATCAATCGAGACATATGTTACGATTTTACTCAAAAGAACATACCAGTAGCATTCTTGAGTTCATCATAGTGGTTCCAGATGATGTTAAACAACATACTGTTCACGAAATCCCCAATAGTACCGAGCTGCTTGAGAGAGAACGGTTGCTCCTGTTCGTAGATCTCGCTATCTGATAAGACCACAAAATATTGCCCGAAACAGGAACAAAACAGCAGCAACAGCGGCACAAAGGGGTCGGTGGTTTGTTCGGTGGCCATGTTCCTGGCTAGCGTCCTGCTAGACTGGGAGTGTTCCGTGTAGACCAGCTTCCAGAGGGAGGAGAGGAAGTCAGGGAAACAGCAGAGTGACATTAGGATGTCTGTTTTGTAGAGATGGAATGTTTTGATGACGACGTTGTAGAGGGAGCAGACCGCGCTAACGTGGAGGAGTAGCCGGGATTCGCACTTGCCGGAGAAGAGCTGCTTCCAGGAGACCGCCCTGGTGGTGCCGAGCAACTTACTGCTCGTAGAGAACTCTGCTTCTAGCAAATCCTGCAAGTTATTTAGATTAGAGCACCTTACTGCTCGTAGAGAACTCTGCTTCTAGCAAATCCTGCAAGTTATTTAGATTAGAGCAACTTACTGCTCGTAGAGAACTCTGCTTCTAGCAAATCCTGCAAGTTATTTAGATTAGAGCAACTTACTGCTCGTAGAGAACTCTGCTTCTAGCAAATCCTGCAAGTTATTTAGATTAGAGCAACTTACTGCTCGTAGAGAACTCTGCTTCTAGCAAATCCTGCAAGTTATTTAGATTAGAGCAACTTACTGCTCGTAGAGAACTCTGCTTCTAGCAAATCCTGCAAGTTATTTAGATTAGAGCAACTTACTGCTCGTAGAGAACTCTGCTTCTAGCAAATCCTGCAAGTTATTTAGATTAGAGCAACTTACTGCTCGTAGAGAACTCTGCTTCTAGCAAATCCTGCAAGTTATTTAGATTAGAGCAACTTACTGCTCGTAGAGAACTCTGCTTCTAGCAAATCCTGCAAGTTATTTAGATTAGAGCAACTTACTGCTCGTAGAGAACTCTGCTTCTAGCAAATCCTGCAAGTTATTTAGATTAGAGCAACTTACTGCTCGTAGAGAACTCTGCTTCTAGCAATTCCTGTCTAGTTATTTAGATTAGAGGCAACTTACTGCTCGTAGAGAACATTGCTTTCTAGCAAATCCTGCAAGTTATCTAGATTAGAGCAACTTACTGCTCGTAGAGAACGCTGCTTCTAGCAAAATCCCTGCAAGGTATTTAGATTAGAGCAACTTACTGCTCGTAGAGAACTCTGCTTCTAGCAAATCCCTGCAAGTTTTTTAGATAGAGCAACTTACTGCTCGTAGTAGAAACTCTGCTTCTAGCTAATCCAGCAAGTTATTTAGAATTTAGACAAGCTTACTTGCTCGTAGAGGAACTCTCTGCTTCTAGCAAATCCGGCAAGTTATGTAGATTAGAGCAACTTACTGCTCGGAAGAGATCTCTGGCTTCTAGCAAAACTCTGGGGACTGGTTCTAGCAAATCCTGCAAGTATTTAGATTAGGAGCACCTACTGCCTCGTAGAGAACTCTGCTTCTAGCAAATCCTGCAAGTTATTTAGATTAGAGCCAACTTTCCTGCTCGTAGAGAACTCTGCATCCTAGCAAATCCTGCAAGTTATTTAGATTAGAGCAACTTACTGCTCGTAGAGAACTCTGCTTCTAGCAAATCCTGCAAGTTATTTAGATTAGAGCAACTTACTGCTCGTAGAGAACTCTGCTTCTAGCAAATCCTGCAAGTTATTTAGATTAGAGCAACTTACTGCTCGTAGTAGAGAACTCTGCTTCTAGCAATCCTGCAAGTTATTTAGATTAGAGCAACTTACTGCTCGTAGAGAACTCTGCTTCTAGCAAATCCTGCAAGTTATTTAGATTAGAGCAACTTACTGCTCGTAGAGAACTCTGCTTCTAGCAAATCCTGCAAGTTATTTAGATTAGAGCAACTTACTGCTCGTAGAGAACTCTGCTTCTAGCAAATCCTGCAAGTTATTTAGATTAGAGCAACTTACTGCTCGTAGAGAACTCTGCTTCTAGCAAATCCTGCAAGTTATTTAGATTAGAGCAACTTACTGCTCGTAGAGAACTCTGCTTCTAGCAAATCCTGCAAGTTATTTAGATTAGAGCAACTTACTGCTCGTAGAGAACTCTGCTTCTAGCAAATCCTGCAAGTTATTTAGATTCTTTTACCTTCTTGATTATAGTGCAAAGTGCTAAATCCTATTAACAGATTTTTAACCATGATGATGCATACGCGGTTAGAGAAATATTAAAATGACAGTTTCCAATCTAGCACTCCTCATAAAGATGATATATATACCTGGAAAAAGAACTTCTTGAAGAGCTGTGAGTGAAGCAGTCTGATTTGAATGGTAAGGAGCTGGAGTGAGTTGGTTAGTTGAGGTGACACGGCTGTGTCACACATTCCTAACAAAGGGTGCCAGTGCGCAGCTTTAGGGGACACCATCTTTCCAGCGTCCCGTAACAGCGTGAACAAAGTCCTTATTATTGTGGGATACTTTATCACCATTCCTCCTTTGAGTGCCTATTGGGAGTAGTATATAACTGTTGGGTTGTACCTTTCAAATTCACGCATTCCATTACGTTGTCAGAGCGCCTGATTAAATTTGAAATAGTATCTTATATTCGATAGAATGTCATTGGTGCCAATCATACTTATGATTAGCACCAATGACCAATCTTTTAAGAGAAAAAGACCTCAGTAAACTGTATCCTATACAAAAACACTGAAACACAATTATTAGCAGAAATAAACTTGACACATTATTCCTATATGGATTTCAGGTGGGTCAAATAATGGTGGATTTGATTTTCAGTCCTATCACTTTAAATTCAACAGAATATTTTGAAAAAATTAATAAAAATAATAAATGATAAACAATATTTCTCTCTATTTATGGGATAAATTTAAACTTCACAATTACAAAGATCGTGATACATACAAATTAGTTTTAGTTCACATAATTTTAATATCTGAAAACTACCGTGAGCACTTATACTCCAGTAGCAGGGAGGGGTTGAGTGAGCACTAAGATCTACATATACACGTGGTTCAATAAATTAGCTCTCAGTTCAACTAGTGCTCTCACTAACAGTACGAGAGAAACGTTGTGTCTCAGTACGTGCTCTCACCAACAGGGGGGGGGGGGGTCATGAGTATTTTTGAGTATTTTTGAATCTGAGAATTTGACCATTTTCGCCGGGAATACTCAAAAATGCCTCAAAAATTATTTTTGAATCTGAGAAATTCAGCATGGATTTCTCATTTTCTCAAAATCGTCCACTCAAAAATCATTTTTGAATCTGAGAAATCAGTAAAAATTGTCCATTCAAAAATAGTGATATACCAAATCATTCTTCATATCAGTGCAATGTGGTCCAAAATACTCAAAATCAATTTTTGAGAATGAGTTTTCGCCTCTCCTGGAAAATGTTCTCAAAAATAATTTTTTCCATTCACACCCTTTTGTAAAAAGACAATAGTGAAAGGTTACGAATGGTCGTTTTTGCAGAAAAAGAGGGATTTTGGAGAACGAGGTACCTAGGTGGGTTTAAATATGTCGTCAGTCCTTACTTCCTTGCTTACTTCCGTCCGTTACCATGACAACAAAATGCGCGCAGTGCGCAAGGGTTGCTTGCGGAGATGTGATGTATAGCCTGCAGTCAGTGTATGCGCAGCCGAATCATCTCCCGGCGCGGCCCGGGAGATGATTCGGCTGCATTACAATTTCTGCGTATAAACTTGTCTCCACAAGAAGGATATTGGTCAACATCACCCTTACCTGATAAAGGAGATGCACTGAGTTGAGGATATTGGTAAACATGACCCTTACCTGATAAAGGAGATGCACTGAGTTGAGGATATTGGTAAACATGACCCTTACCTGATAAAGGAGATGCACTGAGTTGAGGAGGATATTGGTAAACATGACCCTTACCTGATAAAGGAGATGCACTGAGTTGAGGATATTGGTAAACATGACCCTTACCTGATAAAGGAGATGCACTGAGTTGAGGATATTGGTAAACATGACCCTTACCTGATAAAGGAGATGCACTGAGTTGAGGATATTGGTAAACATGACCCTTACCTGATAAAGGAGATGCACGGAGTTGAGGAGGATATTGGTAAACATGACCCTTACCTGATAAAGGAGATGCACTGAGTTGAGGAGGATATTGGTAAACATGACCCTTACCTGATAAAGGAGATGCACTGAGTTGAGGAGGATATTGGTAAACATGACCCTTACCTGATAAAGGAGATGCACTGAGTTGAGGATATTGGTAAACATGACCCTTACCTGATAAAGGAGATGCACTGAGTTGAGGAGGATATTGGTAAACATGACCCTTACCTGATAAAGGAGATGCACTGAGTTGAGGAGGATATTGGTAAACATGACCCTTACCTGATAAAGGAGATGCACTGAGTTGAGGAGGATATTGGTAAACATGACCTTTACCTGATAAAGGAGATGCACTGAGTTGAGGAGGATATTGGTAAACATGACCCTTACCTGATAAAGGAGATGCACTGAGTTGAAGATATTGGTAAACATGACCCTTACCTGATAAAGGAGATGCACTGAGTTGAGGATATTGGTAAACATGACCCTTACCTGATAAAGGAGATGCACTGAGTTGAGGAGGAGAATTGGTAAACATGACCCTTACCTGATAAAGGAGATGCACGGAGTTGAGGAGGATATTGGTAAACATGACCCTTACCTGATAAAGGAGATGCACTGAGTTGAGGAGGATATTGGTAAACATGACCCTTACCTGATAAAGGAGATGCACTGAGTTGAGGAGGATATTGGTAAACATGACCCTTACCTGATAAAGGAGATGCACTGAGTTGAGGATATTGGTAAACATGACCCTTACCTGATAAAGGAGATGCACTGAGTTGAGGAGGATATTGGTAAACATGACCCTTACCTGATAAAGGAGATGCACTGAGTTGAGGATATTGGTAAACATGACCCTTACCTGATAAAGGAGATGCACTGAGTTGAGGAGGATATTGGTAAACATGACCCTTACCTGATAAAGGAGATGCACTGAGTTGAGGAGGATATTGGTAAACATGACCCTTACCTGATAAAGGAGATGCACTGAGTTGAGGATATTGGTAAACATGACCCTTACCTGATAAAGGAGATGCACTGAGTTGAGGAGGATATTGGTAAACATGACCCTTACCTGATAAAGGAGATGCACTGAGTTGAGGATATTGGTAAACATGACCTTTACCTGATAAAGGAGATGCACTGAGTTGAGGAGGATATTGGTAAACATGACCTTTACCTGATAAAGGAGATGCACTGAGTTGAGGACGATATTGGTAAACATGACCCTTACCTGATAAAGGAGATGCACTGAGTTGAGGAGGATATTGGTAAACATGACCCTTACCTGATAAAGGAGATGCACTGAGTTGAGGAGGATATTGGTAAACATGACCCTTACCTGATAAAGGAGATGCACTGAGTTGAGGACGATATTGGTAAACATGACCCTTACCTGATAAAGGAGATGCACTGAGTTGAGGATATTGGTAAACATGACCCTTACCTGATAAAGGAGATGCACTGAGTTGAGGAGGATATTGGTAAACATGACCCTTACCTGATAAAGGAGATGCACTGAGTTGAGGAGGATATTGGTAAACATGACCCTTACCTGATAAAGGAGATGCACTGAGTTGAGGACGATATTGGTAAACATGACCCTTACCTGATAAAGGAGATGCACTGAGTTGAGGATATTGGTAAACATGACCCTTACCTGATAAAGGAGATGCACTGAGTTGAGGAGGAGAAATAGAATCTGCTCTTTAGAGCAGGTGTCTATGATCTTATCAGTGTTGGCTGTTAAACTCATCAGTGCAGTGAGAGTGTACTCGGTTAGTTGGGTCATGTGACCTGGCTTTAACCGGCTGAAATATTGTTCATTTGTTCATGTTATGTTGTTAGAGGGGTTAAATCTATACTCTGTTAAGGTCCAATAGTTCGAAGGGGGAGGGAAACAACTAAATACCCTAAAATAATCAAGGTTCTGTTGTAAATTGTATGCTAAATTAGGGGATAAGTTATTAAGTTAATTAATAAAGTTATTTTGTTATTATTTATTAAGTTATTTAGTTAACTTAATAAGTTATTTAGATAATGTCATCTGTCAGTTATTTGACAGAGATCCAGCAGGAAACAAATAACTGTCGCTCACAAACCTTATCAAAGACGGGGTGGAGAAAACACTGAGCCACATTGCCAGCCAAATGGACTCGTCGAAGTTAGACTTCTGGAAAACAAGCATGACGAGGTCTGACAACAGGCACATCAGGGAGGTGGGGAGCACAGGCTCTGAGCGGGACACGTTCTTCAGTAGGAGGTGTTGTAGCGCGTTCAGGATACCACCTAGCAAGCAGTATATCACACTTTAATACTAACAATTATTTACTACATTGTATTTGTACGTGTATTGGGGTAGTTCAATTTTGCCCGTATCCATATAATTTTCTCAATCTAATTTGTAGAATGGATAGCACGGTCCTGTGTCTTCCTCATATCTTATACTTTACTGTCCCGGTCGATTAGAGAATGATAAGTCATTTCTGTGGAGGGGGGGGGGGGGGGTTAGGGTTAGGGTTTAATATACTTTAATATATCCCTATATTTTTGGAGGCCTAAATCAAAAATTGTTGCCCACAATAAGCTTGAAATGCAATTTTTAATCGATTCCGAAAATTTCATGCAAAAATATTGAAAACTGATAGAGTTATTTTGACTAGTATCCCGAACCGAGATATTATATGTGCAATTTTGACATCGAGGTCATTTTACTTAACTTATCCACTATTCAACAGAATATATCTTTTACATAAAGTTAGTCTCATTCAAAAATATTGAAACTTGATCGAATTTTGGGCAAAAGCTTTCAAATTTGGTGCGTATGCCCAAATATGGGCATATGGGTTGAAGCTCATAACTCAGCTATTTTTTTTACCAAACTGGATGTAAATTTGTACTAGTCCAAAAACAGGGTTATATTGCATATCTAAACGAAGAATATAGCTCGACTAATTTTGGGTATATTAAAGTATATTAAAGTATAGGTTTTTCCCGATTTAGGGCCGGGGATATACTTTAATATACTTTAATACACTTCAATATGGTCAGCCCCCCCGCCCCCATTTCTATTTGAGATAATGGCTGATTTAATCGCCCATCACAAGATTATGAGTACAAATTACATAACATCTGTAACATCTGTAATAATATAATGTAAGCTAAGTACTTCAGCATCAAATTTAGGTGTACCAACAAAAAAACATTTCATTCGAATCATTTTCAATTTTGTTAACAATATTTCTATTATTTATATATTATATTATATTATTTATATATTTACATATAATATAATTATATTATATATTATATATAAATTACATATATATTGTTAGTCAGCCACAACTGTCAGTAAAACAACGCATTGACTTCAAATGTCTGTATAATATACCTTTACAGTCATCCTCAAATTATTTGTTATAATATAGTGCTTTCAGCAATACTCATAGTAGTGTTGAAAGTATTAAAAAATATATATATTATATATTAATCTTAGTTAAACTTAAATCAGCACTTTTTATTGTCTCCTATGACATTAATCCGGACTAAATAAATATTGCACATTTCTCCTTTAGTAATAGCCCGAAGAAGAAGATGCCAGACACTGAGACAGCAGGAGTAGAGCAGGGTGTCACCAGACTCCCCCGCCCCTGGTACTGTCCGAAACACCACCCTCTCCTCTACCTCCTCCTCCTCCTTGACTTCTTCCAACTACTCGTGTGGGCGGGATGTATTTGTTCTGCTTACTGGTCCCAGGGACCCTTCCCTTCCTTCCAGACAAACCCAGCTGAGTATTGGGAATCCTCTGTCTTCTTCGGGCCTTGGTTCACATGCAGGACTCGGTATTATTACGATGTGTACGCGGTTTGGAGAGAACCAGTGATCCCCTTCCCAGACAGGGTCACTACAGTAGGCAGCTGTTGGAGCTCACTGAGATACCGGGAAGCAGGAGGCCTGAACAAGGTGATGATAGAGAGTATGGCAGTGAGTGGGGGAGGGGTGCTGATCAGTGCGAGCGTGTGCTGCGTGCTGTGGGTGTTGTGGGTAGGGTGCAATGTAGCACCGGGGATGATCAGACGGGTGCTGTTGCCGGTTGTAAAGACAGTTCAGGTAGTGTGTGGTGGTGTGGTCATGTTGTGTATGGTAATGTTGACTCCTAAAGCTACTAGGTTGTGGGGCTATTACATTGCTGCGGGGTTGTGGGGTGTTGCGTTATTGACGGTAATGGGTCAGTTTGTCTTGGCTGGTTGTGCTAAAAGACTTAAACTTGTCAGAGTTTATAAGTAATGTTTAAGTAATGTTTCTAGGTGCACTTTGGGATTTTGGTGTCATCCGAGGAAAAATTACTGAAGTGCTCTTTTTCACAACAAGTTGCAACATCAGACAAAGATAAAAGGATAACGAAGTTCGTTGTCTACAAAATCAATATAAAAACCACTTACGACCTATTATCTGCTAACCTGATATAAGATTAGAATAGAAATTAGTAGAGAACTTCTCGAGGAGCTGTCCGTACAGTTGATTTGATTTTACTGCTGAGTACAACTTCCAAGAAAAAGGATCACACATGGCAATGTAAAATCTGAGGTACACTGAGAGTCGTTCACGACCTGAGATGTGCATTATATTAGAATTTCATTTTGACGGTTGAAATCATTAATCCTCAAGCCTTGCAATACATTTATTTCATACGATTAAATTAATTGTTAAGGAATAAGCTCATAACTTCACCTGATGTAGAAGTGATATCCACATGGTTATCGAGGTCTATAAGAGTTCCCTCCAACAACCGCCCAACTTGGGACAACCACGCTTTGCAGCTCTTAGAAACGGCTAAAGACACATACCACCGCTCTTTCCTTCCCGACTCCAGACTGTCTAACGCTCTTCGGCACATGTCACACAGCACGTGACCATCTTCATGGCTACGTGACGTGTACTGGACTTTCTGGAACGCTGCCAACATTTCAGCTGCGGTGCAAGTGGCACTGAGGTTTTTCAGCTCGGCTAGGTAACGGTTTCTGAGGTCACGATTTGAGAGGAAGCGTCGGAAGTGTTTCTGGATTATGATGACGGAGATTGTTTGCTGTTTTTCCTGTTCTCGCCGCTCTCGATCTGCTCGCGATTTGTTTAAAAGTGCTGATTTTGTGTCTGCGCTGACTTTCGTTGTGAACATGATCAAAACTCTGAATTCGACCCCAGAAAAGATTTGATAATATGTGCCTCAAATAATTTTGTTGTGATGCGAGTTTCTCAAGTGCTCCAGCTACTGTCAAGAGCTCCAACAAAGGCCTTGTAGTGAACTGGAGACGTTCACCGAAAATCTACATCGTATTCTTAACAGCAGTCTTTTCTGTCAAATGAGATGTCTAAAGTTTTGATATTTTTACGAGGACGGATTCTTTGTTATCACTGCTTTTGTTCTATTTTCGTTGAGATTAAAACTCAGAGTTCCCAAACATTTTACCTAGATAAGATTAAAGTTAGCTTTTGGAAATTTCATAGGAATGAAATGATAAACTTTTACATTATTCGACATTCATCTTCATTCTTCATTCTCAATTCGATATTATACCAAATTTATATGCAAAGGATAGCGAATTTTTATTTTAGAGGTCAATTGAATTCGAAAATAAATACATCAACACTATACAAAACGTTAAGAGGGTTCACAAAATTGCGGGTCACGCAGCCACTGAGGCTCTCCTCACTGAATTTTGATAATCCCAAAAATGTTAACAACTTTTCTACTGTCCTTTAAGTTTGTGTAATTGACCAGGAATTCATGCATCATCCAAATTGGACATTTTACGCGATCCGAATCCAAATAACGGATCGTTCATGGAGGGTCACTCCAAAGTCGAAATGCGTTGCTTTATCTAGTCTGCAAAAGTCTAAAAATGGATCAATATAATATTATAATAATAATATTATGTTCGATGAAATATACAAATAACTTAGGGTGTAAACTGTAACTCTAGTGCCGCAACACTCAACAGTGCAGTGGTAACTATGGTAACAACAGTCTGTAACTACTGAGTAACAATCTCCTCTCCCTTCTAGTAAGCACGAATAACAGGCGGCACCGTCTTGCACTCCTCTTCGTCGAGTGTTACGTCGATTACGGGTCGATATTCAAGAGTGCACTCTCCAGTTTTGGCATTTTGGAAGGAGAGGGTGTGTTTCCTCCAGTGTTCAGACATAGGCTTCTCTACCTGGCCTTCCAGGGGAATCTTGTAATCGAATTCATCAACCCTAGTAGATAAAACATTTCAATGAGCGACATTCAATTATATTTAGTATGAGATTAAATTAAATCAATATAATTATCATAGATTTTGATAGAACCTCATTATTAATACATATCTTCCCGAAATATCAAATACTCCAGTGTTACCTGTCTGGGTAGTCCTCTCGCGCGTGAGCACCTCGACTTTCCTTGCGGGCACAGGCACTCTCGATGGTCTGCACAGCGTTGAGTGCAATGTTCTGTAGTTCCATGGTCTCAATCAGATCTGTGTTCCAGATCATTCCTTTGTCTGAAAGTTTGAGGTGCTCCATCTTCTTGTAGACATCGTGCACCTTCTCTACCCCCTCTTCTAATACCTGTATTTCAATAGTGAATCATCTGAAACAATGACTTCGACATAGATAACGTAGATCTGAAATTAAATACATCAAATTATAAAAGACAAATTTAAATAAACACATTTGTATTGCTCAAAATTAAGTTTAAGATTTACCTCTCCTGTTCGGAACACTGCAGCATAGTTCTGCATGGTCTTCTGGAACTCAAGTCGGACTTTAGCAGAAGGTTCGGTTCCTTCCATGTGTCTGAGCTCGTCAATATTGGCAATGGAGGCCTCGCCTGGGGAACAAAATTCAAAATAATTGACAAAAATCAGGTTTCATACCATCTCCTCGCTGACCCCACTTCTTAAACAAATCAGAAATAATCTACGTGTTTGTTAAAACTAAAGAAGATAGCTCACTGACCAGCACTGTCCTTGAGTTCAGCTTGAGCAGCTCCCGGCGTGTAATCTTCCTTTATTGTGTGAGCACAAGCACGTCCAAATGCTACCAGATCCAACAAAGAGTTTGCTCCTAACCTGAGCAATTGTTTTAAAAGGAGTGCATGACGTTATTACTATCATTTTACAATTTTTCCCTGATTCATGACTCAAAATGCCGAAGGCACAAAAGAGTCAAGGACAAGGGTAGGCGATCGAGTTTTTTTGTTGATATGGAAGCTTTGCGACCGTGCGTGCATGCGAGCGTACGTGCCCGCGCGCCAATATGTCGCCCACGTTCTTAACTAGCCTGCGCAAAGTTATTTTGCGAGATATTCTGAATTAAATAATTGTTGTCGCGCGGCACTGAACTGACCAAATAAACGTTCAATTTCACCATGATATGTACGTATCCCACTAGGAATTTATTGATAGCATATTGTTATTATTGTTAGTATTACTATTTTGCACAGATCCGTGTCAGGTTGCATAAACAATAAAGTCAAACAATAAACATACGGTTACACGATTTTCAAATTCAACATGGAATTAACTAGGTGGTGCTCGGCCTGTCACTCCGCTATATCTGCATGCTTATAAACAGCAAAGACTGGGGACACAGGTTATATTGACTAGCAGGAACCCGTCTAATCCTAAAATGGTGTCAAGACTCAAGAGACTAAAACAATTATTACTTATTTAATTCGCATTTTTGACACCACTTGGGGTACCAAATTTTGGGCTCTAAAACTCCTATTTCTTGGCCAATTTTTTATTTTTTCATGCTGATTTGGAGGCCATTAAAGCATTTGACCCAGTCAAAAAAGTTTCAGTTGTATTTCTTTTACGGTTTTTGCAGAAATTCGCGTTAAAGTTGATGCCGTGGTGTCAGTAAAATGGCACAGATAAATATATATATATCGTCTCGCTTTATATATAGTAAGATTATAATAAAATAAGCCGTCACGGATCGGGAAATTGAGCGGCCATCCACAAAAGAAAATCGGCCGCATTTCTTGTTCTAAAATCATATCAGTTCAAAAAATGAAAATATTGTCGAAAAAATGAAAGTCGAACATAAAGTCTTACCTGTTGGCACCGTGTACGGAAGCGCACGCAACTTCACCGGCGGCCAGTAATCCGGGGATGACCTTATCACAGCCGCTCTCTTCATCGTACGTGATCACCTGCAATATCTTAGTTTAACAGATATTCGTGAACATATATTATGCATCACATGTATAACAGTGGACTGTAGTATTCCTTCAGGCGGCTATCGGCGGCCGAAAATAACTTCCAATTGTTACGTGAACACGCGTACAGTACAGCTATAACTATAACGCGCAAGAGTGTCACGTGACCAACAAAAGGCTAACAACTAAAACTGAAATTAGAAAATTTTAATTCGGCGATCGCGCGCGCGCACATAATTTTATTTGACGCAATTGGCAAGGAGCCGGTTTTATACGTGACTTCACAATGTACACTACCAAGTACACACGTACATTAACGTTAAATGTACACAAACAAGGCTTACCTCTCCTCTCCAGTTAGTGGGTGTACCGCCCATATTGTAGTGCACGGTCGGCAGGACAGGTATGGGTTCCTTGTTCACATCCACTCCAGCGAAGATCATGGCCGTTTCAGAGATACCGGGCAGTCGTAGTGCTAGCTGTTCTTGTGGCAGATGGTTCAGCTGGGAGTTTTAATGTTAGTTGTGGAAATATTAAATGATTATTATCACACAAGTGTTATGATAAAAATATTTATCATAAGATCTTAACTTTCAAAAGTTATCCCTAAGCAGGTTTTGTTTTCAGGGCCTCAGGAGCTGGTTAAGTACCTGGAGATGACAGTGATCACCATCAGGTCCACAACCTCGTCCCTCTCTTATCTCAATTGTCATTGCTCTGGATACAACATCACGTGATGCAAGATCCTTGGCATTGGGAGCGTATCTGAACACATCGACATTAATAGTAAGATGGTGGAAACATCAAGTAATTGTAAAAAGCCGACCACAATTTCTAAACGTTTTAATCAGAATTACGATTCTTCAGAAGCCCCCCCCCCCCCCCCGGCCCCCTTCAGAATTACCTCTCCATGAACCTCTCTCCGTTCTTGTTAGTAAGGAAACCTCCCTCTCCTCTACATCCCTCTGTAATCAAACATCCTGCTCCGTACACACCTGACAGATTATCATTCTCTCAGTTTACCGATCAAAAGAAAAAATTCCAGAACTGACACATTTTACGGTTAATTCATAATTTACAGTTATTATATCCACATTCTGCAATTCAAATGCAGTGCAAAAACTTTAGCACGAATTTGAGTGAACTGTTATAAATAGTTCTGCTTCAAACTGAAGTGTAACCCTACACGGCCAGATCCAGCAGAGCAATAAGTAACTGCAATATAAAGCTGTAGATATATGATATACCTGTGGGATGGAACTGAACAAACTCCATATCTTGATTAGGGAGTCCTGCGCGCGTAACCATCGCAGTACCGTCACCAGTACAGGTGTGCGCGCTGGTGCAGGAGAAGTATGCGCGACCGTAACCACCGGACGCCAGGATCGTGTTCTGTGATCTGAATCGGTGAATGCTGCCGTCTTCCATGCACATAGCTGTAACTCCTGTGGCAATAGTGGGATCATGAAGCAGTGTTCTTTAGCAGGTGCAATACTGCATAACATGCACTTGCTAAATGATAACTCAGGAAGTCAACATCTCATCGTGATATGATTATATAACTGTGTTTTAATTGTCACGTGTCTAATTATTTTAAACCTGGTTCAACCAGCTGGGTCATATCATCACACAACTAAATGTATAAGATAATAAATGAGCAAATAAACGGTTACAATGGCACAAGAAACATTGCAATTAAATAGTTTCACGATTCTGATAACACTGCTTATTTCCCAGCAGATATGATATATACTGGCCACTGGGTAGTTCCCCCCCCCCCCCCCCCTATTGGGTAGTTCCCCCCTCTATTGGGTGGTGCAACCCCCCCCCCCCCTATTGGGTAGTTCCCCCCCCCCCCCCCTATTGGGTAGTTCCTTCCCCCCTATTGGGTAGTTCCTTCCCCCTATTGGGATTTGGGTAGTACCCCCCTCTATTGGGTAGTGCAACCCCCCCCCCCTATTGGGTAGTCCCCCCCCCCCCCCCCCCCTATTGAGTAGTTCCTTCCCCCCTATTGGGTAGTCCCCCCCTCTATTGGGTGGTGCAACCCCCACCCCTATTGGGTAGTCCCCCCCGCCCCGCCCCTTCTCTCCTATACAAATAATAATTCCACGCACCTACACACTCTCCGTCCTCCATAATAAGATCCAGAGCGAAGTACTCGATAAAGTAGCTGCAGTTGTAGGCGAGGGACCGTCCGTAAAGTGTGTGAAGTAGGGAGTGTCCCGTTCTGTCAGCCACACAACAACATCTACACGTGATATAGGAGTCACGTGATATAGGAGTCACGTGATATAGGAGTCACGTGATATAGGAGTCACGTGATATAGGAGTCACGTGATATTGGAGTCACGTGATATAGGTGTCACGTGATATAGGAGTCACGTGATATGGTATTTATTGATTAACTATTGATTAAATGTTGTTGATATGTTAGTTGATTGATAAAATAATACATTCTTAGATAAAATAACTTTAATTAAACGGTATATATCATTATAAAAACAAATATTAAAATATGATAAGTTAATTAAATAACAAGTGACACACAGTACAATGTACAATGTAATGTGTACAATGTACAGACACAGTACAATGTACATACCTGTGAGCCTGTCCACCCTTGCCGTAGTTATAACTCTGTCCACCGAACGCGCGCTGATAAATCAAACCCTCGTCTGTCCTACTAAAGGGCATTCCGTAGTTCTCCAACTCAATAACAGCTTTGGGTGCCTCACGGCACATGTAGTGGATAGCATCCTGGTCACCCAGCCAGTCACTTCCCTTGACAGTGTCGTAATGGTGCCACTTCCAGTCATCTGGTTCCATGTTTCCCAGTGCTGCGTTGATGCCTCCTGTAATTATCAGAGATATTAAGTAATTTGTAAGTTAATCTTTAAGTTAATTTATAAGTTACTCTATTAACTAATTTATAAGTTACTCTTTCAACTGAGCAAATGATGCAAATTTTGTTTAGTTAAACATTTCTGATTTATTTTGAAATATGCACAAACGAAATTTAGGTATAATTGCGTTTTTAAAACCGTTTAGATATACATATAATAGGATATATGTATATACTATACATAATACATTATAATATATACATATACATTAGTTTAAAGATATACATATAGGAAGGAAGTTTGCAAACCTTGAGCGGCAACGGTGTGAGATCTAGTGGGGAAGAGTTTGCTGATAACAGCAGTCTTGAAGCCCGCCTCAGCACACCCAAACGCAGCTCGGAGACCAGCCCTCCAGCTCCTACAACTACTGTGTCATACGTGTGATCAACTACCGTGTAGTTGCCGTGCATCTGGTCTGAAATTGTATGGTGCGTTTAAATATATACCGTGTAGTTGCCATGCATATCATCTGATGGTGCGTTTAAATATATATCTGGATATTTTATAATGTCGCAATTTCTTTCGAATTTAGTTTAATACAGAAAATACATAAAGATTTTCAAGAAAACCCGCGATAGAAATGTCTCCAATTCAACTTTCATATGCCGTATATCTACTACCTACATACGTAAGAAAATTCTTGTTGAAAAGTCTCCAAACAAAAGAAAAGAGGAAATATAAGTTCTAACCTGGTCTAGTCTGACTGGAAGCGGACCCAACAGGGCATATGTGAAGTGACCTGGTAGTGAGGAGCTTAGCTGTGCTCAGAGCCTTGTTTCGGGCAGCAGATATCATGTTTACACCTATAGATGGGAACATCAAGATTTGTGGAAATTAGTATCTGATTAAATTTCGGTTTAAATGGTAAAATAACGGATAAATGATGAAGTTTAATCTTTTGATAGCAAAAAGCGCTTGCGAGGTCAGTCTTGAAGAGTTAATCACTTTCGGTCGGTGATCTGTGTATTTTTAGTAAGAAACAACCATGATATACCTACATACTTCAAGTGACCGTAGTTAAGATAAAAATGACACGAAAGGAAATTTAAATAAGTTTCGTTCTGAATTAAATACATGCCACCACAGAAGTTTAGAAACTAAAATAATAAGGATTTACAATTCGTTTAACAGCTCAACTGGAAACAATAAAATGTAAGTCAATGCTAATATCTGAAAGCTAATGCACATTTTTTCTTAATTACTGTAAATTGTTAAATCGTTTAGATTAAAATAACTTATTATTTTACAACATTGTAAGCTACCAATTTACAAGCAATAAAACTTTCAAAATTCAAAAAAGTTTTTGTCATGACTAAGCTAAATTTGAAAATCTAGCAATGTGAACCCATGTTAAAATTAACATTATACCTTTACAATTTGCGAATCTACTGAATCTTTGATGGCAAAAATAAAAAATTATCCTGTCTAACAGACGTCTGCCAAAAATCATAAATTAAGATCAACAAAATATTTTTTAAATTGTAGGTTTATACATGCTGCATGCAACATTCTCAAGCAATAAAATCAAAAGCAAAAAAAAACAAAAGAGAAAAAAATCAATATATCCTAGCTTAAAACTTACTTAAAATTTCTCACCCCATTCCATAAATTTCATCAATCATGCACTCATTACTCAACCTATATTATCAAGGGATCCATTTTTACCACAATCGACAAAAATGTTAAACTCCAAACATTCTCTATTTAGGATTTATCTGGACCTTGTTATCGTGTCCCAGATGTACGAACGGATCATTAGTAGCATGGTCATTAGTTACACGTGTCAACATCAGAATGCACGTTAGAAGGACAATTACACCGATAATAAATAAGATAATCCAGCGCCGCAAGTTTGCAGATAAGGGATCATCTCTATCTTTGCTTATTGAGTGCAATCTGAAATGAGTCATAACGTTAAAGCTGTAGAATATTTCCCTTGTAGATGTTTTCTATCTTTACAATAATCTGGGTCATATTGACAACTTCAAATCACAGAGGGATTTTATTTTACAAATAGTGATTATGTTTTCTATCGTTTCTACACTCTACAGTGGTCACGTGATTTAAACAAGAGGATGGCGTGTTTAAGGGGGCCGGGGTCTTTAACTGAACCCCCGGCCCCATTTACCTAAACCCCCCGGCCCCATTAACCTAAACCCCCGGCCCCATTAACCTGAACCCCCCGGCCCCATTAACCTGAACCCCTCGGCCCCATTAACCTAAACCCCCCGGCCCCATTAACCTGAACCCCCCGGCCCCATTAACCTTAACCCCCCTTTTTAAGAAAGGGGAAAAGGTCGATTGCTGCCAACTATCGACCGGTATCTCTAACATCCATCCTCATAAAGATGTTCGAGACCAGCACGGCTTTCAAGCTGTCTTACTCAACTTCTTCACCACGTCCAAGACATCATGGATCTTCATACCGTCCCCGACACCCCTCCTACCCCTGGATATACAGGGGCTAATGGCAATTCAATCTTGGAATGGGCTGTGAGCAAGACATGATAACGGAGACACCAGTGGTGGAGACACAATATGTCTTGGCCTGGGCGTGCTAGCCCGAAACGAACCCAAGGTAGGTAGGCCCCATTTACCTGAACCCCACCCCGGCCCCATTAACCTGAACCCCCTGGCCCCATTAACCTGAACCCCCGGCCCCCTTTACCTGAACCACCCAGCCGCCTTTACCTGAACCCCCGGCCCCTTTACCTGACCCCCCCTCGGCCCCTTTACCTGAACCAACGAGTTAGCCACTCTCTCAAACTCCTCCGCCTGTATTTGTCTTCATCGCAATCAAACGCAGACACGCTAGGTCTCGTGGGCTCTGCGTCGCGCGTGTCTACCACCATGTTCTTACGATCGTAGGACCCTGAATAAAATTGTAGTCATACCAGTGAATAATACCAGCGTCCTTATTTCAATATACAAAAATAAGTTTTACACTTCCCATTCTAGAGGGTTTATAATTACGTTGAGATCGTGAAACGTAATCCAGTGAATTATATACTACCAACAGGTATCTTGCTATCCTAAACACTGACCAGAAACAGGAGTAACAACCCCAACAGGTATCTTGCTATCCTAAACACTGACCAGAAACAGGAGTAACAACCCCAACAGGTATCTTGCTATCCTAAACACTGACCAGAAACAGGAGTAACAACCCCAACAGGTATCTTGCTATCCTAAACACTGACCAGAAACAGGAGTAACAACCCCAACAGGTATCTTGCTATCCTAAACACTGACCAGAAACAGGAGTAACAACCCCAACAGGTATCTTGCTATCCTAAACACTGACCAAAAAAAGGAGTAACAACCCCAACAGGTATCTTGCTATCCTAAACACTGACCAGAAACAGGAGTAACAACCCCAACAGGTATCTTGCTATCCTAAACACTGACCAGAAACAGGAGTAACAACCCCAACAGGTATCTTGCTATCCTAAACACTGACCAGAAACAGGAGTAACAACCCCAACAGGTATCTTGCTATCCTAAACACTGACCAGAAACAGGAGTAACAACCCCAACAGGTATCTTGCTATCCTAAACACTGACCAGAAACAGGAGTAACAACCCCAACAGGTATCTTGCTATCCTAAACACTGACCAGAAACAGGAGTAACAACCCCAACAGGTATCTTGCTATCCTAAACACTGACCAGAAACAGGAGTAACAACCCCAACAGGTATCTTGCTATCCTAAACACTGACCAGAAACAGGAGTAACAACCCCAACAGGTATCTTGCTATCCCAAACACTGACCAGAAACAGGAGTAACAACCCCAACAGGTATCTTGCTATCCTAAACACTGACCAGAAACAGGAGTAACAACCCCAACAGGTATCTTGCTATCCTAAACACTGACCAGAAACAGGAGTAACAACCCCAACAGGTATCTTGCTATCCTAAACACTGACCAAAAAAAGGAGTAACAACCCCAACAGGTATCTTGCTATCCTAAACACTGACCAGAAACAGGAGTAACAACCCCAACAGGTATCTTGCTATCCTAAACACTGACCAGAAACAGGAGTAACAACCCCAACAGGTATCTTGCTATCCTAAACACTGACCAAAAAAAGGAGTAACAACCCCAACAGGTATCTTGCTATCCCAAACACTGACCAGAAACAGGAGTAACAACCCCAACAGGTATCTTGCTATCCTAAACACTGACCAGAAACAGGAGTAACAACCCCAACAGGTATCTTGCTATCCCAAACACTGACCAAAAAAAGGAGTAACAACCCCAACAGGTATCTTGCTATCCTAAACACTGACCAGAAACAGGAGTAACAACCCCAACAGGTATCTTGCTATCCTAAACACTGACCAGAAACAGGAGTAACAACCCCAACAGGTATCTTGCTATCCTAAACACTGACCAAAAAAAGGAGTAACAACCCCAACAGGTATCTTGCTATCCTAAACACTGACCAGAAACAGGAGTAACAACCCCAACAGGTATCTTGCTATCCTAAACACTGACCAGAAACAGGAGTAACAACCCCAACAGGTATCTTGCTATCCTAAACACTGACCAGAAACAGGAGTAACAACCCCAACAGGTATCTTGCTATCCTAAACACTGACCAGAAACAGGGGTAACAACCCCAACAGGTATCTTGCTATCCTAAACACTGACCAGAAACAGGGGTAACAACCCCAACAGGTATCTTGCTATCCTAAACACTGACCAGAAACAGGAGTAACAACCCCAACAGGTATCTTGCTATCCTAAACACTGACCAGAAACAGGAGTAACAACCCCAACAGGTATCTTGCTATCCTAAACACTGACCAGAAACAGGAGTAACAACCCCAACAGGTATCTTGCTATCCTAAACACTGACCAGAAACAGGGGTAACAACCCCAACAGGTATCTTGCTATCCTAAACACTGACCAGAAACAGGAGTAACAACCCCAACAGGTATCTTGCTATCCTAAACACTGACCAGAAACAGGAGTAACAACCCCAACAGGTATCTTGCTATCCTGGCGGGTAACTTTAGTTTGTTCTACAAGGACTGGTTCCACCACGGAGCTAACGGTAGGAGCTGGTTGAGGAGCTGGTTGTGGTACTGGCACTACCGCTGCTGCTGCTGCTGGGGTGGCGGTGGGAGGCTTTGATGTGTGCTCAGGGAAGACTGGAGGTGCTGAGAGGAGAAACGTTTAAGTCAAACTTTAAATAATAGCGGTTAAATCTATTTATCAAGCCTGGCGGGAGCTGATTTACTTAAAACTTAGCAATTTTTAACCAACGATAGCATGGAAATAGGAACTAAGTGAAGCTTGTTTGGCAGTACTAGTATAAATTGGTCACGTGATAAAATAACCAGTTCTGTGGGGAGCAGGAGTGCTAGCGAGCTGAGGAGGGCCTGGAGGACCATTATCCGGGATCCTCTCTCGTACTGGCAAACCTAGCCCTGGTCTGGCCCAAGTTTCTGTCGCAAGGGACTTCCGCAGCGCTTCAGCAATTGGGGATTTGTTACTGGCATCAGGAAATATCCCCTCCTGGAAAGTAGGAGTAGTAGTAGCGGTATTAAATTGAAAGTAAATTTAAAATAGTACTTAAAATGAATTAACACTTTATATAAAAAGGTTGCTCATATTATGTACATTGAAAGCACAGGACCAAACTTGTCAAGTTTAAGGATGCCTAAACTAAATTCTAAAAACCTTTTCAATAGAAACTGATAGTAAGGTTTCAAGGTGTTAGTAAAGTGTTAGTAAAGTGTTAGTAAAGTGTTAGTAAAGTGTTAGTAAAGTGATAGTAAAGTGTTAGTAAAGTGTTAGTAAAGTGTTAGTAAAGTGTTAGTAAAGTGTTAGTAAAGTGTTAGTAAAGTGTTAAACTGATAACCTACCTGGCAAGTAAGACAAGTGTAGCTAGCAGGGGCGGTGGTGGGAGGTAGGGACTGAGCGTGGTTAGTGAGACAGTGTTTGTGGTACACATGGAGACAGGAGAGACGGACTGTAGGGTGCTCGTTAAGTAGCGTGTTACAGAGTCTACACTGGGGCACGTACTCGGAGTCTTGCAGCCACTTTAGGTATGTTTGGACTATACACTGGAGGGTTTTTGGTTGTGGTTATTTGGTGGTTATTTTACAACTGTAGATTGTTCATAAGATAATATGTCAAGAATATTAAAGAAGAATATATTAGATTTCTGACGATTAAATTTAAAACTATCAACTCTTACCTGAGCATGATTAGAGAGGAGGCAACTGTCACAAACATTAACCCTGTGTTCAAAACAGAAAAGATTGGTTACTTTCTTTAAGGGGCATTTACATAGTCCCATTCCTAAAAAGAATAAAGCAAATTACATTTTATATACATAATACAATTGTGCACTTATTAAGATAATACATACCACATAATCATTAATCACGATAGCCTGACATAATCAAGGAATTTTAGGTGGAAGCTCAATTGGACGTGGCATGAAATTTAGATTCGATTTTCATACTTCAATACTGTACGAGACACTATGTTCTCACAAAGCAGTAGTTTATCACGCCATATAGTGTCCATGACATTTACACGCAATGTTAAATTCTCTGCACACTATAAAATTGTGAAAAGTTGATAATCGGCCAGTAACGCACTACGTTCATTATAAAGAATAACGTAGAAAATACGATTCAACTATTCAGACCAGGAATCTAGAACAATTTCTGCCTGCTTTTACATCCCGTAGTACAATCAATTTAAAGTCCGATTCAAAGCATATTACGAGGAGGTAACAAAGCATATTACGAGGAGGTAACAAAGCATATTACGAGGAGGTAACAAAGCATATTACGAGGAGGTAACAAAGCATATTACGAGGAGGTGACAAAGCATATTACGAGGAGGTAACAAAGCATATTACGAGGAGGTAACAAAGCATATTACGAGGAGGTAACAAAGCATATTACGAGGAGGTAACAAAGCATATTACGAGGAGGTAACAAAGCATATTACGAGGAGGTAACAAAGCATATTACGAGGAGGTAACAAAGCATATTACGAGGAGGTAACAAAGCATATTACGAGGAGGTAACAAAGCATATTACGAGGAGGTAACAAAGCATATTACGAGGAGGTGACAAAGCATATTACGAGGAGGTAACAAAGCATATTACGAGGAGGTAACAAAGCATATTACGAGGAGGTAACAAAGCATATTACGAGGAGGTAACAAAGCATATTACGAGGAGGTAACAAAGCATATTACGAGGAGGTAACAAAGCATATTACGAGGAGGTAACAAAGCATATTACTAGGAGGTAACAAAGCATATTACTAGGAGGTAACAAAGCATATTACGAGGAGGTAACAAAGCATATTACGAGGAGGTAACAAAGCATATTACTAGGAGGTAACAAAGCATATTACGAGGAGGTAACAAAGCATATTACGAGGAGGTAACAAAGCATATTACGAGGAGGTAACAAAGCATATTACTAGGAGGTAACAAAGCATATTACGAGGAGGTAACAAAGCATATTACGAGGAGGTAACAAAGCATATTACGAGGAGGTAACAAAGCATATTACGAGGAGGTAACAAAGCATATTACTAGGAGGTAACAAAGCATATTACGAGGAGGTAACAAATCATATTACGAGGAGGTAACAAAGCATATTACGAGGAGGTAACAAAGCATATTACTAGGAGGTAACAAAGCATATTACGAGGAGGTAACAAAGCATATTACGAGGAGGTAACAAAGCATATTACGAGGAGGTAACAAATCATATTACGAGGAGGTAACAAAGCATATTACGAGGAGGTAACAGAGCATATTACGAGGAGGTAACAGAGCATATTACGAGGAGGTAACAAAGTACGGTATGGCCCCCCCCCCCCACCATATTACGGTAACGTGCTGCCAATGATCATATAAGGAATAATTATTGGTGCATTATCTCACATCTCTTATAAAATAAGACTGCAAATTGCAGAATAAGCAGATTCGTTCTTTAAAGGTCAAACCCCAGAAATGTGAATTCACCATGACAAAGAAACTGGGGATTAAAGTTATTAGTTAACACAATTTTTTAATTTTAATTTGAAACTAAGACAATAATATATCAGGGTACACATAATCTAGAAAAGAAGATCACAAATCAATAAATAATATCAAATGACTATAAATATTTGTGCAGCAACGTGATACGTTTATCATTGGTATATGAACATCAAATGTGATCAAGTGAACAAAATGGATAATTATAGATAATTATAGATAAGATCTCAATCGAACAAAATTAAATTCCACACTCAATCACACGATCAAACCCAGATCACTAGCACAACCAAATAAATACAAATTTAAAATGTTTCAGTTAAGATTCTAGATTCATAATATTTATTCTATATTTTTTTATCTTGTAGAGTTATATTATTCCTGATCCAACGTCATTCAATTTTACATATTTAATTTAAACAAAATGTTGATTACAATTTTTAAAAATCAAATAATTTTTAAGATTTACCCATTAGATACATCTAAATTACATATTATAATACATCCATCTAAGGAAACTAGGAAGCACTTGGATATAACTATGTGCTATGCTCTACCTTACAAGACTTTTTTGTGGCGGACCAATTTGCGACGACCGAAATTTTGGCGGTCCGAAAATATGGCGAAATTGAACAAAAACCGTCACATTTCGGACGTCACAGAAAATAAGGGTATTTTTCATCATTTTTTGTGACAGTAAGCAGTAAGGAAATTTCTGATATTCGGTAAAATCATGTTCAAACTTAGTCTGTATTAAGACTGTAAGACTTTCATGTTAGCACATACATGTATTTTAATGCAAATTTAAATTGTATTGCTTGACATTCAATTCGTCATTGATGTGGTGATAATTTGTCCCAAGATGCCAGAATTTATTAATTTATTTTACTTGATATTACTTTTTAGAAACAAAATAAAGCAGTGAGGGCACAGTCATTGAAATAAGCTAAAAGATAATGCGACGGATTCTATTACGACGACCGAAATTTTGACGGTCCGAAAATATGGCGAAATTTTCGGAAAACCGCCACATTTCGTACGTTATAAATATGTCTTGTAAGGTAATTTTACATATTTACAGCACGCAATAGCTATTGCTGATTGGGTAAAGATATTGAAAGACAACATAGAGGAATTGCTCGCGACCAGCACGATTTTTATAAAAATAGTTCATTATTCTTTATATTAATCAGTGAGAAGAGACTTTTTAGATCGATATCGAAATTCATCCAGTCATCTTTATGATCATTCAAGTTCAACCAGGAGCTCAAACTGTCAATTATGCCAAAGTTTAAGTTTAGTAATTATTTAATTATAGCTTCGTACCAGGACCCTCAAGCAGCTATGTCGTCAATCTGTCTTGTATAGGGAAGATTGCCAGAACCCTGTGGAGGTGCCGATCCCCTGAAGTAGGATAGTTTAAATGTGGTGTTAATATAACCGCGATAAATATAATGCACTTTGTAGTATTATTTAATTATATGACATTTAAACCGTGAATTGTAAACATTTAAAAAAATTAAAAAGATGAAATGATGGTTATGGCGGTATTGTTGGGAAACATTATAAGAGATCAGAAGAGATCAAATGAAATGATTAACAAAACTGGATCTAACTCAACAGCATATATATATATAACTCTAAAACTCTGGTCACAAGAGCAACTGCCTAAACTCAACAGCAACAATTTAGAAACATTGTCTTACTTAGGACCGATAGTAAGAACCATGTAGCACATTCCAGCGAGTACAAAGCCAAGAGATCCGACATAGCTTGTGGTTGAACCACATATGACTGGGCCAGGAATACACATTCTGAAATTGAGAGTGTTACAGGTATTAAAATTATTAGATGTGTGACTACTTGAAAAAATTGATTCTGCTTATTTGGTTCACAGGTTTTTCCTAGACTTTTTGTTCGAACTTTAGCTTTCTGTACAAGATTTTTTGTTATCTTAGAATTAATTCCGCATTTATATTATTCCCACTCTCGACTCCTTGCTAGCAGTCCGGTTAATTTAGTACCTCTAGGTAACTTCTCATTTAATCATGAGGACTTATTAAAGAACATCTCACCCTCTACTTGAAAAAATTGATTCTGCTTATTTGGTTCACAGGTTTTTCCTAGACTTTTTGTTCGAACTTTAGCTTTCTGTACAAGATTTTTTGTTATCTTAGAATTAATTCCGCATTTATATTATTCCCACTCTCGACTCCTTGCTAGCAGTCCGGTTAATTTAGTACCTCTAGGTAACTTCTCATTTAATCATGAGGACTTATTAAAGAACATCTCACCCTCTAAGAAAACTCCGTTTGAAGATATTTTGTATTATTATCTATGTCATAAATTTTGCTTGTGTTTGAATTCTGTCACTTTTTAACTGTTTCTAGTATTTGTTATTTTCGGACGATTTCTGCACTTTTTCACTGGGTCATCTTCATATTTTCTGGGATGGAGACGACGCATATCAGCATTTAAGGAAGAGTTACTTCATTAGACTCTTCTGGTCAAGGTTTGTAATCACCTTCTTCACTCACTATTTGGATGTGACTTTATCACTCCCACTCTCGTTACTTCTCCTCATACCTTTTACGCTTGTTCATTTTTATTTTGAACTGCACATTTACGTGTAACTGTTAAGCATTGCCTGCCACACTACCCGTTCATAGCGTTTATCTTTATAATTAATTTCTACTTGGGAATTTATATCACAGATTTTCTACCACTTGATTCATTTTAACATTTACTTACTCACCAAGGAGAACTTATTACATTCATGGCAGTTATTCATCAACTGTATCACCTGATTAAACACGTGGGGCCACCTCCTGCCTTCCCTTATTATACCAACACGAGTCGCGATCTGGCCTCTTCGCCTAAACCGGTAGATCATCATTTGTCATGGCTTCTACCCTTCTCTTAACTCTTTGACTATGAGTCTTCTTGTTAGACATTACCTTTTCATAATTATACCTCCTTGATTCATCTTTGCTAAAAACAAGTTGAAATTTTTTTATTTTTATTAACTTATTGCTTATTCCCCTCCTCTATACTTTACAGATTACTATACTTTTTACTTTTACCCGTCCTCTATTTGTTAACATTTCAGCGATTTAACATGAATAAGAATCAAACCTCTGCAATCAATGTAAACAGGCAACTTATACAATTCCTCCAACTAAATTGTCACAAATCTCTGGTTCCCACATCCTTCCTTGGACCCGAACTTCTTGCCTCAGCTCCATTCATTGCCATAATTAGCGAACCTCCGCTCAAACGCAAAGACTCCAAATTAGATGGTTTCCACCACCAACACTCGGCGTTCTACTCGACTAAAACAGGAGCTCCACGAGCAGCCATTATAACATCTACCAACTTCGCCCCTATATCTTCAACACTTCATAGATTCTCCAACAGAGACATGATCACAGTGCGGTTCGACAACCTAGTAGTTTCATCCATATATTGGCATCCTGACAACAAAACTCTCCCGGAGGAACTCCCATCGCTGATAGATTGGTGTCGGGACAACTCCATGAAACTGGTCATAGGCGGAGACTTCAACGCCCACCACGAACTATGGAAAAGCAACAAAACCTCACCGAAAGGTCGCATTATAAGTGACCTAATTAACAATAAGAATCTGATACTTCTCAACATTGGATCGGAGCCCACTTGGTGCAGCCGTGGCCTTAACAGCATCATTGACCTGACTCTTTCTTCTTCAAACATTTCGGCTGATATTGCAGAATGGAAAGTATCTGATAAGAACATGTACTCCGACCATAAGCTGATTACTTTCACACTCAATCAATCGAAACAAGGTAAAAGATTCAGACCAACGACAAAGAAAACTTGCATAGATTATGATAAGCTCCGAATAGAACTGACCCCCCAACTTCAAAATGTGGACTGGAATCATCATGCAGACAACCTGGACGAACTCAATTACAAGGCTTCATCCCTCCATCAGTCCATCTCCGAAAGCATCGAAAAATCCACCTCAAAAATATACTATAAAGCAAAAATATCAGAAGCAGAATGGTGGAATGAAGAGATTCAAGAAAACAGAGACAAACTGTTAGAGGCCAACTCAAATTTTGAAGACGACAAAGACTCAATCGAATTGTACGAACATCTAAAAGATGCCCAATCTACTTACAGTAAATCAATTCGTAGGGGTAAATTCCAATCGTACCAAAACTTCTGTTCTTCACGGAACAGGGCTGAATCGTCCAAACTCATCAAGCAGCTACAAAATCCGCTACACAGCGTTCGGTTCAGTTGTCCGAGTATCACTAACGAAAATAACGAGCACTTCTCGAGTGACAGTGATGCTCTAAAGTTTATGGTCGATACACTCGCACCCGGCACATCCTTCAAGGATTCTGAAGACATCCCTAGGAGCGATTATGTAGGATTACCAATCGACTTCGAAGAATATATCGCTCTTGTTAGGGAGGTGGAACAAATATGTTCCAATTCTCGTATCAAAGAACTAATGAAGAACACAAACACGAAGTCAGCCCCAGGACCAGATGACATATCCTACAAAATTCTTGAGCACTGTTGGGATATGCTAGAAGTGCCTGTAAAATATATCTTCATGGACTGCTTTCTTCTGGGGGCCATCCCAGATATCTGGCTATCATCCTCGGGAATTTTCATTCCTAAACCTGGTATAAAAGAACATGTAAGTCCCAAATCTTATCGCACTATCAACCTTTCTCCTTGTATACTAAAATGCCTGGAAAGATTAATCATATGGCATCTTGAAATTGATCTGGACCTGGAATCCTACCTTCACCATAGTCAATATGGGTTTAGGAGAGGGAAATCATGTGACCACGCGATTAGCAGTCTGGTACATAAGATCGAACAGTCCTTAGTAGACAGGGGGATTACTGTGGGTATCTTCATAGACATATCTGGAGCATTCGACAACGTTTCAACAGAGTACATCCTCAAAGTGCTACGGAACTCTCCGGTATCAAAATCAGTTTACAACCTAATAAAGTACCTCCTTTCCAACCGGAGAGTGACGTATACACTTGGCAAAGCGATCATTATAAGACTGCTACTTAAAGGTTTTGCTCAAGGAGGACGTCTAGGCCCAACTCTTTGGAACTTAGTAGTCGACCTCCTACTGAAGAGGATTAGTATTGAGGAATTTATTCAGGCATTCGCTGACGACATTGCATCCCTTATATCCGGCACAGAGATAACTGACATCAGACAAAGGGCGCAATCAGTTGTACGGACAATTGAAACTTGGTGTACGGAAGCGGGTCTCCAAATAAATACACAAAAGTCAAAGGTCGTAATATTCACGCACCGACATAATGTATCTTTGGACCAACCAATACTGTACCAGGGGACCCCCCTTCCAGTTACAACTACGGTTAAATACCTAGGAGTGCACCTAGACTCCAAACTGTCGTGGATTACCCACTTGGAAAAAAAGATAACTGCGGCCAACATCCAACAAGCAGCGATCAAGAAAACTACGGCAAGGAATTGGGGCCTTAACCCAACAACCCTCAGATGGATATATAAATGCGTGACAAGGCCAACGATCACTTATGGAAGTCTCTTCTGGGCCAATTCTGCCATGCAGAACAAGAGCATGAATAACAAGTTAACTAAAGTCTTCAACACGGCAGCCAGATCTATAACAGGAACATCTAAGTGTTCGCCACTCACTAGCACAACTTCTATAGCAAATATTGAACCGGTTAACCTTAGCGTAAAAAGAACGGCTTTCTTGACTTTAAACCGGATACAGTCATCAAGCCCTTATATATAGAAGCTTTACCACCCAAAGGCAAATTCACTCCCCACTCTAAGTTTGGAAAGGACCTTCAGCAGAATATCTTTGACCAAAACCTACCATTTGAATCGGTGGACAGAACCATTAAACCATTCTATAATATAGACAGGCAATTCACCGTCGATACCTCACCCAATATCGACATGTCGGATTTCTACGACCTACCCTTCTGCTCCCTAGTTTTTACGGACGGATCAAAAACTTCAGAGGGTAAAACTGGATCCGGCTGGGCCATCTTCCACTGTCAAAATCCGGCAGAGCCCAACTGTGGAAAGATCCGGATATCAGACCATTCAACTGTATTCCAAGCCGAAATGTTTGCAATCTGTGCAGCTACACTTAACCTGCTTGATAACCCGGACTTTATCAATCGGAACATTCATTTCTTCAGCGACAGCATGAGCTCTCTCCATGCGCTGTCAAACCATTATCCCACTTCAACTATGACAATAGACACCATAAAAGCCTTGAACTCCCTAGGTTTGAAATCAAAGATAACGCTTCACTGGGTAAGAGGCCACACAGGGGTAACGGGAAACGAACTCGCGGACAGCCTGGCAAAAGAAGCCACCAGTCTTGATAGTGTAGGACAGGTTACCCCCGTTCCGTACTCCAGCTTCAAAGCCAAACTCAAAAGTTGGTCTTTCGCCCAAAGCAAATCATCTTTAGAAGCATCACCCTCCACTAATAAGCTTCATAAGCTAGTTGTCTCCCTCCATAAGAAAGAATCATTATCCACCATCACAGAAATGACAACAGCGGACCTTCATAAACTTACCAACATACTTTCTAACAGAGCACCTCTATACTCATTTTTGTTTAAAATAAAAAAGAAACCTACAGATATCTGTCCTCGATGCCATCTAGAACCAGAAGACAATGTCCATTTTCTTTGTAATTGCCCATTTTTATTCACCTTACGAAGCGCTACCTTTGGTTTTCCAGTTCTTAAAATTAATGACCTTGTCAAAATAAAATCCTTTAAATTATTATCATTCATTAAAAAAAGCGAAATTTTCCTTAGACAATACGTACAATGATTTACATTACTATACAATTATTTCTATTGCTAATTCTTGAGGGTCCGATTAACTATTTTTCATACCGTAACTACATTATACTGTAGCCTTCCGTTTTTTACAATTTAGGATTTTTTTCACTTCACTCAGGATACATTACTTATAAACCCCTCCGGGATAGAATAAGATTATGATAATCCCGGCTCCCGCTAAATAGATTCTGATAATCCCGCCTCCCGCTGTTAGTTTTTTCCCGCTGAATAAATAACCCCGGCACAACTTCTATAATCCCGCCCCGCTAATTTGGCTCAACAAGATTTGTTTTGTTTTGATATTCCATGAGAATTTCAACTGCGCACTGTCACGTGTTTTGATGACGTGTATCACGTGACTAACTACTACGACGCGCATTGGTAAAAAATGTCACGTGACCTATGGCTTAACGTAAGAACTATAAATACACTTGATCTACGTATCGGTCTAATTGCAGGCGCTGGCAAAACTCCAGCACACTGCTTACATTACTTAAACTCTTACATTAATAGGACCAGTTCCAGAACTTGTCTCGACGGTTACATTTGATTTTGTCCGGTTAATTTTGTCGTGTTTGATATAAGCCATGTATTATAGTCGTCTACTTTGATGAACTTCATGACACGATATCATTATTAGCTCCACCTTTTATCGCTTGCCAGGCTTAACTCGACGCCCCTTTATATCGATATTCATATTCATTCAACGTACTTCTGACTGAGGAATAATGTTTAGATATAACGCCAATTTCAAATGTCATAGTACCTTAGTTGTATTTATTTCAATTTGGTAGTCCCCAATTCCATTTCATATTTTCCATACTGATCTCATATGGCTAGAATTAAGAGTAAAATGTCAAATTTGTTGGTCCTAGCACTAACCCGGAGGGGTTTATAACACATAACACCGGCACGCTTAAGTTATATTAAAATAACCCCTCGTGCTAAAGCACGTCGGGGTTATTTTCATAATAATCCCTCGTGCTTCGCACTCGAAATTATTATAAATTTTTCCCGCGCGTCGCGGGAAAAATTGAAATATAATCCCTGCGCATGCCGGGGTTATGTGTGTTATATTCACTTATGATACATTGCAATTAATATTCCATCATACACTTCTTTTACTCAATGTACTTCTTCTTCATTAAAAAAAAAATCAAATAAAAAATCAAAATAAAAATAAATATCTTCAAGCTACGCTACTCTACACACGATAAAACACGTTAGCCCATAAATAACACGCTTTAGAAATTATCATCACAGGACAACATGACACCTAAAACTTTGAACATAACACGAGGAAACATGGACAAAACTGAACAAGAACCACATTCGAAGACTGAAACATCTGAATGACTCTGCAACCCAGGAATCCACTACTCAGTTATCATCGCTAAATGATCGGTTTGGTATCGACGTTACATACTTTATTATTTTTTTTTTTAAAAAGAAAAAGAGGCTGATTTTAGTTTGTTTTTTTTTTTTTTTTTTTTTTTTTTTTTTTTCTTCCTTCAAAACATTCCAGTACATTGTGCAGAAAGTTGGAGATGAAGCCGTAGTACGTACATGTAGCATTCTACTGGATCGAACTTGCAGAGTGTGGTTTCCTTCAAACTGGGCCGCGCGTTTATATAAACATACACGGCGCAGATCGACTGGAGGAGATTGCACTATGTAGGCTCCGGTGTAATGTGATATGTATGTACTACGGCTTTACAAATTTTGGAAGCATGTAAGGATATATATCTGATACCTATCGTATATACTAAAAATACTCTAGCACAATTGTAACTGCAGTTTCACAGAACTCTAAATGCTTAATGAACACTCTTGCAGGTACCACCCGTATTCACACTCAGACCTGAGTTTAGTCATTTCCCGATACGAGATTGGGGACGGGTTCTATAAACAAACACTTGAAAAAATTACGTACAAGTATGAAGTATATTTAGAACTCAATTATTTTCCTATTTAATTGCTGTAACTTACGCAAAGTAGAAGAACATTTTCATCCAAGGCTTTATCTTGTCAGATTTTTCATTAAGCCATTTTCCTATGTCTAAAAACAAGAAGCACATGGTGGCTTCAAGCATGAGCACACAAATTCCAGCAGCTCTGAAAATAGAATTATAATACAAGAAAGTTTCAAAATTGCATTTCATAATCATATTCAAATATATTTTGACAACTAACTATGATTCAATTTGATTATTCAATTTTGCAACACCATACAACTACAAGATGGACATTCAATACTTCAAATTTATAAAAATCGTGCTTCTTATTGTGGGACTACCTTTCTTGAGTCAAGATCTACACTAAAATAATACTTACATCTGGAATATTCCCATGGCAACACATTTTGCAGAAAAGGAGATAAGGACAAATATACCAGTTATACAGGCAACTGAAAGAAATTAATTTTAGATTTGATTACTAATGAGTTTTGAGAACAACAAACTTTCCTTTTTCAATGAAGTTTACTTACTACCAGATCGTTCAGGAATAGCACAAATAATAGACTTACGGAGAGCGCCAAGAGTAGAGACACCTTTGGCTAAATTTCTGATCCAAAAAGTGCCCCCTTCAGCCTCCTCAGCCATGTGATATCAGTGACCTCTATATCAGTGTACAAATATGTACCTAAATGTGGTAATCAGTTAATTTTGGCATCAATATTAAATTAGTTAAATCACACATTAGTAAAAATTTTTAAAAAATTATTCAAACAATATTATATATACACATACTGTAACAATAACCCTATATAAAAATTCAATAAAAAATCTTAGAAAATTTCATAAAAACCCTTTGTTGTAGTAGTAAAAGTAGCCAATTCAATTTGTTGGCTTTAAATTAATATCTAAATCTGATATCTTAACTATACTACCACTTTTTATCCCTCTTTCTAATTCTCCTCTAAGAGCAATAATTGTCGTTCTTAGTCAAATCTTATTTTTTTCCTGATACAAGTCATCGCTTCACTGTATCTTTGGCCTGATTTTCTAGACATTCTATCAGCTAACTTTTTGAAGAACGTATTTGCTTCTCTTCCCATTCCACCTGTTGTTGATAGGACTATCACACATTAGTAGATCAGTCACAACAATATTTTCTGTTCCTTAGCACAAAACATCATTACTCAGTAAGGCAAAGGTTGCAACTCAAGGATGGAACACACAAGTTGCTAGCACATTGTAGAGGATAAATTCGACCAGGTATAAATTCGTAAGGGGGAAATTAAACACCCTTTACTTAAATGGGGTAACAATACTGATAAGGCCAGGCTTGATATATCAGCAAGAGGAGTGTGGAGCACGTTTGAGAGTACTTTCTTTGACGTGCGTATCTTCAACCCTAAACCGCTTTCATAGATTATGCCACAACTTTACACCCTGCACAAGAACGAGAAGAAAAACCAGTACTGAGTGCAGTGGCGTAACGTAGGGCCCCGCTGACTAAACCAAAGTACTAGCAAAACGGGGGGGGGGGGGGTGGGGGGCGCCAAAATGCATTGTTACGCCACTGATTGAGTGCTACCAGAATTGAACTGAGTGCTACAACCGAGTGCTACGATTGGAGAAAAGATCATTCGTCCCCCTTGTATTTACCACTACAGGAGGAATAGCACATGAAGCCAAGCGTTTTATTAAGAGACTTGCCGAACTGATGGCCGTCAAGACGAAGGAGAACTACAAGAGAACTACGGATGTGTAACATCAGGACACACCTGAGTATGGATATTGATTGAAATAAATTTTCGTGCACATACAGAATTCAAATGGTTAATAATTTAATATATATGTAGACCAAGGTCTGTGCACGGGATGCTTCCTGGAAGAATCCAGTTCTTTTAGCGGGGCACCCTACCTAAAGCCAAATTGAGATATAATAATCATATTCCTAAGAAATAATCAGAAATCGAATACCAATCAAATAATATGATATATAGGAGTAGTAACCATATTTACTATGCAAAATGCCCCAACCACATAGTGTAAATTTATATAGAATTCAAATTCCATATCATCATTAAACCTCAATAGTCAATATAATAGCCCAAGCAAAATTGAATAACTTCTTATATACCTTACTGTCATACTACAAATTAATTAAACATATGAAATCTGTTAATCAGAGAATAAATTTCTAAACCTAATGCAAGTGTGCCTAATGAGGAGTGTGCTAGTAACAGTAATAGGTGTGCGTGGGAAGGCGAACAAGGCATGGACCGTCCCTATTTTATTGTAAATTTTCTCACTGATGACCTCGGACATACACAACTTATTAGCTCCCCTACTCACAAGTCAGGCAACACCTTAGATCTTGTGTTCACTAACATTCAAAACCTTATTAAGAATGTTAAAGTTTTAGATCAAAACGAAATGTGTCCGACCACTTTTGTATCACATTTGACATTGATATTAAGACCAAGTATATTAAGCAGCCTAAAAGAAAGATCTTTAATTATAGTAAAGGTAATTTTAGGGGCCTGAATTCTGAGTTATTTAGCATCGATTGGGATAGTATATTTGAGTGTAATGATCCTTATCTTGCCTGGAGTCGATTCAGAGGAGTTCTCGGTGCAGCCTGTGACCGATGGATCCCTAAAAAGACCATTAAGTCTCAGTTCCAGCCCCCATGGTATGACTCCGAATGTGATCGTCTCCTACGAAATAAGGAGAAATGGAGAATAAGGCATAAGGGGAGCAACTCTGAGTCTCATAAACAAAAGTTTCGTACATTTCGCACAAAATTTAAAAATTTGATGGACGAAAGAATGAGACTCAGTGTTGAGGATGACTCCGATAATGCTCTTATCTCCAAGAAATTCTGGACCTACGTTAAATCTAAATCAAAGTCAACCAGGATCCCTGAAACTGTCAAATATCATAATCGCTTTCGAAACAATCCATCTGATCAAGCTGCCCTTTTTAACGAATATTTTTATGAGCAGTTTTCTCAAGAGAGCGATTATGGCATTGACATAGATTTTCGTGATGATTGTTTTTCAAGTCTTGTGTTTAGTACAGAAGATGTTCTGTTGATTCTTAAAAAGTTAAATCCTAACAAGGCCCCTGGCCCTGATGGGATTCATGGGAGAGTCCTCAAAAACTGTGCCCAAAGCCTTGCATACCCACTTAGTGTTTTATTTAACCTGTCTTTCTCGAGCGGATGCATACCCCCTGATTGGAAGCTGGCACTTGTAGTACCAGTACACAAAAAGGGCGATAAGTCTTCGGTTGAGAACTACAGGCCTATCTCGTTAACATCTCTTGTAATGAAAGTCTTTGAAAGGTGCATAAAGACTGCATTCTAGCTGCATGTTCTGATCTGTTGGATGACCGACAACACGGTTTTGTTGATGAACGTTCATGCACAACCCAAATGATACCTTTCACGGACAATCTTGCACTTGCATTGAATAACAGGTCCAGGACTGATATAATATATTTTGATTTTGCGAAAGCCTTTGATAGCGTTTCGCATGACCTCATTTTAAGTAAATTAAAGAATATTTTTAATGTCGATGGACTAATGCTTAAATTTATTAAGTCCTACCTTGAGGGGCGACAACAACAAGTAGTGATAGGAGGCCAAACGTCTTCTTCTCTACCAGTTCGGTCTGGTGTCTCTCAAGGTTCTATACTTGGCCCTTTATTGTTTGTAATATTTATAAATGACATGTTCTCCTGTGTCTCTGAAGGCACCAATATCGCCCTTTATGCAGATGACACTAAAATTTGGAGGGAGATCCTTGGTTACCCTGACCATCACATAATCCAAAATGACATCAACAGATTATATGATTGGTCAGTGAGAAATCGAATGAAGTTCCACCCACAAAAGTGCAAAGCCCTCTCTGTGTCCCTGCAAAGAAACGTGCTGGATAACTTGCCATTCAATACCTTCTTTTATAAACTTTCTGGAAGTGATATTGACTTTGTGCCCTCTCAGTCAGATTTAGGAGTTGCAATAAACTCCAGGTTTAATTGGGGTGCACAATGTAAAGCGCTTGTTTCCAAAGCTACCTCTAGACTTGGACTACTTAAGAGAACATGTCATTTCACTACTGATAAAAGGCAGAAAAGATCGTTCTATTTAGCGTTAATTAGGTCTATATTTGAACATTGTTCTGTCATATATGGTCCCCTCAATCTGCAACTCATCTTCAACAGCTTGTTGCTATCCAAAAGAGGGCTATTAAATGGATCAATGGTGAACCTTACTCCAGTTATAATGACGATAAACTTGCTACAGAGCAAAAGAAACTAAATATTCTCCCTGTTAAACAGAAGTTTATTTATAACGATCTTATGACCTTCTATAAAATAGTGAATAGCATAATTCCAGTTTCGCTCCCTACATATATAGTCCTATGCCGTCCAGAGGGCACCCGATACACTAGGCACAATGCTCAAATAATTGATATGTCGGATACCTCAACTTACATGAGTACCACTGTGCCCTGCTCGGATGCCTTCCGAAATAGCTTTTTTCATAGATCTATGCTGAAATGGAATAGTCTACCAGTATGTATCCGGCAGTCAGAGCGGATTTCTACTTTTAAGGCCAAACTGATCAAGTACCTCTGGGCTGCCGATACTGTCTGGCCAGATTAGCTCATCAGTCTTATGAGTCTCAGAAATTTGTTTTTGTTGGTTACAATTCTGTCCGTCCAATTTCCTATCTGCTTGTCCTTTTCTTTTTTTCTTTATCAGTTGTGACGGAATTGTAATGAACAAAATCCTTATAATTATTTATGATATGTTTGATTTCTTGTTAATGTTTGTCATTCAAATTTGGTAGACGGCCCCAACGTTAATGTGGCTCTTGCTATGTGTTGGTTCAGCCGAATTAATTATTATATAATCAAGTTTATTTTTCTCGTTAGTTGTCATCCGGCCAAACATTAAGCAACTTATATTGCAGTACCATTTATCATTTAGTATATCAAAATATGTCATTGTAATTTTGCATGGCTGAAATGTAACGCTTGATTTATATATATAATGATTAATTGAATTTTCAAATAATAAAATATCATATATGCAGTGTCTGCTTCAACATGATCCCGGAAGAGAATTAGAAGAGCTACTAAAAAAATGAGATTTATTGCTCATGATTAAGCAAACTTAAAGTTTAGGTTTAGGTTTCAATCAAGTGACCAAGTTGGCCTCCTAGCAATTAAATGGCCACTGACAAGCTATTTTGACTGTTTTCCTCCTAAACAATAAATAAAAGAACCCATTAAATTTTTTTGCTGATGTAAAAACAAGCTATTCAAACAATATACACATAATATAGCAATGACCCTATATAAAAATTCTGTAAAAATGGTACAAATTTAAAAACTGAGGTAAAAATAAAACCCTTTGTAATAATATATATATATAAAATCCACTAAATCACATCACAACAAAAAGCAGTTTAGACCCCCATCCAACAAGCACTCCATGACCTTTTAGGGTTTAAGAGTGTTGATCAGGTTAAGGTCCAAATCACTTATTGCCGTGGGTGGAAGGGTTCTGGTACCTCTGTACCCCCTGATAGAGATTATACAGGTTCTGAGTAGATCAAAATGTTGTTTTAGGAACTGTGAAGCCTCGGTTGCCATTCCTCCTGTAGTACTGAACACCAGT